TAATTATCATTTAAAATATTTCCTTTTCTGTTTTTCTGCCTGAAGCATTATTATTGAACTTCAGAATCTGTAGTATCTTAATAAATAATAATCTTGTATACATTTATTTGAAAAGAATTTTTTAAATCTAATAGGTAGTGAAAGGTGAATAGTTTGATGCAATTCTTAAAGGACTATTTGAAAATGGCTCTAGAACCACACAAAACTGCATATATGGTTATATTTTGTATCAGAAATTAATATATATACAAACAACAATTAAAGTTTTATTTTCAGACCTCAAAAAAACAACAAACCCATTATATATTGAATCTTCTTGGTCTGGAAATATCCCCAACCCTCTGTTTTTAATGCCACAGCAGGTGTGAGCTGTGGTATCATTTGTTACTATCCACTAACCTCAAGCAAAACACTTATCGGAAAGCCAAATATAACGGAAATTAACATCAAAATCAGTTTTAGCTGAGGTTTTAGGCATGTGTTTAAAGAGTCTTCAGAACCACACGGTGCATTATTTCCCAAGCTGGGCAAGGTAAAAGATTTCTGCACTGTTTCAGATGAATTAAATCCCCATTGCTCATTTATTATCTACTAAATGGCAAAAGCATAGCAGTTTAAATGATAAAGTGTGTGGGTTTTTTTTTTTAATGACAAAAGCACTGTCATGCCATAGTGTAAAGTCCTTTATAAGTAAAATAAATAAATAAATAAATAAAGGACAGAAAGGACTTAATAGAATAACAGAGTTGGAAGGGACCTTGGAGGTCATCTAGTCCAAAGCCCCTGCTTAAGCAGGAGAGCCTATGCCATTTCAAACAAATGGATGTCCAATCTTTTCTAAAAGACCTCCAGTGATGGCACACCCATAACATCTGGAAGCAAGTCATTCCACTGATTAATTTTTCTATTAAAGGTTAAAGTTTCTATTTGTTCTCTATATGGTTGCTTCCATAGGTATATATACCAATGTCTAAACAGTTGTGGTTCTCTGACTCGCTTCAAAAACCGGATTTTAGAATCCAGAGTTTTGATTTAATTCTTTTTTCTTCGCAACTGGCATCCTTTATTGGCTCCCTCTTTAAACAGAATCCACATAGTCCCTCATGTTGTACAGATCTATTACACTTTCAGGTTTTGTAGGTTATCTGTTTCTTTCATCCTTATTTAAAAGAATCCTTTACCTTTAAAATAGATTTTTACAAATTCAGCCTACTGTATTATTTCCTGTTGAGCAGGGTGGGGCAGGAAAAGTGAGTGACGGCTGTTAAATCACTTTTTTTTTACACTTGCATATTTACCTATGGATAAGATTCACAAAATACAGTGAGAATTAATTTATGAGCATGCTTTCATAAGAGTTGGACTGGTTTTGGGGGGAGGGAGTTTGCTTCTAAAAGAGCTTGGAGAAAAATGGTTGAATTGTAATTCCTTCTGATCAGTAGTCAGACAAATTATTTATACCCCTTTATAAACACAACAGCGTTGGGACTGATAGGAGAAGTCATTTATTGGTCTACGGTGGTCCTCATCCTCAAGGAGGCTGCATTGCTGAAGAGAAAGCTTTTAAATTAATGTAATGTTGACGAAATGGTTCTCACCTCTGTGCCTAGGGCAACTGGATAGTCTTCTATATTGAAATGCTAATTGTTCTTAGAGGATATGTCCCTTTCATTTTATCACAGCCCATCACTTCTTGTGAGATGGCCAGCTATATAAATAAGATAAATAAGGCTGCCACAAAGAAGAGGGAGTCAAGCTATTTTCCAAGGCGCCTGAAGGCAGGACAAGAAGCAACGGGTGGAAACTAAGCAAGGAGAGAAGCAACCTAGAACTAAGGAGAAACTTCCTGACAGTTAGAACAATTAACCAGTGGAACAACCTGCCTCCAGAAGCAGTGAATGCTCCAACACTGGAAGTCTTTAAGAAGAGACTGGACAGCCATTTGTCTGAAATAGTATAGGGTTTCCTGCCTGACCAGGGGGTTGGACTAGAAGACCTCCAAAGACCCTTCCAACTTTACTATTATTATTATTATTATTATAAGTTAAAATAAATAAATGAATAAATCCCAGAAGTAGTTAACAGTTCAGCTAACCGTTAATAGCACTTTCAAAACTTTTGAAAAGTTACAAATGAAATCTATATAATTTGCCAAAGACAACTGAATGGCAATACATGGAGTAGAATATCGTTAGGTTCTCTGGGCTAGATGCATTGGCTTACCTCAGAAACCAATAATTCTGAATATACTAGGCAATTTTCTTTTAAAGATTAAGTCAACAATTCAGTTTCACTGACAATTTAAAACTTAATGCAATTAAACATAGGTAATTCATGTAAAATCTGGGATATAGACTTGGAACTTCCCATTTTAAACAATCTGTGGCTTCAGATTTTTAACAATGTGAAATATATTTCCTATGATTTTAAAATTGAATATTTATCAAAATATTTTTTCCAGATTTATTGAACCCCTCGGGATATGTTTTAAAAGATTAGTTACTTTTATCTTGGAGATAAAATAAATTTGAAGATACATTAATAGGCATGGCTTGGTTGCCTTGCAGTGGTTGAATATTTTTTATCATGAATCAGATATTTAGAAAGAAATAAAAGGTTAAAGATGCTAATATTGTGTTAAACTATACTCCAAAAATTTAAAATTCCTCAGTATAGAATTTTATGTATGCTATACCTGGACTGTTGCTTAAAAGATCATCCACTATTGCTAGAGAAACATTTGTGTAGCCAAAAATGGCTGAACAATGTGGCACCCTTTGATTTTGTACCTTTATATCTTTTTTGATGTAAAAAAAAGACAGACTTGACAATATAAACCTGAGGTTCAATTTATTGTTTAAACATAGAATTGTAGCAATGTTCACAGAATTGTAATAATTGTTATTTGACTTGAACTTCTTTCATTTTTTAATTTCCTTTTTTTAAAAACTTGTATTTCTGTATTTCTCTTCTGTTTTGCAGTCCTAGCAAGGCAAAGAAATAATAATTTTAAGAAATTATTCTTAATATCTATGCAGCTAGACTAATTTTTTTTCAAGGAAAGAAATGGGTATGTTGAAGTAACAAATTTGAAAATTTGGTAGTGTGGCTCATGGGAAATGAGAGAAGTTTTCATTTCCAGCCAGAAGCTTATAGTTGTGGAGGCAATTCCAGAAATAGTTTCTATTAATCTGATTTTTGAATCTTAGGACAAGAACTTTAAATACAGTGTGATCCCTGATATGCAGAATACAATTCTCTTACTGATAAATTTGGGGTTGGTGAGGTTATAAATTATGTAACAGACCTTTTATTTAGCATATATATCCATGCAGTTCAAGCACTGCAAAAGATATCCAAGTGTTTTTCAGCGTTCCTTATAAAACAGGGAAAAGGAATACTTTTCTGGCTGAGTATTGGAAACTCTGAAGAGAAGCCAACTCAGCAGATGATAATTGTATCTTTTAAGTGCTTAAATATGTTTGTTGCTCTTAAAGCAGTTCCCTATAGTATTTTAGGGAAAATGCAGCATTTTCGCAGAGGAGAAAATAATAAAAAAATTAATCTGGTGAATATTTTAGTTGCTTTGATATGATTTCCCCCCCCCCCCTAATTTTACTTTAAATTTTGTTTTGTTTCTACTTCAGCTTTGTGGAATGTTGAGCAACGATTTAGCTAATTGTTATCTGTGAGAGAAAAAAAATCACTTCTTTCCAAAAATACTTTGAGTAGAAACAGTTAGGGTGGAGTATTTTTTAGCTTTGATTTGCTTTGACCCAAGTCATAAGAATAACTTTCCATTATATTTCCTAACTCTATCTATGAAGAAAATGACTCAAAGCAGGCAAGTCACTTGCTTGTTTAAAATGTATATTTTGACTCATTAGGTTGTGCAGAAAAAAAAACATGTTGAAATACAGTTTTGCATCATTTCATTAATTTCCCAGTGTATTAAATTCAAGCCGGGTGGTGCAGTGATTAGATTACAGTATTTCAGGCTGACTCTGCCCTCTGCCAGAAGTTCGATCTGACTGGCTCAAGGCTGTCTCAGTTTCCATCCTTCCGAGGTCAATAAAATGAGGACTGTTGGGGGCAGATTGTTGGGGGCAAAAGGCTGACTCTGTGTAAACCATTTAGAGAGGGCTGTAAAGTACAGTGGCTATTAAAATTATATGGCAATGATAAGCATGAATATGACACTATTGTGAGTGAATTCATACAAAGGATGCAACAGTGCTAAAAACCCTTCCATTCTATAGCAATTGACCTCATTAGCTCAATGCTTTTTTTCACAATATGGCATTCTGGGTGGCAGCATAGAGAATATTGTATGTGTGCAACAATTGGGAGAGAGAGGGAGGAAGGGAAGGAGGGAGGGAAGGAGAGAGAGAGAGAGAGAGAGCGAGAGAGAGAGAGAGAGAGAGAGAGAGAGAGAGAGAAACACAAAGAAAAAGAAAGAGAAACACAGAGAAAGAGAAAGAGAGAATTCACAAGAACTTGCCAGTCTTTGCATTTCCAGATTGTAAATATATCCATGGACCTCAAAATGGGATAGATAAATTCTTAAGAAGCTACCTGAAATTGGGTTCCTTTATATTTATAAATCATATTTATAAAGCCAAGCAAGTCAGAATATCTTTAGTCTCTTTGGATGGGACAATTTGGCTGCTTAATCCAGTATAGTCAACTTTTATTGGCAAGTCCCTCTGGGTTTTCTAGCAGAGATTTTTATTTCAAAACTTTGATACTTTAAAAAAAAAAAACCCAACCCTTTAGATGTGCCATGGATTGGGACTTTCATATGCAAAACCCATGTTCAACCACTAGATTTTAGACCCTCCCCCAAGCTTTGACTGCAACAGTGATCTTAACATCTTGCTCTTTGGGTGAGGAAGAAAGCCATTTAAAAAAAATCTCTCTTTGTCTTCTTTTCTTTCTTTCCCTCACTCCCTTTCTTTCTTCCTTCCTTTCGTTTCCTCCTTCCTTCCACTACTTTCCAGGCAATGCTTTCTGATGGATGGACTGTGAGTCTGGGGATTCTGCTTACACTCCAAGGAATGACGTGCGGGGAGAAGATAGCAGAGACTGGTAATGTGGGGGCCCGTGTGGAGAGATAAAAGTTCTAAACTTTGTCCATATTGCAGTTCTATATTGACTTTGTTGTATGTATTGGTTCTGGATTCACTGCTCGCCATGCAATGATACTGGCCTGTTCCATTGTTTGTTCAGGTGACTTTGAGACTTCCAAGATGGAAAGTCATGTTGAAAGAGATGATCAGTAAAGAATGTTGGCAAATTGGAGTAATTGCCATATTTATTGGCTAAGGATAACTTTTGCATTATTATTGTATTTGGAGGGAGAGGAATTTAGAATCAGAAAAGGAGAAAGTCTAGAGAATCTAGGAACGAGTCTAAGGAGACTTTAGTGGAAGACCTCACTAATTGTTGTCCATGGGCCACTAAGACATACATCACACCACCCAGAGTCGCTGGAAAAATAAATAAGTCATAAGTTCATTTATTATGTGGCTTGGATGCTAAATCATTAAACCCTTTCAAAGGCAGATTTCTGCTTGCAAGACTCACTGGCAATCTGGACCCTGTCGCCTGGGGTAGACCGGAAGCTTTCATTTAAATTATCCCAGTTATCATTTAAGCTTTTATTTTCAATCATCTGAAAGACAGAAACAACTCCCCCCCCCCTCCCCCTCCTCCTCCTCCTCCTCCTCCTCCTCCTCCTCCTCCTCCTCCTCCTCCTCCTCCTCCTCCTCCTCCTCCTCCTCCTCTTCTTCTTCTTCTTCTTCTTCTTCTTCTTCTTCTTCTTCGTCTTCTTCTTCTTCTTCTTCTTCTTCTTCTTCTTCTTCTTATTCTTCTTCTTCTTCTTCTTCTTCTTCTTCTTCTTCTTCTTCTTCTTCTTCTTCTTCTTCTTCTTCTTCTTCTTCTTCTTCTTCTTCTTCTCTTTCTAGATACCAGGATGAGAAAAATGAAAAAGGTTTTGTCTGACAAACCTATACTTACTGTCTTATAGGATTTAGCCTAGAATGAACCAATTACTCGCACACCTATGATATAAATTATATAAATATGTAACATAAATATATACAAAACAGTGCCAGGCAGCCATCTTAGAAGGGCCATTCTTTGGTAGTTCAGCTTGCCACTAGCTGACTAACAGATTGAAAATCCTATGGGCAGCCCAATGCCACCTGACAGATCCTCACTTTAGGGCTTCTTTAGGAAGTGAATCCAAAGAAGGAGATGGAGTCTGTGCAACCTTATGGATTTTTGGAAAGTAGAATGAGGAAGGGAGAACAGGAAAGAGAGGAAGAAAGACTTGGTGGGGAGAACGACAGGCCTCATTGTGGTCGCTTGTGTTTCCTTTTCAGGATCCTGCCAGCCTCAGCCTTCCTGCCATGAGTGCATTCAGTCCCACCCCAGTTGTGCCTGGTGCAAGCAGCCGGTAAGTCCTCAGTCTCGTGAGCCTCTCTTGCCATTCATCCCCCCCCCCGTCCTGTTTCCAACATCGCCTTAGAAGGACTCGGAAGGCATTTGTTCTAAGACCAGCATCCAGACGGGGTCTTTTGTGGCTAAGAGGTAGCCTGCAGCCCTCTCTTCTCTAGCCAGCTAAGAGGTGATGAAGAGAGCATACATTTCTAGCAACCTGAAGCAAGAACATTGTTACTGGAACCTGCCGCCTTTCTGCCTTGTATCTCTTCCTTCCCAGTGGCTCACTGATTTGCCTCTTGAGTAGTCACACTGAGTTGGAAGGTGAACCTCAAGGAGGAATCTTTGGGCTTTTGAGTCGAGGAGTTCTTGGTGAAGCCAAGCCAGGCAGCTGCATTCTTTTGCCCAAGGTGCAAGATTTCCTTGAAGGCAGCAACATCAGCAGACAGCAACTGGCAAGGTTGTCCTCTGATTCACCCCTTGCCCTTTCGGTCTCAGTTGATGTGTGAAGACTTGAGTCAGCAAGACTCAACAGCAGCTGCCCACTTCAGGCAACCGTGGGAAGTTGGAGGCTACCAAAGTACTGTGATTCTTTGGCTGGCTAAGTCTTTCTTCTATGATTTGGATTTTCATCATCTCTTTTGGAGATGTTCTTCAAATGAAGCACAATAAGAAGAGGCAATGGGACAGGCACATTTTTTTCTCCAGCCTTGACACCTTAGTGAGAGCCATCCTGATTCCTCTGCATTATCTGCTCTTCCCTGAACCCACTCTAGCCCCTCCAGATCAGTACAGACAGTCCTCGACTTACAACAGTTCATTTAGTGACCATTCAAAGTTATAACAGCACTGAAAAAATGTGACTTGTGATCGTTTTTCACAGTTAACGACTTTTGCAGCATCCCCAGGATCACATGATCAAAATTCAGATGCTTGGCAACTGGTTCATATTTATGACCGTTGCTGTGTCCCAAGGTCATGTGATCCCTTTTGCGACCTTCTGACAAGCAAAGTCAATGGAGAAGCCAGATTCACTTAACAACAGTATTATTAGCTTAACAACCGCAGTCATTCACTTAACAACTGTGGCAGGAAAGGTCATAAAATGGGGCAAGATCAGTTAACAAATGTCTCACTTAACAACAGAAATTTTGGGCTCAGTTGTGGTCAAGAATTTCCTGTACTCAGTTCCCCCAGAATCTATTTACACCTGCCACCAAAAGAACCTTCCAATCATGAGCATGTTTGCAAAGTATTGTCTGCAACAAAGTAGGACCAAATAGGGTAGGGGTAGGCAACGTTGGCTCTTTTATGACTCGTGGACTTCAACTCCCAGAATTCCTGAGCCAGCCATGCTGAGGGAAAAGGGAGAGTTTCCAAGCCGAGCCATGCTGGCTCAGGAATTCTGGGAGTTGAAGTCCACAAGTCATAAAAGAGCCAAGGTGGCCTACCACTGAAATAGGGTGAGCCCCCCCCCACTTGCATGTTCCTGTATTATGTGTTATTGCAAAGGAGAGATTTTTCAATGATATCACTACACATGCTCAGATGCTGCAAAAGCACATTTTGTTCTTTGCTCCCCAGCACAAAAACAGGCTGGCTAGCCCAGACAGTTTGGTTTCTGCTGAAACGAGATGGCTGCTGGCCTTGTTTTTGCCATCAAGGCATAATTTAAAATGCCATTATTTATTTATTTTAATCCTTTCTAATGGATTGTTTTTTTAAAAAAAGAATATATCAGGGAATCAAGTTATACGAGCTGACTTTACTGGCTGTAATGCAGATGTCTTTAGTTTTGGCCTTGTGTACCTGATTACATCTGCCTGGCAAGCCCAAATTCATTTATTTCATTTGCTTTCTCCATGCATGTAGTGCCATGCATGGGGAAAGCTGGAGATGCTGCACTTGTGCTTAGCCTACAGCTGTATGAGATCAACAGACAGGAAAAAATAGGCAACTTTCCTACTCAAAGTATCATTGTCTAAAAATAATGCATCTAAGAAGCAAGACAATAGGGCAGGGCTTTCTACAAAGCAGGATTTTTTCCATTTGTCTGTGGAGATTCTCAATCATCCAAGTCATGATTGTCTCACGGGTGCTTTTCCAAAAAGGCAAGTGGACTTTCTTGATTTTTTTTTCCCTTTAAATTGTTTCACCTCATCCAAGAAGCTTCTTCGGTTCTGAAGAAGGGATGAGAAGTAAAACGTTTTCAAGGAAAAAAAACAAGGAAGTCCACTTGCCTTTTGGAAAAACACCTTTGGGACATCTTTGCCTTTTCTTCATTCATTCCTGTCGTCTACCACCGCTTCTTCGCCTATCTTTAAAAATACTGGATTAATATTAGAGAAATACTTCTGAATGCAAACAGAGTACTATCACTGGAGAACAATAGCTAAATTCATATTTGTGTTGAAGAAGTAGAACACCCTCAATCCCATGTTGGAGGAGCATGTTCAGATAATATTTTTTATAATACCCCAATCAGTTTGATGTAATGTTTAAAGGCACTGGGGAACTGGGAGACAGTGAATTCTAGTCCCATCTTGGGCAGCTGGGTAACCTTGGACCAATCACTCTCCCTCAACACTAAGAAGCAGGCAAGGGCAAACCATTTCTGGGGAGAGGAGGGAAACCTGGCCAAGAAAATTTCACGGATTTGCTCAGGCAGTCTCCAAGAATTGGGCACAACTGAGCAGAAAGGGGGGGGGGAGTTAATTACAGGTATTCCTTGGCTTATGACCACAATTGAGCTCAAAATTGATGTTGCTAAGTGAGACATTTGTTAAGCGAGTTTTCCCCATTTTACAACTTTTCTTGCCACAGTTGTTAAGTGTTTCATTGTTGCTAAGTTAATAACATGATTGTTAAGTGAATCTGGCTTCCCCTCCCCTCCCATTGACTTTGCTTGTCAGAAGGTCACAAAAGAAGATCACCTGATCCTGGGACACTGCAGTCGTCATGAATATGAACCAGTTGCCAAGCATCCAAATTTTGATCATGTGACCATGGAGAGGCTGCAATGGTTGTAAGTGTGAAAAATGGTCATAAATCACTTCTTTTCAGTGCCGTAACTTTGAACGGTCACTAAATGAATGGTTGTAAATCGAGGACTATTTGTACTTGGCTCCTCCATCGCTACGTTCTCCTTACCAGCTCCCTTTCTTGAGCACTGTATAAAGAACCAGGAGAGTGGAAGTTTTCAGCCATACAGCTTCAAGACAAAACTTGAAGAACCCCCAGCTGACATCTCTGTTTAGTTCAGGTTCTCTGTGCAAGAGGGATGCAGGGCGTGGGGACTCTCTTTGGGCGAAATAATCTCCTAAAAAATTGCACCACCATTTCCACAACGAAGGCAGCCCTGATTCCGCCAGAAGTAGCCCCACCCGCCTTGGGTAAAAGAGTCACTGCGATGGCCGGAAAATCCCCCAGGTGCTACTCTGGTTGCCATGAAACAACTCACCACATCCTGCCCAACTGCTTGTCTGTATTGTGTGTTTAACTACTATCTTTCGTGACAGTATCTCTTAGGACCAGACCATCTTTTTGTGGTTGGTGGTACTTCTGAGGACTTTGAACAGTGTCAGTGTAATGAAGTGTTGTGTTCAGCAGGGCAGGCCTGAAATGTGGGGCCCCTTCTCATTGCCTTGAGGGGCTTAAGGGCTTCTAAAAGGGAAAAAATAAGGAGGTTAAGCTGGTCACAGGCAGCAACTTTTAACTGTAAGCTGAATGAACACCTATGTTACTGAACATTAGTTCTTTACTGCCAAATGTCAGGATACTGTAAACACGAGAGTTTTCCTGTGCTGGGTGCAATGCTTTGTCAGACCTGAATTGGGAGGGGGGAAAACTCACCTCCATTAGCCAGGTGGTAAAGCAATGATTATACCTTTAGAGGGGTTTTTTTTTTACAGTCCTGAAGCTTTTGAACTGTTTTCAAAAGGGGGAAAAGAATTCACTGGAGTTTTGCTGGGTTGAATAACTTTACACTCTGAAGAGATAAAAACTATGATGGATCCTCACCTTGATTTTCTTCCTTCTGTTTCTCCATCTTCCTGGATATGTTTAATAGATATCTTTAGCTTTGTGCACAGTCTTGTTTTACAGTCACTTCAAGAGGCAGGGAAATACTGAATGCAATAACCACCGTATCTTGATATATATATGCCTGAGGAGACAAAAAAATCCATCTCTTGGAAAGCTCTTTTAGATCTCTGAAGCATTCCAGGTACATCCTTGGACAAAATGAAACAGGAGTCACAATCACATTCTTTCAGACTGTAGTAGGTAGTCCTTGTCCTACAACACTTAATTTAGTGCCCTTTCAAAGTTACAATGGCACTGAAAAACGTGAATTATGACCGTTTTTCACAGTTACGACTGTTGCAGCATTCCCATGGTCATATGATCAAAATTTGGACACTTGGCAACTGACTCATATTTATGAGGGTTGCAGTGTCTTGGGGTCAGCTGGACACCTTTTGCAAACTTCTGACAAGCAAAGTCAATGGGGGGAAGCCAGATTCTCTTAACAACCATGTTACTAACTTAACATCTGCAGTGATTCACTTAACAATTGTATGAAGTAGTATCCATCAGACTTCCACATTCTTCTGCTGCTCACTCTTAAAAAATAACAGATCTCTTTTAGACCTTCAGGCAGCCTCCACTTTTTCTACTTTTAGAAGAGGGCTGAAGACACTCTCTTCATCTGGGAGAAAGAATATGATATTTAATTGTGATCTTCTAGAACTGACATGAGCTGGAATCAAGGGAACACTGGCAGGCAGACCTCTTCTTAGAAAATTTCCCAGTAGAAGAAAAGTACAGTAGGTTGTCATCAGCTAGTTAAGCAATATGTTCCAAAAAACAGTAAAGTATTCTGCCTTCAGTCCAGATCTATGGAAAATAGAACATAATTGGATTTCCTGGCCTGCAGCTTGGATGTTTTTAGGCAGGTCTTCCATGTAATAATAATAATAATAATAATAATAATAATAATAATAATAATGGAGTTTGGCTTGGACAAATGTGCCACACTTACTATCAAACAAGGAAAAGTAGTGAAAACTGAAGGAATCAAGATGCCCCATGAAAATAACATTAAGAGTCTGGATGAGGAAGAGTATTACAAATACTTGGGTATCCTTCAAGCTGACAACATCAAGCACACTGAAGTCAAGAAAAAGATTAGAAGTGAATACATCAAGAGAGTGAAGAAGATCTTAAAGTCCAAACTCAATGGAGGAAATACCATAAAGGCAATCAACACCTGGGCAATTCCAGTCATTAGGTCCACAGCTGGAATAGTGGACTGGACTCAAGCAGAACTAAAAGCAATGGATAGGAAGACCAGAAAAATAATGACAATGAATCATGCCCTTCATCCATGCAGTGACATTGACAGACTTATCTACCAAGGCAAATAGGTGGGCGTGGAATGCTACAAGTACATCAGATGGTTGAAGAAGAAAAAATGGCTTTGGAAGAATATCTGAAGAACAATGATGAAGATGCACTGAAATTAGTATATCAGGAAGGCTTACTGACTACTGGAGAGACCAAACTGACCTACAAGAAAGACCAAATGAAGAACAGAATAGAGACATGGGAAGACAAAGCACTACATGGACAATACATTAAAAAAATATTAACAAGACCTGGCAATGGCTAAGAGCAGAAAAATTGAAGAAAGAAACCGAGGGACTAATTCTGGCTGCACAAGACCAAGCCTTAAGGACAAATGCATATAAAGTCAAAATTGAGAAGACAGCAACAGACCGTAAGTGCCGCCTATGCAAAGAAGCTGAAGAAACAGTGGACCACCTGGTAAGCTGTTGCAAGAAGATTGCACAGACTGACTACAAGCAGCGGCATGACAAAGTAGCAACAATGGTGCATTGGAAGATCTGCAAAAAATATCATTTGCCTGTAAGCAAAAACTGGTGGAATCATAAAATAGAGAAAGTCATAGAAACTGATAAAATTAAACTGCTCTGGGACTTCAGAATTCAAACAGACAAGCACCTGCAACATAACACCCCAGACTTAACAATTGTCGATAAGAAAGACAAAAAGTCTGGATAGTGGACGTGGCAGTGCCTGGAGATAGCAGAATAGAAGAGAAAGAACTGGAGAAGATAACAAAATACAAAGACCTACAAATAGAAATAGAAAGACTGTGGCAAAACCAAGCAAGGGTAGTACCAATAGTAATAGGCTTCTTGGGTGCAATCCCAAAACAACTGGAGCACCACTTGAACACCATTGGCATTGATAAATTTGCTATTAGTCAATTGCAAAAGGTGGCCTTATTAGGAGCTGCTTCCATCCTGCAACGATATCTGTAATACCATCAAACATCCACATCTGCCTATCCCAGATCCTGGGTAAGGACTCGATAGGTAGACAAAATGCCAAATCCAGTCTGAACATCTGGCTGACTGTGTGATGATCAATAATAATAAAGTTGGAAGGGACCTTGGAGGTCATTGAGTCCCCCCTGCTCAGGCAGAAAGCCTTATACCATTTCGGACAAATGGCAGTTCAGTCTCTTCTTAAAAACCTCCAGTGTTGTTGGAGCATTCACCGCTTCTGGAGGCAGGTTGTTCCATTGGTTAATTGTTCTAACTGTCAGGAAGTTTCTCCTTAGTTCCAGGTTGCTTCTCCCCTTGATCAGTTTCCATCCATTGCTTCTTGTCCTGACTTCAGGTGCCTTAGAGAATAGCTTGACTCCCTCTTCTTTGTGGCAGCTCCTGAGATATTGGAACACTGCTATCATGTCCCCCCTCGTCCTTCTCTTCGTTAAACTAGACATACCCAATTCCAGCAACCGTTCCTTATATGTTTTAGCCTCCAGTCCCCTAATATTCTTCTGCTTTTTATTCTTTCTCTTTGAACTAAATTAAATTTCACAGAATGCATGGGATGTTAAAAGCCAGCCACTTGGGGGAAGTGAATGTTAATTTGCAAAATGAAGCAAAACGCTGCATCTTGGAAATCATGATTCTAGACAGCAAATCAGAAAATTACCTAATAGTGAAACTTGGTTTCATAAACATCTTTGCTTAAATGATAAGAGTGCTGAGTAGCTTTCAGGAGTTATGCTATCAAAGAAAAAGAGAGAGAGAGAGAGAGAGAGAGAGAGAGAGAGAGAGAGAGAGAGAGAGAGAGAGGTTCCCTGAGGATGGGCTCCAGCACAAGTCCGAAGTTTGGAAGAATAAATCTCTGATCCTTATGACCGACTCAGATTGGATCCTGCATTCATTATTCATTTTATTATGTCCTATTTATAGTCACGATCTTGTATTGCCTCATGTTCAGGACCAGAAGGAGCATGATAGCTAGAAATAAGGCACCAGTCCAGAAGTCAAAGTTTATAACCTGCCTGCTCAAAAAGCAGGTCAGTGGAGCGATTAAAATTCAGCATCTTGAGAAGAGCAACTTAAAACTTAAAAAAACACCACTTCCAATTAAAACTATTGCAATGAGAAGGGTTTATAAATGCAGCAGGGTTGTGATCATCTTCTTGGAAGAGGTGAATGTGAAAGAGGACGGCATGTCTTCTTTAAGAACAAACCCTACTGTTAGAAACACAGAGCCAAAATCAAAACGGTCTGCATTTTTACATACAAGGAGACAAAACCTACATGACTTTCCAAGTAAGAGTGATTTAATAACCTAGCTTTAGAGCAGTGTTTCTCAACCTTGGCAACTTTAAGAATCCCATAGCCACCCCTGGGGAAATCGGGGAGTTTAAGTCTTAAAAGTCATCAAGGTTGAGAAACACTGTTTTAGAAGTTTTGCAGAGAGGCTTTGGAAAAATAGAGGAAGAACTTGTGAATTTTGACACTGACTGAAAGACAGGTGAAAGGAAGGAACTGCTCTCCATGGCCACCAAATTGCTCCATCAAATAGATGGCAAACAAACATGTATCACTCTGCTTAATGTGGAGCATTCAGCCTGATACAGAATTACACATTCCCCAATCAGATTTGATTCTTTTAAAATACATACGTAAGTAATCCTGGCATGGGCACAGCAGTCATCTCCTAACAGGAAAAGGGGGGCAACCTGTGCCCCCCCCCAGCCCTCTGAGGCTTAGAATATGGTACCTGCAGATGGGGAAAATCCTCTCTATCTTCCAGTGCTCTTTTTCCCCCTCTCCCCACTGCCAAACTGATAAGCAAAGGAGGCCACTTCCTATCGGGTTTATTGCAGTGGTCTCCTGTTTCTCTAAGTGAAAAATACAGAAAAAAACCACAGATCCAACCATAGCTCTGCTTGCCTTTTAAACTCTGCAGGAGCCAGATAAGTTAACATTCCCCACCCATCTTTTCAAAGACGGTGACACTAGCTTCTCCATAAGACAGAAACAACAACACACTTGCCAGGCCCATGTCCTTGCAGGGGAATGGTACCAGCTCTTAGACCTCCTGGGCATTTCAACTTCCTGTTTCTTGCCCTTCCTTGTGCTAAGTCCCTGCTGAATTCAAAATTATGATAAGAACAATCTCTCCCCCCCCCCCCCGATTCTGTTATCTTCTTCTTTGGTCAGCAGTAGCAGCAATGGCAAAGGATGACGGCTCCATTTTGAAAGGGATTGGGAATTTCTGCCTGCCTCTTCCATCACTCCTAATGAAAGTATTATAGTCATCATTTTCTTGAATGCAAATGAAGGTTGTTAGGAGATATTTTGGACACCAGCTTTCTTCAGATCTTGAGAGGACATAAATTTGGGTATAAAGCGCAATACCAAGCAGATTAGAATGATTTTTTTTTTCATCTATATCTGTTTGCCCATGGGTCACAATGGGTCGGACACGACTTCGCAACTAACAACAAAACTTCTCCACTTAAGCTTTCTTTCTTTCTTTCTTTCTTTCTTTCTTTCTTTCTTTCTTTCTTTCTTTCTTTCTTTCCTTCTCTCCCTCCCTCTCTCTCTCTCTCTCTCTCTCTCCCTCCCTCCCTCCCTCCCTCCCTCTCTCTCTCTCTCTCTCTCTCCACACATTCTGGAGAGAAATTCCTTGAGGATGGATCCCAGCACAAGTCTGAATGTTTGGAGGAATAAACCTCTGGTCCTGGTGACTGACTCAGATTGAATCCTGCAACATTATCCTGGGATACTATATTTGCTTTCGTTCGTAAATAATGAATGTCCTAGTATGAAATTCCAGTTCCCTCTAATGAATGTCAATGCCTATTTTCTGTTTTGCTGTTTGGGAATGTCTCTAAAAACCATTGCATTAATCAATCAAATCTTTATTACGGTCATAGACAAGCATACCATTTCATTAAGTTTCTATTCCCCTGGTTTGAAAGCATTGGGAATTGAGTTGGAAGAGCAACGTCCCATTGCTCTTCTGCTATGGGAATTCAGAATGGTGAAATACCACAAGACAGCACTGCAAATAGCCACCTCCTCATTCTTCCCAGGATTTTGTGCAAGCAGGAGAGTCTGATGCAGAACGTTGTGCCCCTCGGCCAGAGCTGGAGCATCGTGGCTGCCTTCCAAGTGAGATCATGGATCCCCAAGGCAAGCAGCATATTTTGGAGGACAGGCCTCTGAAAGATAATATGTACCATGAAAACATCATTCAACTATCACCTCAAAGAATTGTTCTTCAGCTTCGGCCTGGTAAGTATCTTTATTGGAAAGACTCTCCAGACTGTGAAGAATCTGAAGAGCACTGGGTTGCCTGATCCTAATAGCTTGCCAATAGGAAGTTTCCTCCCAATAAAAGAGAATATTTGTAGCTCAGGGTTGAAATGAAGGTTCCTTGGTTCTCTCTGAGCTTAGTGGTTTTCTTGCACATTACCCAAACTAGGTAACAGCATCAGCACTGATGATGTTACCTAGTTTGGGTAATGAAATGGCTGCAAGAAAACAACCAAGCTCAGAGACCACCAAGGAACCCTCAGTTCTCCCCATCCCTTCCCAGGCCAGGTACATCTTCTTCCCTTCCTTCCTCCCTTCTGATTCTGTCCCTGTAGGAAAAGAACAGAGTTTCACTGTCCGCTTCAAACGGGCTGAAGGTTATCCTGTGGACCTCTACTACCTCATGGACTTGTCCTACTCCATGAAGGATGACCTGGAGAAGATCAAACAACTGGGAAGTGACTTGATGGCGACCCTGCGCAAAGTTACTACCTCAGCGAAGATTGGTATGTAATGAAAACTCTGAACAGGGAAATACCAGAAGGTATAGGAAGAGCATCATAGTTTAGTGCAAGCCTTAGAAGAAAAGATGTAAAGTATTCCCAACAATACATGTAAACTGGAATTATTTTGATTTTGGACACATTTATTTTAATATTTTTTAAAATATTAATGAGGATACCTTGGCTAGTATCTGAATTCTTTATCTTTACTAAGGAAAAAACTTTGCATCCTTGCTAACTTGCACTTACCTAAAAGTTTTCTTTATAGAGCCACATATTAGGCTTTTGTACTATTTTATCCCTTGGATGAGAATGTTTTCTTTGTAACTCTTGTAAACTGACCTGAACATTGCAAATTCATTTGAACTGTTAGGTTTGCTTGTTGCATTGTGGTGGCGCAGTAGTTAGAGTGCAGTACTGCAGGCTACTTCTGCTGACTGCCAGCTGCCAGCAGTTCAACAGTTTGATCCTGACAGGTCTCAAGGTTGACTCAGCCTTCCATCCTTCTGAGGTTGGTAAAATGAAGACCCAGATTGTTTGGGGGCAATATGCTGACTCTATAAACCACTTAGAGAGGGCTGTAAAGCACTGTGAAGCGGTATATAAATCTAAGTGCTATTACTATTGTGCTCTCTCTCCCCTCACTCTTTCCCCTGAGGTTTTTTTTAATGTGCACAGACTTATTCTAAGTCTTGCCCTAGTTTTACTGTGCATCCCACTTTTGTATCAACTCCTTGGTAACTGTATGTCAGCTTTCTCAAGTAGACCAGCAGGAAACACGACCAGATAAACTAATACTACTTTACTATAAAGCTGTATTAACAGACTCTTGCATGTGTAAAGTACCATTCTCCTGCCATCTCTTTTAAAGCCTGAGAACCTAAGGAAGCTCCCTTCTGAGCCTGTTGCCCCGCCCACTATCCAGCTGTGGGCTATGCTCTCTTTTATCTGACTGTTCCCTAGGTGGCCTCTGTTCACCCTGTCTCCCAAAGTCTTATCCATGTACTTGTAGGAGGTTGTAAAGCCCTCAGACTGGGGCTTAAGGGCAACATGTGGGCCTGGTGACTAAAGTTGCCCTCCATCCTAATTTTAGGACTATATGCAGAAGAGAAATAGTAGGAATTTATAAGCAGTGTTTCAATGTATACACAGACTGAGGAAGACAGAAGATCTTTTCATTGCAGGGTTTGGTGCCTTTGTAGACAAGACGGTGCTGCCTTATGTAAATATGGTTCCTTCCAAACGGAAACATCCCTGCCAAAACCCAAAGGAGAATTGCCAGTCGGCGTTCAGCTTTCGGCATGTGCTCCCTCTCACTGAGAACGCCAGTGAGTTTGAGAGCAGGGTCAGTCAGCAGGGCATCTCTGCCAACCTGGATTATGCAGAAGGAGGCTTTGATGCTATTATGCAGGCAGCCATTTGCAAGGTGAGTGTAGCAGAAGCCCTGAGCACACAGTCTCCAATAACAATGAGGCACCTGCTGGCAAGGTACCTCCAACCCAGATGTTTGTAACCTTCTGTCCTTTGAGATGCTTGTATGAATTGTGCCCATGTTGCTCTATGCTAGGGAGAACGGTAAGAAAAGTCCCATCCTAATAAGGCTTTTTCCTTCTCCATTTTCACAATTTATCCAGGATTTCAACTTTCAAGGTAGGAATACTAAACCTCAACTGATTAATACCATTAACTTTTCTGTTTTCATAACCAGCAGAACAGTCCTGCCAGAGCAGACTAAACTATGAATTAAGCAGGATTGATTCTTTCTTTACTCAGCTTCCCTGGATGGCACCTTTTCTCTTTCTTTTCAGTGCTGAGAGAAAAAATGAGAAAGAAACCTCTTTCTCTAGCTGCTTTTTCTATACCATGTCAAACTTTATAAACTTATTTCACCATTATATGTGCCCCCCCCCAAAGCTTGGTAACAGGTTATATTTTACCACTTCATACAAAGTTGTGACTGTTCTTTTCCTACAGCAAAATCAGGAAGTTCTCCAAGAGTTCTCACACTTCTCCCAAAGAATGATTTTGATATTTTTCCTGTAGAAAAGAATACATGCCCTTCTTCCTTGCTCTGGACAACTCTTAGGCTTTAAAATCCACTAGGCCAGGGTTCCCCAGCCCCTGGTCCCTGGACCAGCACCAGTCTGAAGCATGCCAGAAATTGGGCCATGCAAACAAGCGAAGCCCCATCCATGGGATGCAGGCAGTACCCAAAACCATGCCCCTTCCAGTCCAGGGAAAAATCTCTCTCCATGGAACCAGTCCCTAGTGCCCAAAAGGTTGGGGCCCGCTGCACTAGACAGCTACGAGCCCAGGATTCTGTAGACCAGATCAACTTCCTTCCTTCCTTCCTTCCTTCCTTCCTTCCTTCCTTCCTTCCTTCCTTCCTTCCTTCCTTCCTTCCTTCCTTCCCCCCTCTCTCTGTTTTAAACTTTCTTATCTATTCCTTGTTAGACTTTCCAACAGACTTTTTATGAAATATTTTTTTTATTGAAAGTTTTTGAATTTTACAAAATAAATTCCTTCCCCCAACCCCCCACCCTCCCATACCCTCCCCCTCTCCCCAAACCTCCCATACCCTCCCTCAACCTTCCCAGAACTGAGTACAGAAATATTTTAAAACCTTTAAATATCATTTTTTCCTTTGTAATTCAGAAAAAAATGTTGACTCGCCAAGTGGAATTATCATATCCTACTGCTCAGATAATCTCTCTTTAGCTGTAAATTAATTACATCCAAAGGTGTTTAAGAAACTCAGGCATGCATGAATCTTGTATCCCTATAAGCTGCATTACGTCTGTGAACTTGATTAATAGCCCTTGACTCCCCACTGCTCAACTCTTGAGTCAACCACAAAACCCTCAGTTTCTGCCATCTCTTCATGAGGAGCAGTTGTACAGAGTGCAAGTAGGCGATCTCACTATCTCTCTTTACCCGGAAAGACTGCACTGGCTATCCACATCCGCAGCAATGGCATCCTGGCATCAGGGATGTCAAGTCCACCACAGATCCTCAACCAGAAGCCATTCCTACTTTTTCTCAATCCAGAGATCCTCAACCAGAAGCCACTCCTACTTTTTCTCAATCCAGAGCAAAATTTCACACAAATTTCATTGCGAGCCCACAGTCTGATAGTTCAAACTTTGGTAACTGCTGTATTAGATTTGTTTGCTGCTTTCTATATTTTCACTGGGAAATCCTATTTTCTAAAAACTATACTAAGTGACAAAATCTGAGGTTTGGTATTGGTAGGTCTAACAGATCTTGAACTTTGATCCGAGCTTTATTCAAATGCTGTCTTGACCTCTTCTGAATATGCAACACTCCTGAGACATGGCTAAGGAGTATTCAGAATGAAAATATTGATGAAATTGGAGCTGCTGATTTGAATGTGGGAGAAACCATCTGACCCTTGCTCTCTCTTTTGCAGGAGCAGATTGGCTGGCGTAATGTGACAAGTCTGCTGGTTTTCACTTCAGATGGCACCTACCACACTGCAGGGGATGGGAAATTGGGAGGGATCTATATGCCCAATGATGGCCTCTGCCACCTGGATGCCAATGGTGTATATAGCAAAAGTCACCTCTACGTAGGTTTCCTTCTTAGCTTCTTGAAAAACTACTGGGATTGCTTAGAAAATAAGTGAAAGTGCAGTGTCTACAACACCAAAACCTGGGACTCTTGGGGGTGCTGAACAATTCAGTGGCACAATCTTCTCAAAACCTGGTATCTTCTTGGATATTTTGGATTTTAACTCTAGTTGAAAGAGGAATTCTGGCAGTCGGTCTCAGGCATCTGAAGAACATCAATTGCAGGATTATTGAAGCAGAATCCAAATCCTCTGACCCAACTGGAATATGGAGAGAACAAAGGGATTGCAAAATCTCCCAGTCCCTATTGATTGAAATTCTGTGGGAGGGAAATGATGAGGAAGTGTGGAAATGCTTGGGGCTGTGAAATCAATGGGGGAAGGAAGAACAGGGAGAAAGGTAAATGTGTAGACCAATGGGTGATTTGGATGGCCTACCATGCCTATGTCTGGGGTTACTGAATCCATCACACAACTATCAAACATGTTTTCCTCATAGCAATGTCTAGTTATTAGCTGAGGAAAAGAGAACGAATATTAGTTGTACTTTACAATGTTATGAGCAATAGCATTGGATGTAAGATTATTTGTTGAAATAGTAAGTAACCAAGAGCCCACTAACAACTCCCATTAGCTTTAACCAACACAGTAAAAAATAAAAGACAATGAGAATTTATTCAAATCTGGAGCATGTCAAGTTGCCTAACCCTGGCTTACTCTTTGAGCATCTATTTAGCCCTTCATTAGGTAATGGGATCATTGTCACCAACAATGGTAGCTGTATATCTGCCTCCCCACTCCAACACTGTATATTCTACTGAGCTCTAGATCAGTGGTTCTTAACCTGGGCGATATTGCCCCCCAGGGGGCGATTTCATTTTTCATGGGGCGATGGAATGAAAAAGGGTGATGTGGGGGTGAAGGAACAAAAAGGGGGCGATATGGGGGCGATGGAGCGAGAAGTTTTGGGGACACTTTTGAGACTTTTTCGTACAGTGAATGGCTGTATATCTGTCGTACAAAAACATCAGATCGCTCACTATTAGTGGATTGAATTGTGTTTTCAAATGTTCCTCCAGCTAGCTTCAGTACAGAATGCCGTACATATGTAAATACGCATTGCTTATTTTCATGCATGTTGTTCAGCAGCCTCTACCCATACAGTGGCGCACCATTAGCCAGAATACGGGAGATATGGGGAAAAGACTGGAAATAAATTATTTGCATCGTTATGTCCTGATGACAATTTTAAAGAAAACAAAAAAAGTGTTTGCATAAATTTAAGAATTATTTCCCATGTTGTGATTGACAGGTTATGTTGGGAGAGGGGGGCGATGACAACTTCCTCATTGGCTCAAGGGGGCGATTCGTTCAAAAAGGTTAAGAACCACTGCTCTAGATTACTACAATACCATGCTAGTCCCTATTTCTCCATGGTAGCTAGGGGAAGTGTAACAGCACAGTGGAAATAAGCTGGTAGTTTGACAGTGGATATGTATTTATTTCTAATTGCCATATATATGTTCTCTCCAATTTAGCACTAAAGCACTAAACAAACTATTGGTCCGTCTGACCTAATAACTTGGTCTGTGTGAGAGAGGCTTTCTAAAGCTTTGAAGGATGGCCTTTTCTTGTCTTTCTGTCCAAGCCCATACTTATTAGAGATAGCAGGAACTGAACTGTATCTGCTGCAACAAAAAAACATGCATCTGTATTAGTGCCTTAGTTCTAGCCATAGTCTTTGAAGAGATGCTCTGAAGAAGTCTGATGTAAATAATGAAAATTCAATCAGTTGCTGCACATGCTTCTGCTTTTTTGGAGGGTGAAAGTAAATTCACAACATTTGGTTTGGAAGGGAGGGCACAAAGCTGCTGGATTCGATCTGAAGTCCTGATGAGAGGGAACAGTAGGTCCCTAGGAGAAAAAAACAAGGAGGAAGGGAATGAAGAGAAGCATCTGTCCCTGTAACTTCAGCCTCTGTTTTTTTCCGCAGGACTATCCTTCTCTTGGGCACTTGGCTGAAGTGTTGTCCAAATCTAACATCCAACTCATATTTGCCGTGACTAGGACCAGGCTCTCCTTATATAAGGTGCATGCTGAATTGAAGAGTGGGGAAGGGAGATTTACTTGGACTATTGGGGAGGGGGTACAATCTCCCACTCACATTTTTCTCTCCTTTCTAGGAGCTGAGCAAGCTTATTCCAAAGTCAGTGGTGGGGGAACTGAAGTCGGACTCCACAAATGTGGTACAGCTCATAGAAGATGCCTATAAAGTGAGGCCATTGAGTAGTCTGGCTCATCTGAAATTAACCCTGATCACTTACTAGGGGAAATACCACCTTTCCAGTGCCACCATCTACCCGAGCATTACTCAGAAAATGGCCTGAGGGGACCCAGTCCTCATGCTCTAATAAGAAATAAGTAGACTACATAAGTTATCATAGCTGGGAGATAACCTAGAAGCACTCTGAGCCCCTTGAATGGACTGTACGTCAGAGGAGGCTTCCTCATACAGCTCTTCTAGTCTAGAGCAGTTTTTCAGTTTGTTTTGGATATTCTCAGAATCAGTAATGAGTGAAATTGAGAAGGATCCTGCTTAGTTACCCTGGCTTGTACTCAAACGCTCCCAGGTGCAAGAGAAATTAAACAACCATCTGTCCAGGCAAGTGAATGAATAGGCAGAGACTGGATGCCATGCTTTGCTTCACCTCTGGCTTGATGCAAACCAAGTCAGCCACTGGAGGAAAAATGTTCCAACCATTATGCATAGAACAGGAATGTGGCCAAGACAGAATTCTCTCCTTTTTCTTAGCCATAAGATCTCAGATGGCGTACATCAGGGGTGTCAAACTGCTGGCCCGTGGGCCGGGTGCATCATGCCAAAACCGTGCCCACCCCATTGCTGGCAATGGAAAAAAAGTTGTAATACATTGCGAGTTTGACACCCCTGGTGTAGAGGTTAAGATGTTAGATTGGTACTGGAGAGCTCCAGGTTCTACTTCACCCTCAGCCATGGAAACTTAGTTTTGTGCTAGATGTCCTCTCCCAGCCCCACCTACCGCAGAGGGTAATTTTTGTGGAGGGGGGGGGAAATGGGATGAAGAATACTAGGTTGCTATATTGCATCTATATATGCTATATATGGATGTATAGAAGAAGGTGTGGCAGAACCTAGGGGTGAAGTTAAAAGAGGGATCAGCCCAGAATCCCTATGTAGCCACAAATGAACTAAGTCCAAATTCTACTGACCCTTATCTAATTCCAAGCAGGTGCTGTTAGTTGAGAAGATTCCTTTGCATAGACATAATTAGCAATAAATCAGTTTCATTGAACCTTCACATGTGAACCTGATCTTTCGTGCCTGACAGGATGCCATATGTAGCCATTTTTACTGCTGTATATGCTATATTGAGCTCCTGCAGAACAGAAGGACTAATATTTGGCATACTGTTTTTTGATTTGGTGGCTAAATGACTTTTAATAATCTTATCACATTTTGTCCTGATAGTATATACATCATCCCAATCATCTTTCCTGCCTAGTAGTCAATTTGATGCTCCCATAAAATTGTGGCTTTCTTAAAGCAAATAATTGAGCTGAGTTTTGAAGCACAGGCCCTCCCTATTCACTATGTCTGCTAGTAAGAGCATGTGTAAGCACTCCTCTTTTCAGCCTTGCTTTGTAGCATTGTGTCATCTGAGCCATAAGCCTACTCACAACAGATTCTACTTGTCTCTCCACAGAGTCTCGCCTCCACAGTGAAACTGGGACATTTCTCAGACCTTCCGCCTGGGATCTCCATTGCTTATGACTCCCATTGTGGGGACACAGAAACCTATGGGCAGACAGAGGGTGGAGAATGCAGTGACGTGTCTGTCCACCAGTTGGTGAGTATTTAGGTCAAGAACTTCTGATGGCGCCAAGCATGTCTCAGGAGAGGGTCCCAAACAGGTCACTGCGTTACAGCTCCAGCAGTCTAAGAGCTGACAGAGCAGTGATGGCGAACCTTTTAGAGACTGAGTGCCCAAACTGCAACCCAAAACCCACTTATGGATCGTCGGGTGCCAGGTGGGTGTGACCCATTGGGTGGGTGTGGCTGCCATGGTAACAGCAGACTGGGTGGGACTAAAAAGTTCAATCAATCAATTCCAACTTTGCAAGATCTTTTTTTTCCCATGAGAAGTTGAAATTGACTGATTGATTGAACCTTTTTTTTTTGTACACGGCGGCAGAGGCCTAAAGCGAAAAGGTTTTATAAAACCCAGCTGAAGGCCTAGGACTGGGGCGACAGAACACGTGCCCACAGAGAGGGCTCTGAGTGCTGCCTCTGGCACCCGTGCCTTAGGTTCGCCACCACTGGAATAGAGGGATGCTAGAAATTGGAATTTGGCAACATCTGGCACAGGTTTATCACTTAGGGAAGTCTATGGAGCCCCTCTCATTCATCTATCTTCCCAAGGTACAATTCACAGTGAAGATAATGGCAACCACCTGCCTCCCTGAGTCCCAGAAACTGATGTTGCGAGTTTTGGGAGTGGGAGAGGAGGTCCAAGTAGAGCTGTCGACAGTCTGTGAATGCCAGTGTGGAGATGCCCAGCCTGATGCACACCACTGCTCTGGTGGACATGGCAACCTCACCTGTGGCATTTGCAGGTATTTATCTGATAAATTTCACTGTGTTTTTTAAAAGCTGCCTTGCTGTGTCATAATAGTCAAAGATCTTGACAGGCTAGGCAGAAACAGACCTGATAAGTACTAGGAGGGGAGGCTATAGATTTAGCCTGGGAGGGCAACAAAACAGAACACACACAATAGCAAAATCCTTCTGGTTACCATTGATGTGTCCCAAAGGCCCCGGGAGTCAAATCTGACTTGAAGGAAGTTTTACTTCACTCCAGTAATGGACTGATAGTAAAATTAAAAGTATAATCGGAATGTATCAATGGTAGAGTTAGTAGCACCTCTAAAAATGCTGCCAAGAAAATTGCATGGACTTGTCCAGGCAGGAGACAAGACTGACTTAAAGGCCTCACCATCACCCGGATCTAAAATTCTCTCCAGAGAATTCTCGCCTGAAATTCTTTCCAGGATCTAGAATTCCCAGTTTCCCCAGGCCTAAGTGGGAGCTGGGCTCCCCTCGAGAGGCCCATAGCTAGGCTCAGATCAGGCCACATTCGTTCTCTCTGACATCCACCGTACTACTGGGATCTCCTTCCAGGATTAATTTTAAGTTGTTCTTGTTTAAACTCCTGTGTCAGCCGCCCCTCTGCACCATCCTACAATGTTCTTGTAAGATTATATGAGAAGAGGAAAAATATACAAATGAACAGAGGAAGAAGTAAACCATAGGGAGAATGGCAGGGAAAATAAGAGAAAAAGAAAAATCAGATAAAATGTGACAGATAGTGATGAAGAATGCAGAACAATATGTCACTCCTTCTTTAGCAAGGAAGTTATCTCTTAACTGTTATATTCTTCCCAGCACCACAAAAGCTAACTAATGACTTGGGTTATTCAAACATTATATAAAAACACAGAAAACAAACATTTATAAAGCCATTTTATAAACACAATACTACATTAACATTTTCTTTCAATACATATGTCAGGCTTGTAAAGATCCATCCTAACTCTGATTAATCATTGAATTTAAGTCACTCCCTGTTTGAATAACTCCCAAAGTTTGTAAGATATTATTGAAATTAAATTCAAAATATGAATGGTTAATACTTTTAAAGAGAAGAAAAAGATCTTATTGCATTAGTATAAATTGGAGGGAAAGAATTGAATTTAATGAGTTAATTGTAGTCAGTTGGATTTTTAGTGGCGTGATGTGTGTGTGTGTGTGTGTGTGTGTGTGTATACGGTATATACATGAAAGTTTTAATGTTCTTGAGTTCTGAGTTTATAAAGTGGGTTTGAAAATGAAGTTTTTTTTCTTCTCTATAGCTTAAGTAATCCTTAAACTATTATTGAAATTGAATTTTAATATATGTTAACTATTATTGAAATTGAATTTTAATATATGTTAACAGGAAGTTAAAAAACAATAAAGTTTAAAAACAGATGTGTTAGAATATTGTTTTTAGAAATGTTTTTAAAGAAAAGTTTAATATTTTAATTTTTTAAAAAAAATATTTTTTCCCTTTACAGTTAAAAAAGTGGGAAGAATATATTGAATTTTATTAATATAAATTATGACAGTAAAAATTAATGAACAAACAGAAATATATATATTTCCCACAGCAAGGAAAAGCAGAGATTGTTAAATCAATTATTTTATCCAAAGAAGAGAATATATTTAATTTTGTTTCTATTTGGAAATTGCTTCTGGACTGTGTGTTATAATGGGAAAAATGAAATTTTGCTTTTGGTTTTGTTGATTAGACAGGTTTGCTGTTATAGAAATGGCTAGTATATATTATTGTATAAAAGTAAAAAGTTGAGGTTGTAATGTTATTATTTTCTATTGTGCCAAAGAGAGTTGGAAGTCAATGGCTTTTTTTCTTTTTCCCTTTCTATCCCACATTTTCTCCTTTTCCCTTCTTCCTTCCCCTAGTTTTCCATTACTTTTATTTTCTTTTGTATCTTATATTTTGATAAAAATTAATAACATTTGATATACCAGAAAAAAAAACCTATAACGGATGACCTAAATATCTTCCTCTCCCTCAAAATATAACTGTGATGATGGAACTGTGCAATCTAAACACCATAACCACCACCAAATTGGTTATCGACCACAGAAAATAGTGAAAATTTCACTTATTGTTGCAGAGCAATAAATGCTCAAAAAACCATTTTCTTCCTTTGCCTGGAATAAGATCCAGGTCAGAAATATTGCAATAGTAGTGTAATATTGATTTTTTCTTCTTTTACCTTCATGAAATGTAGTCTTATGATCTACAGGTAGTTCTCAACTTATGACTGGACTCTTGGTGACTGATTGAAGTTATGATAGACCACCTAAAAAATACTTACAACCAGTGGTGGGATTCAAATATGTGAACAACCGGTTCTCAGTGTAGATGCCACTTCTGGAAGTCCATTCTGGGCCTGGGCAACAAAAAATTACCGTAAATGCCGGCGTATAAGGCGATTTCCGCGAGCGCTGAAATCGGTGCCAAAGACGGGGGTCGTCTTATACGCCGAGTCGTTTATATGCCGGAAATACTGGTAGTTTCCGGCGTATAAGACGACGTTCTAAGAATGCGGCCCGGCTATAAAGACGGGGGTCGTCTTATACGCCGGGTCGCCTTGTACGCCGGCATTTACGGTAGCTACCGGTTCTGCTGAAGTGATGCGAACCAGCTGAATCCCACCACTGCTTACAACCCAGATTCAATGAGCCCCCAGGATCATGTGATTGAATTTTGGGTGCTTAGCAACCAGTTTGAATTTACAGCCATTTGCAGCATCTCATATTTGCATATCATGATTTATGACTTTTTTTGGTCAGAAATCAGTGTTTACTTTGGTTTCTGGCAAAAAAAAAAGTCCCTTGCAGACAATGGATTCGCTTAACAACAGAGCCCAGAATTTCTGTTGCTAAATGAGACAGTTAAGTGAATTTTGCCCCATTTCATGACCTTTCTTGTCACAGTTGTTAAACGAATCACTGCTGCAAAAAATGTCATGAAATCACCCATGTGACAACCCACTTAACGACCAGCATGACTTATGACAACCATAATTCTGGGTTTAATTACTGTCGTAAGTCCAAGGACTTGATCAGATAGAAAAACACTTTCCTGCTATTCTCTGGTTACTTGATCTTATCTGGATTTTTCCAAGAGAAGTTGCCAGTTTCTTCAGAATCAACTAAATCCAACAGCTCAGACCAGACTTGTACAGGTGGTCCTTGACTTCCAACTGTTCATTTAGTGACCATTCGAAGTTACAACGGCACTGAAAAAAGTGACTTACGACCATTTTTCACACTTATGATCATTTCAGCATCCCCATGGGCACGTGATGAAAATCGGGATGCTTGGCAACTGACTCATATTTATGATGGGGGGGGGTGTCACTTGATGCCCTTTTGCGGCCTTCTGATGAGCAAATTCAATGGGCGAGCCAGATTCACTTAATAGCTGCATTATTAAATTAACAACCGCAGTGATTCACTTAACAACTGTGGCAAGAAAGGTCCTGAAATGGGGCAAAACTCACTTAACAACTGTCTCATTTAGCAACAGAAATTCCGGGGTCCATTGTGGTTGTACGTCAAGGACTACCCGTACTGTGTTCCTGGAAGATCTGATTCAAGAACTTCTCTGAGAGGAGTAAAAAGATGAAATCTTCATGTCCAAGTGGCAGCTCCTATTCAGAGGAAGCACTTAAAATATTGGACAAGCAATAATTACTTCTAGTGATTTCTGATAGTTTTGGTGTGTGTGTGGGGGGGAGGGTTGCTTAAACCTTCTTTTTGATCAAACGCAATCAGTGCAATCAACATTTAAAAAAACTGTAGAAAGTTTCAAAGTGGCCATTCAGACCAACCCCAAATCTCATATTTATCTTCTCACTGTAAAATTTGATGAAGAAAAAAGTATCTGGATCCCATCTAGAAAAGGCATGATATGGTAATGTGATATGTATAATCCTAATTTCACTCATAAATCTTGCCAGATTCCCTGTTTGTTTTTCTGTAGTAAATGTAGGAATGAGGCACATATATGTTTAAACATTTGGTTTGAAATGTTCTTTAAAAAGGATAGTTTCCCCTGGGAAAATGTGGAGGGGGCTTCAACCCCATTCCCTCTGGAATGTTATTCCATGCCCTAGCAAGGTATCTCCCCACCCCCTTAAAATGATCTAAAAATGCTCAAAAGTATGTCCTCAGAAGCTGCCCATGTTAAATTCTCTGCTGTTTGGATTGTCCTTGAAGATGGATGGATGCCTGATTGTGCCACCTGAAGAAGAGTTTGGGGTGAAGACAATAGAATGGAAAACAGAGAAAGCAAGGGCAGACTTCAAGCATTCCTTTGTAACAAGCAGCTGCATTCAGAAATCGCTCTGAGTTTAAAATAAACTCTTGAGTTTTATTTAGTTCAGCATCAGTTCAGAACTTACAGAGATCATTTCATGTGAAAGTCTTGAAGAAGGGTTGAAAGACAACAATTTATTTATAATAACTATAATAGCACAGCATTAGCAGAGTTCCCCTTTCCTTTTCTCCCCTCTTCTACCAATACCTAGACTAAGGATTAACCCCAGTTCTATCATAATTGAAGGATTGTAGCTACGCCAGCATGGAGAGTAGGAAGTTGGTCAGGATGAAACCACACAAGCCAAAAGTTGACATAGAAATGCTCTTTGGCTCCTCTTCACAGCCCATTTCTTATTTCTGTTCTAGATGTCACGAAGGCTATGTTGGCCGGCGCTGTGATTGCAGAAAAGAGGAACTACTAAGTTCAGAAACTGTGAGCTTAGCAAGTAGGCCCTTCTGCAGTTGTGACAACGTTGCTTGCGAACGACATAATGGGCAACTCTGTGCAGGTAAAAATATGAAGTTTTTTTTAAGATCAAAGGTACTATTACTCAATAGAATGGAATGGAATGGAATGGAATGGAATGGAATGGAATAGAATAGAATAGAATAGAATAGAATAGAATAGAATAGAATAGAATAGATCTTGGAGGTCTTCTAGTCCAGCCCCATGCTCAGACAGGAAACCCTATACCATTTTGGACAAATTGCTGTCCTGTCTCTTCTTTAAAACTTCCAGTGTTAGAGCATTCACAATTTCTGGAAGCAAGTTGTTCTGGTGATTAATTGTTCTAACTGTCAGGAAATTTCTTCTTAGTTCTAGGTTGCTTCTCTCCTTGATTAGTTTCCATCCATTGCTTCTTGTCCTGCCTTCAGGCACCTTGGAGAATAGCTTGACTTCCTCTTCTTGTGGCAAGCCCTAAGATATTGGAACACTGCTATCATATCACCTCTAGGCCTTCTTTTCATTAAACTAGACATACCCAATTCCAGCAACTGTTCCTAATATGTCTTAGTCTCCAGTCCCTTGATCATCTTTGTTGCTTTTCTCTGCACTCTTTCTAGAGTCTCAACATCTTTTTTACATCGTGATGACCAAAACTGGATGCAGTATTCCAAGTGTGGCCTTACCAAGACATTATAAAGTGGTATTAACACTTCATGTGATCTTGATTGTATCCCTCTGTTAATGCAGTCTAGAACTGTGTTGGCTTTTTTGTATGTAGCTCAGGATTGAACCATAGAGGCCTTTGTTTTGTCTGAACTTTATTGATTGCTTGCAGGCATTTAATTTCCCAGGTAGGCAACATCACTGATGGACAAACAGAAAAACAAATAGAAGAATGGACAGAACAACAAATGGACAAAATGGACAGTCAGCTGACCAGACCAGACAGATGGATAGACAGACAGTGCACAGATGGACAGAGTCACAAACAGAAGGATGAATGGACAGATGGCTAGACAGAAGGATGGATGGACAGATAGATGATAAACAGAGAGACAGAAGGATGAACAGAAGGCACATGGATATACAGATCAGAGACAAATAAACAGAAGGACAGGTTATTGAACAGATAGACAAAGAAACAGGCAGACCGGCAGACACACAAAAAGATGGATGAACAGATGGAGAAATATAAGGACAGGCAGGTAGAAAAATGGACAGACAGATAGTGGATAGATGGACAGACTGCATCAGCAGAGACTGGATAGATGAACAGATGGATATACTCTGGACAGACAACTGGATGGATGGACAAACAACACATAGACAGACAGCTGTACACGGGGACATATAGACAGGAGGATGGATAGACAGACTAATGGACAGACAGGTAGGCAGCAGATGGATGGACACTTAGGTGAAGAGACAGATGGACAGACAGACAAAAAGACAGATGGAGAGAGGACAGACAAACATACTGTTGAACAGATGGATAGCAATCAGACAGATGGATAGATGGACCAACACCAAAGGACAGATGAACAGATTGATATGGATGGACAGATGGATAAACAGAGAGAGGGAAGGATGGACAGGCAAAAAAAAGAACAAATGGAAGGATGAACAGACAGACAGACAACTAGACACAGGTAGACAGGCAGCCAGAGAAGTATAAAGACAAGTCTGACACGTAGACAGACAGAGGGACATACAGACACCAGGCAGACAGAAAGACAAATGGGCACCATTACTCTCATTATCCATTAACTGGATAAATATAAGATACATAACTCACTATCCTTATGAATGTCTCCTTTATGAGGGGGTCCTTGGTGCTCTCTGAGCTTGGTTGTTTTCTTGCAGATGTTTCATTACCCAAACTAAGTAACATCATCACTAACGCTGGTGTCTGTATGCCCCTCAGTCCATCTGTCTGTCCCTCTGTCTGTCTGTCTACATGTCCTTCTGCCTCTCTGGCTGGCTGTCCAACTATCATCCAAGTTGTCTGTGTGTGGGTCATTTCAAGCCTGAGCTACAAATATTCTCCTTTATTGTTTCCTTTATATTAATGCATTGAAATTGTTGTATGTGGAGCAGACAGTTCTACTGCCTCAGCACTCAGTTTTCATTAGAAAGAAAAACATATCTCTAGCCTTCCACCTCGTGGTTATGCTTGTAAATATGCAGACAATGCCGGTGGAAATCTGTAAAACCAGTAATTTGAAGAAGACAGAGGGTTTGTGCATGGGGCAAATAATATTCTATCCTTACATGTTGATGCTGACCTTCATATTAGATAGAGAAGGCAAACTGAAACTGCCTGATGACCCCAGAGATTGGAGGATGGGGGTAAGGCGACAGATAACAAAAATCCGGTTGCTGTCTTTTCTGTGCTTTAAAGGGGTATATAGAAACAATAAAGGACATTGCTTATGTTAGAAGTTGGGGTCTCCTTAAGAGAGCAGAATGAAGAGGCACTAGATCAGCCCGCAGAAGGGTTCCACCCCTCCCTTATGTTGTTATCCTGCTTTCCTGCAGCAAAGACCAGTTTAGAAGTTACACTGTTTATCTAAGTCACTGAAGAGAGTGTACAGTATAATCTGTAACCTTGTGGGCTTTGAGGCTTCTCTTGTAATCACGGTACAGGTAGGTCTTGATTAGTGCTGATAAGGAATTCCACAAAATGGCCACATTGTTCAGATTTGCATTATTTAAAGTGATATTTCTGCAGCAAATAAGGCAATTGGTTCCAGCTTGATGGAAACAGGCAGTGAACATTTTTAAACATAAATTTGTATACGTTTATCAATGAAATATAAGAGATTAAAACAGTATATTTGCAAATTTACTTTTAACAAAGTCACACAGTAGATATACAGTAGAAAGCATAATAAAAAGAAAAAAGTTCTAAATATTCCTATTGATAAGAATATTGATTTGTTAATAAAATAAATAAATCAAGTAAACAAAAGACAAACTAAAGAGAATAAATCCATATTCGAAGCGTACCTGCTATCTATTGTATTTTGCTGTAACTCTTCAGAATGGACCTCTTCTTGTTCTTCTTCTTCTTCTTTTTTTTTTTTAGTGCTTTCCTTGAACAAAACCTCCCTTTTCTTCATTTTGCACACATGATGTATGTGTTAGCATCTGAAACCCAAACAGCAAGGGTGTATGTGCTAGCCTCAACTATGCATGTATTTGTTTTACATTAAGTCAACTTTGGCTTGCATTAAATATGATCTGGTATCAATATATAATTTGCACAAAATCAACTACTGCACTATTTGAATTCACACTAACCAGGACTTACCTGTAGTTCTGAATGCCAATAAAAGATATTTGCTGCCTCTTTCTCCAAACTGAAGCCGGCATTTCCCCCACAATTAGAAAGAACTCCACTATGGCGCTTGTCTCCTTCTGCCAACAGGTAACGGGCAGTGCCAGTGTGGCTATTGCCAATGCCAGGCCAACTACACTGGCAGCGCGTGTGAGTGCAGCCTGGATACCAGTGGATGCACTCAGGAGGGCAAGATCTGCAATGGGCATGGCCACTGCGTCTGCAACCGATGTCAATGTGACACTGGGTGGTTGGGCGTCCACTGTGCTAACCTCCAGATGACCTGTGAAGCACACAGGTGAGGCTAAGGGGAAGGAGCCAATGGCTGGAGGAGACTGGGTGCTTGTTCGTGGCAGGAGGGCTTCGTTCAGCAAAGTACATTGTCAGTCACCACCCTGATGACGTCAAAGAGAGAACCATTACCATGTCCTTTGATTGGGTTTGAGGCCAATGACCCTGCACTTTTCAGTTGTTCATCAATACTGCACAGGAGCACTGGATACTCGCAATGCAAGTTTCCTTGAACAAGCTGTCATCCTAAGTTCCTCCATTGAGACTGGAATACCGGTGGGCATTAGCGAAACAGACAGATCAGTTTAAAGCAGGGTTGCAAAAGCTGAGGTGCTGGGATTGTCTGAATTGCATGGTCTCTAGAGTATCATCCCAGGCTGCCATCAAATTTTAAGTGGCAGAAATGGACGTTAGCAAGTAAACGGAGGGCTACACAAATTTTTATATTCCTAGCCAGGACACTGACGACATATATAACTGCAATCTTAGCATTTTTCAGAAGATGCCAGCTTCAGGAAGATTTCATTGGGCTTCCCTGTGCTACTACAGGTAGTCCTTGACTTACAGCCAGAATTTCCATTGCTAAACAAGATGGTTGTTACCATCTTTGCCACTGAATGTTAATAAGGATTCATTATATAGAAAAGGAATCTGGGTGGACAAATCAAGCAGCATTGGTGCTTGTGTATTTCATAAACAAAACCAGTCAATGTGTCATGAACCAACAAGAAAAAAAAATCCCCCCCCTCCCCTCCATCACCAACTGGTTGAAACACCGCAGTCACTGCCCAAGTGGTCAAACAGTTCTCCGTTGGTACTAGTAGTTTTCAGGTGTCTTTGGGGGGGGGCATTCTTTGTGCTAAGCAAGAATAAATAAAAAGCCCCCAGTTTAAAAAGCTGTACATCTGTTGGCAGGGATTGTGCCGAGTGCAAGGCTTTTGGGACTGGACCACTGAGTCAGAACTGTAGCAATTCCTGCAGCCAAACGGTGAGAGTGTTGGTGGCCCCTGTGGATAAGAGATGGTGCCAGATGAAGGGAGGAGATGGACGCCTCCTCATCTACCTCATTGAGAAGGACAAGACAGGCGGCATCCTTCTTACAGTGAATGACGAAAAGGGTGAGTCACCAAGGGACGAAGTGTGAACATGTGCTGTTACTCTTCTTTCCTGTTGGGGTTTCCCAGACAGTTGGTTAGATATGCTGAGAATGGATGGATATATATATATATGCAGGACGTTTTTCAGACAGATGTCTAATTGATTACACCTTGACATTTTTAACTGCTATACTGCAGTTTTACTTTTTACAATCTCTTTTGCCTTGCAGCCCCCAACTAGGGGCGTTAAGCAGGCTCAAGTCGCAACTGCGAAACATTACAAATCCAAATTTCTTTTTCTGACAAATCAATCAATTAGACATCTGTCTGAAAAACGTCCTGCATATACTCCCTTGACTCAGCTGGCAAAGAGGGAGGAGAGCCTGTGGCTTGGTGGTTAAATCACTGCCTAGTATGTAAACTGCCCAGGTTCGAATCCCATAAAGGGTGTGGCTAACTGACGAGGGCAGAATGAGCCCAAAATGGCCATCTTAGTCTCCCAATTTAATTCTTTAATTCTTTGTCAGAAAAAGAAATTTGGAGATATATATATATATATATATATATATATATATATATATATATATATATATAGGTCTTTGGTTGTTCAGGTTTTCTCCCACGTAAAATTGGAAGTGTCTTGGCGACGTTTCGACGAAGTCCCATTTGTCATCTTCAGGCTGGTGCTTTCAGCTTCGTGCCTCAAGCAGCAGTGTGTGGTCTTGGCTGTTTCTTCCTTTTAACTGCCAGTGGAGGTATGAACTGATTGGGTGGGAGCTTGGCTGTGTTCTGATTGGGTGGAAGTGTGTTCTGATTGGTTAGGGGCTTGGCTGTGCTCTGATTGGCTGGGGGGTTGGCTGTGCTCTGATTGGCTGGGGGGTTGGCTGTGCTCTGATTGGCTGGGGGAGTGTTCGTTTGGTTGTGCTCAGGTTAGTCTGAGTTGCAGAGGGAGTCAAGATTTTGGGCTGCCCTGCCATTCCTTGGCTTCGCGTTCGTGGTCGTGCTTCCTCTTCATGGAGGGTGTCAGAACAAAACGCTTAGCTGACGAACAACACCTAAAACCCGAACTACACACTCTCACCAATGTACTAACATCCAATGGATTCCATAGAAATAAGATTACAAACCTAATCCAAAAAGAAACCCCCACTAAAATCCAAGACAAAGAACAAGAAAACGGCAAAGCCATCCTCCCATACATAAAAGGCATCACAGACAGAATCAGTAAGATCCTCCATAAACACAACATCAAAACAGCATTCTGCACAAACAGAAAAATATCCACCATCCTTAGAAACCCCAAAGATAAAATTGAATTAGAAAATCAAGGAGTATACGAAATCCCATGCACCACTTGTCCCACCACATACATCGGACAAACCAACAGAAGAATAAGTGCACGCATTGAAGAACATAAGAACTCAGTCAAAAAAGAGGAACCAACATCTTCCCTGGTCCAACACCTTAAAGCCACAGGACATGAAATTGACTTTAAAAATACCAGAACCATTGCCAAAAGTGAACATTTTAATAACAGAATAATCAGAGAAGCCATCGAGATAGAAAAACGCCCACACAGCATGAACAAGCGAGATGATACCTCCCGCCTACCAGCCATTTGGAAACCCGCCCTTATTGACAAACGACTCCCTAACACAAAAAATGATACCAGACCCACACTCACAAAAACCACACAGGAGGTCACCACCAAACATCCACGCAAAAAACAAACCCAAAGCCACACTGACTATGAGGCACGACCACAAACCAGAAGCCAGACCACAGCTGCATCATTAGCCACTTTAAACCCCCCCAATCCATACATGAAGCAAACTGACACCCTCCATGAAGAGGAAGCACGACCACGAACGCGAAGCCAAGGAATGGCAGGGCAGCCCAAAATCTTGAATCCCTCTGCAACTCAGACTAACCTGAGCACAACCAAACAGAACACTCCCCCAGCCAATCAGAGCACAGCCAACCCCCCAGCCAATCAGAGCACAGCCAACCCCCCAGCCAATCAGAGCACAGCCAAGCCCCTAACCAATCAGAACACACCTCCACCCAATCAGAACACAGCCAAGCTCCCACCCAATCAGTTCATACCTCCACTGGCAGTTAAAAGGAAGAAACAGCTAAGACCACACACTGCTGCTCGAGACAGCAAGCTGAAAGCACCAGCCTGAAGTGACGAATGGGACTTCGGTCGAAACGGGCAGCCAAGACACTTCCACTTTTACATGGGAGAAACCCGAACAAACCAAAGACCTACATACAAATACCCCGCGAAACCCTCAGAAAACCATATTATATATATATATATATATATATATATATATATATATTATGATATTTATATCATATATATATATATATATATATATATATTGTCCAAATAATAACGATCACCAAGAGAATATCTATCAAAAATAGAAATTTAATCCACCGAGCTTTCGTCAAATACACTTGACATCGTCAGGGTTAAAAGGCAAACTACGGGGGGAGTCTTATATACAGTTGTTTAATGCCTGTTTCCGGCTCCTGGAGCGCGTCATAGGGCCCAGCTGATCGGGCTGAGTCCTAAGCATACGCCCCACGTCAGCATCTATCTCCGTTCCATGGTTAGTTTGAGTTCGATTATATGTTGCTTCGTTAGTTGTTACCGGGTTGGGAGCCCAAGTCCTTTTTCCTTCCCTATTCGTAACCCCTCCACCATCCCAGACCTCACTTCCCTTTGTGAGCGGGGGTAGGCAATTATCCACACTGCCTTCAATATCACTACATGCCCCAAGGCTGCTTTGATCCTGTTTTCCTATCTCCCGGGATTGTAACACAAGCTCGTAGTCCCCCCCCCATACTATTCCTCCTCCCCTCCTTCTTCCCGTAGGTTCTCCTGAGCGGTCTGCTGTTCGTTTCCACGTTCTCTCTCTTGCGCGCAGTCGCGATGTTTCTTGCCGTTGTTCCGTTATCAGTGCTTCGTTGTTCCGTCCATTGTTGGAGAGCACTACTGCCGTTCATCCCCAATTCTCCGTTCCCACTCCGTATAGTGCTCTTCCCCTTTAACTGCAATCGCTGTTTTGTCTCGCAACTTGGTGTTGGGAGTATCCGAGGGGGATGCATTCTTCTACTCGACTGTGACCGGGTTGTCATGGTGTGTGTGGTGCGTGTGGTAATATCCTCAACGGGGGGTTCGTCCTCGGTCTCGTCATCTTGGTTGAGCTTGGTTGTATTCCGTTTTTCTTTCAGTTCATCGGGCTCTACTCCATCTCCATTCCGTCCCACCAATGATCCGTTCTCTATGGGTCGTGGCGCACTCAGCCGCAGTTGCTTGCTGGAATCAGTCCGTTGTTGATCCGTGAGAGGGGAGCTGTCAATGGAAACCCCATTGCTGTAATTACGTAGGGAGGAGGCCAGGGCGGCTTTTTGATTGGGTCCCCTCCCCATATCAGTACGATTACCAGTACTCCATATTTTTAGAGCTTGGTGCGCTGCGCACAAATCTACACGTCGATTGATAGATTCCGTTCCTGAGAACCATGCCTCTTTCAATAGGCGACCTCTTTTTGTCATATCATTGGCCAAAATTTGTGCGTTCTCAAAATCGAAGCGATGGCCATGCTCCGCTACATGGGCCCAGATCTGCGAATGTTGCTCGCCTCGTTTAATGGCCAGCTTGTGCTCGTGTAAACGAGTCTTGAGTCTTTTCGAGGTCTCGCCTATATAATGGCTCTGGCAGTCTGTGCAATTGATTCTATATACTACAGCTGACCTCTCGACAGTAGGGAGCTGGTCCTTGGGGCGCATCACTTTAGCTCGTAGAGTCTGGGTAGGTTTGTGAGCTACCTGTATGTTGTGGGGTGCTAGGATTCTGGCAGTGGCTTCTGACACGGTGTTGATGTATGGTAGTGACACTCGTACGGTTCGTGTCCCAGGTTCTTCTCTTTGTTGTCCATTTCGAGGTCCTGGTGCCATACTGTGTTGCTTAATAAATCTCGGGGGGTACCCATTCATCCGGCATATACGGAACAGGTGTTTTCTTTCTTCTGCCTTAGACTCCCTAGTGCTACAGTGTGATTGCACCCGTTTAAACAGGGTCTTGATGCAGCTGGCCTTATGGGAGGCCGGATGGTTGCTATAGAAATGGAGGATGCGATCCGTGTGGGTGGGCTTCCGATAGACCCTGGTGTTAAGGGTTCCGTCTAGGGAACGTTGGACTAACACGTCCAAAAAGGCTATCGAGCCCCGGATCTCCTCCTCCATCGTAAATTTACAATTTACAATCCCGGGAGATAGGAAAACAGGATCAAAGCAGCCTTGGGGCATGTAGTGATATTGAAGGCAGTGTGGATAATTGCCTACCCCCGCTCACAAAGGGAAGTGATGTCTGGGATGGTGGAGGGGTTACGAATAGGGAAGGAAAAAGGACTTGGGCTTCCAACCCGGTAACAACTAACGAAGCAACATATAATCGAACTCAAACTAACCATGGAACGGAGATAGATGCTGACGTGGGGCGTATGCTTAGGACTCAGCCCGATCAGCTGGGGCCTATGACGCGCTCCAGGAGCCGGAAACAGGCATTAAACAACTGTATATAAGACTCCCCCCGTAGTTTGCCTTTTAACCCTGACGATGTCAAGTGTATTTGACGAAAGCTCGGTGGATTAAATTTCTATTTTTATAGATATTCTCTTGGTGATCATTATTATTTGGACAATATGAATATTCCCAAGAGTCGCATTTTTGTTTTTATTTCTAATTATTATAACAGAGCAGTTTTGCTCATGGCAAGACGTTGGGAAAAGTCTGCCTGTCGTATCTTGGCTTGCTATCGTAAGCTAGCCTTCCTGCACGCTTGTATGCGTGAAGAACTCCCACCCAAGTCATTGATGAGGAGACCCGCGGTGAATTCTGCTGAATGCCAGCTAGCGGTGAGACAATTTCAACGTCGTACGGTACGGGCACTCATCAATGACCAACATCGTCGGGTGGGAATCTTGAAGAGGGGAGCTGACTGCCTTCGTGAACAATGTAGCAAGGGTCTGTCAGAACAACACTTCCAAATGCTCGACCAGCACGTTCAGTTAATGGCTGAGAGAACCAACCAACAGACTGCCACACGCCTCCAACGTAAGATAGACTCTTTACGGGGACAAAAGGGTAACGGGGATATGGATAATTTGGTGCATAACTTGTCCTCAAAGACCCTTACCCGCCCCCAACTTACGCTACTGCAGCGCGACGTAGGACATAATCTGATGGATGCAAATCTGCTGGATTTCATCGCCGCGTTAGAACCCGCCATACACCACGAGAATATGGGGGAGAATTCTATGAGCTTAATTAGGCAGCAGGTCACGGGGCTGCTTATGCGCCACAGGCACCACCAAGTATTAACTAGGGATGAAATAGAGGCCCTAGAGCATCTCAAGAGGGACGCCACCATTGTGATACTCCCCGCTGATAAGGGGAGGGCCACAGTGGTGATGGACAGGACCCTCTATGTGGCCAAAGCATTGCAATTACTAAGTGACAGGACTGCTTACAGAATTATCAAGAAAGACCCCATGGTGACCTTGAAAAACAAAATCAATAAGCTACTTGACGGTTTTAAACGGTCAAAGAAACTTGATGAAGATACTTTAAGGAGAATACGGCCCAATGACTCGGCGCTCCCAAGGTTTTATGGGCTGCCAAAGATCCATAAGGAGGATATTCCACTTCGCCCTATCGTGTCGTTTAGAGGCACTCCCATTTCGGGGTTGGCGAAGTGGCTCAGCGATCGCATATCTTACCTAGTCGATGGCAGCCCTACTACAGTTAGATCTGCGGAGGAGTTCCTGGAGAGGATCAGGACCCTTAGGGTGGAGGAGGATGAGGTGATGGTCTCTTTTGACGTCACCTCACTCTTCACCTCCATCCCTCAAGACCTGGCCCTGAGAGTCTTAAGGGACAGATTAGAAAAACTAGGAAAAACTGGACACCGAGATTCTCTGCAACCGGGAGATCTAGCGCAACTCATTGAGCTATGCCTTACAACTTACTTCTCCTTTCAAGACAATATATACGAGCAAGTCAAGGGCACACCGATGGGCTCCCCAATATCCAGCGTGGTGGCGGAAGCGGTTCTACAACAACTGGAACACGAGGCCATGACCCGTCAACAGCCCAAGTTCTGGGCACGGTATGTTGACGACACTTTTGCTGTCGTCAAACGCTGTCATCTGGCTGGCTTTATGGGAGTATTAAATTCAATATATCCGGACATTAAATTTACGATGGAGGAGGAGATCCGGGGCTCGATAGCCTTTTTGGACGTGTTAGTCCAACGTTCCCTAGACGGAACCCTTAACACCAGGGTCTATCGGAAGCCCACCCACACGGATCGCATCCTCCATTTCTATAGCAACCATCCGGCCTCCCATAAGGCCAGCTGCATCAAGACCCTGTTTAAACGGGTGCAATCGCACTGTAGCACTAGGGAGTCTAAGGCAGAAGAAAGAAAACACCTGTTCCGTATATGCCGGATGAATGGGTACCCCCCAAGATTTATTAAGCGACACAGTATGGCACCAGGACCTCGAAATGGACAACAAAGAGAAGAACCTGGGACACGAACCGTACGAGTGTCACTACCATACATCAACAACGTGTCAGAAGCCACTGCCAGAATCCTAGCACCCCACAACATACAGGTAGCTCACACACCTACCCAGACTCTACGAGCTAAAGTGATGCGCCCCAAGGACCAGCTCCCTACTGTCGAGAGGTCAGCTGTAGTATATAGAATCAACTGCACAGACTGCCAGAGCCATTATATAGGCGAGACCTCGAAAAGACTCAAGACTCGTTTACACGAGCACAAGCTGGCCATTAAACGAGGCGAGCAACATTCGCAGATCTGGGCCCATGTAGCGGAACACGGCCATCGCTTCGATTTTGAGAACGCACAAATTTTGGCCAATGATATGACAAAAAGAGGTCGCCTATTGAAAGAGGCATGGTTCTCAGGAACGGAATCTATCAATCGACGTGTGGATTTGTGCGCAGCGCACCAAGCTCTAAAAATATGGAGTACTGGTAATCGTACTGATATGGGGAGGGGACCCAATCAAAAAGCCGCCCTGACCTCCTCCCTACGTAATTACAGCAATGGAGTTTCCACTGACAGCTCCCCTCTCACGGATCAACACCAGACTGATTCCAGCAAGCAACTGCGGCTGAGTGCGCCACGACCCATAGAGAACGGATCATTGGTGGGACGGAATGGAGATGGAGTAGAGCCCGATGAACTGAAAGAAAAACGGAATACAACCAAGCTCAACCAAGATGACGAGACCGAGGACGAACCCCCCGTTGAGGATATTACCACACGCACCACACACACCATGATAACCCGGTCACAGTCGAGTAGAAGAATGCATCCCCCTCGGATACTCCCAACACCAAGTTGCGAGACAAAACAGCGATTGCAGTTAAAGGGGAAGAGCACTATACGGAGTGGGAACGGAGAATTGGGGATGAACGGCAGTAGTGCTCTCCAACAATGGACGGAACAACGAAGCACTGATAACGGAACAACGGCAAGAAACATCGCGACTGCGCACAAGAGAGAGAACGTGGAAACGAACAGCAGACCGCTCAGGAGAACCTACGGGAAGAAGGAGGGGAGGAGGAATAGTATGGGGGGGGACTACGAGCTTGTGTTACAATCCCGGGAGATAGGAAAACAGGATCAAAGCAGCCTTGGGGCATGTAGTGATATTGAAGGCAGTGTGGATAATTGCCTACCCCCGCTCACAAAGGGAAGTGATGTCTGGGATGGTGGAGGGGTTACGAATAGGGAAGGAAAAAGGACTTGGGCTCCCAACCCGGTAACAACTAACGAAGCAACATATAATCGAACTCAAACTAACCATGGAACGGAGAGAGATGCTGACGTGGGGCGTATGCTTAGGACTCAGCCCGATCAGCTGGGGCCTATGACGCGCTCCAGGAGCCGGAAACAGGAATTAAACAACTGTATATAAGACTCCCCCCGTAGTTTGCCTTTTAACCCTGACGATGTCAAGTGTATTTGACGAAAGCTCGGTGGATTAAATTTCTATTTTTATAGATATTCTCTTGGTGATCATTATTATTTGGACAATATGAATATTCCCAAGAGTCGCATTTTTGTTTTTATTTCTAAATATATATATATATATGAGTGAGTGAGTGACTGATTGACTGACTGACAATGAATGAATGAATGAGTTGTATTGGGTTTCTGGTGGGATCCAGACCCAGGATCTTCTTATATGCTAGGCAGCCTGTGATGCTATAGCAGACAAGGGAGGTCTGCATGCTTCTCTGTAAGGAGCTTTGGCAGAATCAAATTTTTAAATCAACTGCATGCTAACCAGGCTTTGTTGAATAAACCACAACTCACTGGATTTTCCCATTGCAGAATGTAATCGGTAAAGAATGACATTTAATGATAATACTAGAGAAATGTCATCAGCAGATAAGACAGCTTTGCAGCGTGACTTTTTGGCCAGTGTTGCTCTCTGGGGAGCAGAGCACTGTAACAGAGCGAATAGAAGCAGAACTTGAAAAACAGAGTCTCCATCAAATCCCCATCACATTACTTGACAGCTCTAGCTCTGTGGGTAGGTTATAAAATAGGCTTCCCAAATCGATATTCTCCAAACAGACTGCAAAAAGAAATAACGTTTAATCTGGGTACAAGGAAGAAGCTATTTGGAAGCACCACTATGGTAAGGTGAGCATGGATGCTACATAGCAAGGTGCAGGATACATGGCTACCATGGATGAGAGCAAAGGGAGGAAATAACAAAGGAAGGGAAAGAAGCTTCTCCAATTCCTGGCGGGAGTGTTGATAACGTAGGTAACTCCCATGCTTCCTTTCTTTCTATCCTGCCAGTGCCAGATCGTACCAGGTGGCCAAACCTGATGCCAGTGTTACGGAGTGCGCTGACTGTGGTGAGCATAGGAGTGCTTCTCATTGCCCTGTCCCGTGGCATTGTGGAGATCTGTGACCGGAGAGAGTTCAGACGCCGTGAAAAAGAACAAAAAAGTGCCAAGGGGTCTCAGGTCAGTGCCCTTCAAAGCATCTTTACCTTGCTGAAAGAGACACACCTGACCCATTGGGAGGCTTTGCACTTTGGAAAACACCTGCAAATGACAGAGCTCTTTCACCTGAAAAATGTAAAACACATATATTATTTTCAAATAGCACATAACCAGTGGAACAGCTTTTGCCTTCAGAAGTTGTGGGTGCTCCATCACTGGAGGCTTTGAAGAAGAGACTGGACAGCCACTTGTCTGAAATGATAGGGCTTCCTGCTTGAGAAGGAAGAAGACCTCTGAAGTCTCTTCCAGCTTTTTTCTGAATAGAATAGAACAGAACAGGAACAGAAAAAAGCAGGACAGAATAGAATGAATCTGGGAGGGACATTGGAGTCTTCTAGTCCAGGCCCTGGCTCAAGCAGGAGAACCTATACCATCTCAGACAGGTGAATGTCTAGTTTCTTCTTTAAAATCTCCAGTGATGGAGTGCCCACGATTTCTGGAGGTAAGCTGTTCCACTGGCTAATTGTCCTCACTGTCAGGAAGTTTTTCCTTAATTCCAGGTTGCTTCTCTCTTTGATCAGTTTCCAACCATTGTTTCTCGTCCTTCCCTCTGGTGCTCTGGTGAACAACCTGCCCCCCCTCTGCCTTGTGGCAGCCCCTCAGATACTGGAATACTGCTATCATGTCTCCCCTATTTCCTCTTTTCTTTAGACTAGCCAAACCCAAGTCCCATAGCTGTTCTTCATATGTTTTAGTCTCCAGGCTATGAGGAGGGACATTTTGTGGCTTGTTCTTAACCATACATGCTGAGCAGTGCTGTTCTTCTACCTACCATTGAGGACGTGAGCAGCTTGGGACCCTCCTGAGGGTTGGACTATAGTTATCCTCTGCTCCAGTTTGTACACTAAGGACTTATAGGGCCCCAAGCTCCATTCAACTTTACATGGATGAAAGTAGCTTTAACAAAGCAACTAAAGCCATCTGAATTAAATTTAGCTTGGGTGCCTTAAGACCTTTTGATGCAATTCAGTTAACTCTAGCACAAACTACAAAGATCTTTTGCACAAAAGCATACAGACTACTCTGGCTTCTCTAGGAATTGACACTTTCTAGCTGGTGGTGTCACTTGCAGCAATCCCATTCTGAAGGTTACTTGGAGGCAGTGCATCAGAATGCAGTTCACTTGATTAACTCTAATTTTTAGGTGTAGATTAGCTAGCATGTGGTTCAGTGTGTCACACCAACAAAGCCTAAAAATCATCCTGAGATAACTTCAGAGTGAGTTCTGGGGAAGGAGACAATGGGCCTTTTCAAAGCTGAGCCCATTTGCAGATGGAGTCCTACTGAATCAAGCTACAAATTCAGCATTTGCATTTTGCCCTGATCTTCCAATTTCTTTTTTCAGGTGAACAACTTCAGGTTCAGGAGTGCCACAACGGTCATCAACCCCCAGGACAATGGTTATGAAAACATTGCAAACAAAACTTGACAACACTGTGCCAACAGCTGAAGATACTTTATGACTTTGGAGGAGAGACATCTGCGTGAAAATTTCCCCCTGAGCAAGCTCTAGATGTAGTTCGACTTACATCACAAACTAATCTCAAATGGGATTGAAATAATGAATCAATATGTGTAGCAAAATCTCAAAGTGATTGATCAATAAAATCTTTATTGTACTGTGCTTTTATTTGACACGGTGTGTTTTGTGCTTGGAAACACATAGCGCATTGATCAGGGACATGAAATGCTGCAGCTGTTTTTCAGCATTATGCAGAAAATTAATATTCACCTTGAGCAAAACCTAACATCTCTTGCATAGGCCCCACTTTCTGGTGAATCTCCTTGAAATGGTTCATCCACACTGATCTGCATATGGGCTGCCACTGTCCCCAATACTGTTAATAAGGGTCATTCCTCACTTGCACCTACCCATGGCATAAACTTGCCCTGGAAAGATCTTTCTTTCTGATGGGTCTCTGTGGTGCGGCTTTGATTTCACCTCCAGCCCATAGGTAAAATAACCTTACATTATCCTTGGCTCTATTGGTGGTGGCAACAAAAGCCACAAAATGTTTATTAAACACTCCCACTCACTGAGATGAAGTCATAGGGATAGGGATAGTCATAGACAAGTTTGTTTAGTGTAGGGGTGAAGGTGTTGGCCTAGAAACCAGGAGACTGTGAATTCTAGTTTCGCCTTAGGCATGAAAACCAGCTGGATGACTTGGGGCCGGTCACTCTCTCTCAGCCCAAACTATCTCAGAGTTGCTGTTATGAGGAAAAGAGTAGTAGTATTAGTAGGTTCACCATCTTCAGTTGCTTATAAAGGGCAGGATAAAAACATCTAATAAAAAAGTAAATAAAATAGGGATCATTTCAAGCTTTGGGCCCACAATCAACTTTGCCGCCCATTCTGCTATTGTATCCCTAAAGGATGGACCCAGTAGCTGATGTGCCTTCAGATTCACACAACCCTGGCAAAGCTGCATCTTTTAGCATTGGGTTTCTCCTTGTATTTTTCTGGCAATCCAATTTCACACTGGACTAATTTAGTGATGACTTAATGGTGGATAGACAGCACTAATGCAGCAAAAGTGAAATGATCTAACAGGAGCAGACACCCCTTCCTTCCAATAAAGTTAGGTGGTTTAAAGTTCCTGTAGCCAACCAATACGCCCAAATTTGGAAGTTGGGTATTTTTGGAACCATAAACCTGGAAGTTTAAGAACAGATTGCTTAGCTTCCAGCACAACCACTGATCGGGGCATAATCAACCTAAAGCCTACCTCTTCCCCACAGCACATCTACAGTAATATTCTGAGCAGCTATTGTGGCAACACATATTGTTAACATGGACCCGATGGTTTTTTTCCCCTTTTCTATTAGGAATGCATTTTCTCCCAGATCTAGAAGTGAGAGATTTCTGCCTGAAAGCCGAGAGAGCTGTTGACAGAGCTATGATCAGTACGGACCAGCAACTTAATTATCTTTTAAAGTCAGCCCTACCACTCTGGCTATGACCTTCTCCACCACTGGAATGCAACTTCAGAAAACTAAAAGATCATTCAAATCTGGTGAACACAGTATCGTGCCATCTTCTCTGTTCTTGTGTTCCACTGCAGGTCCTTCATCCAAGTATGCAGCAGAATAAAACAAACTGGTCAAAGAATATGTAACATCCAAGCTAATGGTATGGAGAAGCAGTGAAGCTAAGGTTTGGGAAGGAAAGCAAGCCGAGTTTATTCCAATTACTGAAATAGAACACTCACACAAAAAGGAAAAGACACCACACTGTAATGGTAAAAAGATACAAGTTTATAGCATCTTATAAAAACTACAATTTAAAAGTGATCCTGTCCTAGGGTAACACAACCCTGCCCCAATTCCCTTCCCTGCGAAATCAGTTGAGTTAAAGGGAAGGAAAATAAATTATCTTAGAAAAAGCTATTGGACCTTCACATTCAGTCCACAGGGTATCTGGTCAGGCTGAAGTGCTAGATTGTTTTTTTTCCTTTCAGGAGGACTATGTAAAAGCCAAATATGAACTGCAAGAAAAGATCCGTCACATCTTCTTCCTATTTAAACAAACTCCTAAATTAAGACCAGCAGCAGCACATCGGAAAGCACCTTAAGGCACCCAGTCCATGTGACAAGCACAATTTGTCCTTCTGCTACCAGCACCCAAGGAAAGGAATGGGAATAGCAACAGTTCCCAATGGCATCCACTGTCAAAATGAGATTTCTCACTTCCATGGAGGGAAATTAGTATGATGGAGGACAAGGGGCAAATAAAGCTCCTTCAAAAAATGTGCCCTTGGCTACACTTTAGCGCAACACAAATACAGGCACTCCTCAGGGTACACAAAGGTTCCAATCCACCTGACTTTCGCACAGATTGGCTTGCATACACTGTCGTTTTACACACACACACACACAAGACATTATCTGTCAGAATTACAGAGGTCTGGACTTGTATATCTCCTGGGGGGCTGTGTGTATAAGCAACATATTCAGGTTGGACAAAGATACAGGGGAAAATCATCACACATACACTCTAAAGACTGGCTTCTCCATCTCCAGGAGAGACATTACCATAAGACTGTGTTGGTAAAATTGTGTGTCTCTTATGTTCCCACAAAGGAAGCACATTTTCACATTTTCCATTTCCATTCCACAGAACCCCATTTTCCAGTCTGCTGTGACCTGGAATTGTCAAGCCATCCAATTCATCCATCTCTTTGATACAAACACGTCAAAGCAATTCCATCCATTGTGCTGGTACTGAATATTTTAAAACAGTACATTGTTTTTACCTAAAAGCTAAGTCTCACTTTCCTGAACCTTCAACATATTAGTTCTCTTTTCACCTCACTGCCTCTGCATAATTTTATTTGAAAAAAAAAATCGTTCTGATATGGTTTTGGTCCCTTGCACTTTAAAGAGTGGCAATCAGTGAAACTTCCAGGCAAGTTTCACTTCCTTTCAATTTCATCTCTGTAAAGAAAAAGAAAATGCAAAGACCTTAGTGCAATTATAACCACTGCATAACATTTCTAGTCGAGACGAACCAATAGCAATTAATAGATACTATCAATTTCATTAGGGAGGGTCAAGCTATTTGTTTAAATAAAACAACCTTCCACAGAAAACTATTTCCCCGCATTTTGCTAACTTACTGCCTGCAGGCAATTTAATAGAAAAATGCTTGAACCATATTGTTCTGTCCAATTATTAAAATTATTCTTGAACTGTTACACTCTTTCTGCCTTCTCCCCCATCAACAACACCATACAGTACTTCACTTCTGAGCAAAATTCAGCAATGAATGTCACATACAACTTGTTTTTGAGGTTAACATTCTTCTTCCTTCACTCCTGAACAAGGAAAGAGAGCTGGACAACAAAAATTGGCAGACACCAATTAATGCCTATCTAGATTGTTGATAAATGACTGCGCTGGTCAAGAATGTGGAATTCCTCTCCCAGAGTACATCGTGTTAACTAGCCTCCCGAGTTCCTATGGCAGCACCCTAGCAAGAGGGCAGAGCCTAAGCAAAACACATCCCTGTGCTCCTAAAGCTGCACATGCTTTAGAGGACCCCAAAGAGCCCAGAGTCATTACCCTGCTTGGCACGTAAAGCATTTGGCAGTATGAGGCGGTTCACTCAAGAGATTCACCCCGTCTCTTAGAGAAATACTAGGCAACAGTGAATATGCTTTATAATGCCATGTCTCAATTATTGGATTAGGACCAGAAGGACAGAAAAATACATCTAGTACTTGACAAAGAGATTTCTTCTACTCAAGCAACTTTTTTTCTCCCACCTGAGCACATTGTTACTTTCCCCTGAAACAGTTACATTCCAATTTCCTTTCCTCCTTTTTTCCTAAATATCTACATTTCCTCAAACCTTTTCCTACAGCAATTATTTTATTTCCCTTTGGTGAGAAACAATCCTCAGGAAACTGAAAGATATTAGGGTGGTATGTTTTTTTTTTCTAAAGAGCAGCCATTTTCATTTTTATCAGCCCCACCAAAACTGCAACAAACCTCCAAGAGTTTGGGATGTCCTAATCATTCCTAGAAACTGCAAACTAAAAGTCAATGTTAATTTTAGGCTGTGAATAATATTGGCTCTTCCAATGAACAAGGGAAGGGGAATCAAAGAGCTTTTATTTTTTAAAAAATGATCTCCTCTACAGTAACATTCCCCAAGCTAATGTTTTCCAGATTTATTGGATTACAACTCCCATGATCCCTAGGCAAGAAGAAAGATGATCAAAAGAACAATGCCTCTTGCTAGTACACTGGAATCTCCTAAATAGTTGAAAGGGGGGGGGGGCAACAATCTTGAATTTTTCAAACTTGGCAATTGTTAAGATCAGCTCCCAAAATTTCCCAGCCACACATCTGGGAGTTAAGAAGCCCACACATCTTAAAGTTGTCAAGTTTGAAAAACAGTGATCTAAAGTATCCCATCTCTGTTTATAAAACCTTTCTACTTGCAGCCCCTCAAGAACGAAGCTCTCCAGCGTGACCAAAGATCACCATTCCTCTACCAACATAGCCCTTGGTTAAAACCTATCTTAAAGCAAGGCATAACTCAAGAGTAGTTAATTCAGGGAGGGATGTATTTGAAGCCCAAGTGAGATTTGTATCTATCATTCAGATGGAGGTGTTTGCTCCTCTAACAAGTTTATTCCAGACTCAAGAGACAAATTATTACTTGCCCTGTAGAAAGACCATTGTAAATGTGACGGGGGGGGGGGGGGGACAAGGGTCTTGGGAGGGTTCCTGCTTTCCCTTGCAAACCTGCCACTGCCTATTGCAACTAAGCTGAAATAATAGCATGTATTAAAAAATTGCATATTGGCAACAAGCCTTATTTTCAAACTTCAACGAAGCATCCCAGGAACAATCAGAATTCATGGTGCATGGGAATGCTGACCCTCAGTCTTCCCAAGGTGTATTTTATTCCAAGAGACTTATCAAGAGGCCCTCCCCTACTCTCCCCCCACAGAGATCGCCGTTCTTCAGCATGAGGCTTAGAAGATGGGTGCCCATGGACTAGAGCTGGCGCTTCATATTATTTATACGGAAACAGGATTGCCGCCTAAGAAAGCTCTGAATTCCACGTGAAGGGATATGTAACAGGTAGGTCCTGAATGGATGGCTATTTACAAGGGAAAGTGAAGGGACCACACACAATTATCCTCCTCTCCTGGGAGGAAAACAGAGCCTTCCAGCCAGCTGAATATCAACCGGATCTTGATAAATGGAACACATCTAAGGTAGATCTCTATGTTGACCCAACAGCATGTCACCTTCTGCAGCCCTTGTTTCTTGAAACCTGAAAGTTGAGACCACTAATCACGGTTAAGAGAATAGCACGGAAAGAAAAAAAAAAGTCCCGTAGACCTTATGCCCAAGCATAAATGAGACAGTCTCTTGTGATGCCAGAGTGCAGTATCCTGCTGCTGCTAATCCGTTCCAGGTAGTGGATCAGCTCCGCAAAATAGTTCGCTGCTCGACTGGCGGTGATCACTGTTTTTTTTTTTTTTCCATAAAATATTTGCCTGTCGTTCTCCCACTTTTGCAAGCCCAAATATCAAGCCATCTGGCAGATCGTCTGTTAATTGAGAGCACCGGATCTGGTCAGAATGGCTTGCAGAAGGCCCCCCCACTATGCTTTCAAAGCCTTTCCTGAGGCAAATGGTGATAATTTCAAAGAAACTAAACAGAAACAGAAAGCGCACCCTTGGCAATGTTTATCCCCAACTGCAGCGAGCTTCCCAAAATGGCTGGGAGCCAGCCCTGCTTTGTCCTCCATTTATTTACAGTGTCAAGACCATAGTTGAAGTCTATGCCCACTTTCAGCTCTGCTCCTTCCACAGGAGTAGGCTCAGCAGGCAAACCCAGGCGCAAAACACAAGCAGGCGAACAAGCCCACTCCCAGAGCATCTGGTGGGCGTCCCAGCTCCTTCTTAAAAGCCCAACTCTTCTCTGGCCCAACTCTAAAGCAGTAGCTGGGAGTCGGATGCTTTGCTGGGGCAGCCCTGGCACATTCGTTTGTGTCTCAGCAACCGGTCTGTCCTGGAGAAGCTCTGTGAAAGGGAAAGGAGAGAAAAAATAAAATCCGGGGAGATGACCAAAGAGACAAGACTCTATGCCAGAGGTGGGGAACGATGGTTCCATTATGACTTGTGGACTTCAACCCCCCAGAATTGCTGAACCAGCAGGAAGTCCACAAGGGCCATAGTTCCCACCCCTGCTCTATGTAAAACCAAAAGCAAAGCCATAAACCCTGTATTCTAGGTCAGTGCAACTGAAAACCGAATGTGGGGTAGTGGGCCTTTGCGACTGGGGCAAATCCTCCTTCTGTCAAGGGAAGCTCACTTCAAAGGAATTATACTTTCTCCACCAATCCCTCATAGAGTTACCCTTCAAGAAGAAGGGAGAAGGAAGATGGAATACTCTGTGCTCCACAGTGACTTTTCAGAGGATTTTAAAAAAGAAGAAGCTGAACCTCAACTAGAATGCAGGATTTGTAGCATCGATTTTACTTTTGCAGAGACACAGAACTAAAATCCAGGCTGGCCAGTTCAAACTCATTCAGGAAATTCTGGACCCTTCCTTAGGTATGCCAGATCACAATTCTGGAATGGCAACAAAACCCACAGCGGACAGAATTTTCTTGACACATGGGAAAAAAGTGTGTAATTTCAGATGGACTAATGAGGCCTTTGAGTGGACTATCAAGGGCTATGCTTTAGGAGAAGAACATGGACTGAACAACAAAGATGGGCCACTATTTAAATAAAACTTTAACTATATTAACAATTACTGGTTAGTTAACTGATTTCTCCGTCACTTATTTAATTTCTCATAACCTACTTAATTCCCACCTTTAAAATAAGGTCAATTTTCCAGTTTTAAAAATGACATTATTTATATGCAGTTATTTCATCTGACATCCAAGCCTCTCAACTTAGCCGCTGAAAACGTTAATTGTGAAATTAATTAAATTGAATGACATTCACCCCATGTTTTTCAGTCCCACCTTAAAAGAACTGACATGCTACTAAGAAAAGAAAAATGAACCCTGCATGATTGTCTAGATGGTGAAGACTGGAATGTCTACTGATGGATGCTACAGCCACTTAGTGGTCAGGAAGAGAAAGGGGAAAGAGTTTTAAAATGAGTATAGCAATAGCACTTAAGACTTATATACCACTTCACAGTGCTTTACCTCTCTAAGCGGTTTAGAGTCAGCATATAGCACTTAGACTTATATACCACTTCACAGTGCTTTACAGCCCTCTCTAAGCGGTTTAGAGTCAGCATATAGCACTTAGACTTATATACCACTTCACAGTGCTTTACAGCCCTCTCTAAGCGGTTTAGAGTCAGCATATAGCACTTAGACTTATATACCACTTCACAGTGCTTTACAGCCCTCTCTAAGCGGTTTAGAGTCAGCATATAGCACTTAGGCTTATATACCACTTCACAGTGCTTTACAGCCCTCTCTAAGCGGTTTAGAGTCAGCATATAGCACTTAGACTTATATACCACTTCACAGTGCTTTACAGCCCTCTCTAAGCGGTTTAGAGTCAGCATATAGCACTTAGACTTATATACCACTTCACAGTGCTTTACAGCCCTCTCTAAGCGGTTTAGAGTCAGCCTATAGCACTTAGACTTATATACCACTTCACAGTGCTTTACAGCCTCTCTAAGGGTTAGAGTCAGCATTATAGCACTTAGTAATTATATACCACTTCAACCAGGGCTTACAGCCTCTACTAAGCGGTTTAGAGTCAGCATAGAGCACTTAGGAATTATATCACCACCTTCACAGTGCTTTACAGCCCTCTCTAAGCGGTTTAGACGTCAGCATATACGTGCACTTAGACTTATATACCACTCACATTGCTTTACAAGCCCTCTATAAAGCCGGTAGATTCAGCATATAGCACTTAGACTAATATACCACCTTCACAGTGCTTTACAGCCCTCTCTAAGCGGTTAGAGTCAGCATATAGCACCTTAGACTTATATACCACTTCACAGTGCTTTCAGCCCTCTCAAGCGGTTAGATCAGCATATAGCACTTCGACTTATATACCACTTCACAGTGTTTACAGCCCTCTATAAAGCGGTTTAGAGTCAGCATATAGCACTTAGACTTATATACCACTTCACAGTGCTTTACAGCCCTCTCTAAGCGGTTTAGAGTCAGCATATAGCACTTAGGCTTATATACCACTTCACAGTGCTTTACAGCCCTCTCTAAGCGGTTTAGAGTCAGCATATAGCACTTAGACTTATATACCACTTCACAGTGCTTTACAGCCCTCTCTAAGCGGTTTAGAGTCAGCATATAGCACTTAGACTTATATACCACTTCACAGTGCTTTACAGCCCTCTCTAAGCGGTTTAGAGTCAGCATATAGCACTTAGACTTATATACCACTTCACAGTGCTTTACAGCCCTCTCTAAGCGGTTTAGAGTCAGCCTATAGCACTTAGACTTATATACCACTTCACAGTGCTTTACAGCCCTCTCTAAGCGGTTTAGAGTCAGCATATAGCACTTAGACTTATATACCACTTCACAGTGCTTTACAGCCCTCTCTAAGCGGTTTAGAGTCAGCATATAGCACTTAGACTTATATACCACTTCACAGTGCTTTACAGCCCTCTCTAAGCGGTTTAGAGTCAGCATATAGCACTTAGACTTATATACCACTTCACAGTGCTTTACAGCCCTCTCTAAGCGGTTTAGAGTCAGCATATAGCACTTAGACTTATATACCACTTCACAGTGCTTTACAGCCCTCTCTAATCGGTTTAGAGTCAGCATATAGCACTTAGACTTATATACCACTTCACAGTGCTTTACAGCCCTCTCTAAGCGGTTTAGAGTCAGCATATAGCACTTAGACTTATATACCACTTCAGTGCTTTACAGCCCTCTCTAAGCGGTTTAGAGTCAGCATATAGCACTTAGACTTATAGACCACTTCACAGTGCTTTACAGCCCTCTCTAAGCGGTTTAGAGTCAGCATATAGCACTTAGACTTATATACCACTTCACAGTGCTTTACAGCCCTCTCTAAGCGGTTTAGAGTCAGCATATAGCACTTAGACTTATATACCACTTCACAGTGCTTTACAGCCCTCTCTAAGCGGTTTAGAGTCAGCCTATAGCACTTAGACTTATATACCACTTCACAGTGCTTTACAGCCCTCTCTAAGCGGTTTAGAGTCAGCATATTGCCCCCCCCCAACAATCTGGGTCCTCATTTTACCAAACTCGGAGAAGGCTTTCCAGAAGAAACAAAAAGAAGCCCAAGGGAATGGGGGAGTCAGGGACATTTTGGTGGGGATGAAAAATCATGGTGAGCATTGGGGCAAAAATGAAGAGAGGATCTGAGCTGGCTGAAAGAAACAAGGCCAACGAGAGGGCCAGGGATAGGACTGGTGTGACTCCACCAGGACAGTGAATGGGGCTGGCCATGCAAGGGGATGGAAGAGAAGGAGATGGGCTTGGCAGCCATGCACATGGACCTATTCCCCCGAAGGGAAGGGGGATGCAGCAGAAGTAATCTAGTTCTAGTGGGACACAGTTTACAGTTGCACAAGCCAGTCAAGAGGAGGTGGTTTGGGCAAACATTGAAAGGAATCTGGCAAATGCATCCAAGAAGCAGACCACAGATGGTCCAGTTGTAGATACAGGTTGTAGTGCTCTTCTCTATGCTAATGTGAAGTCTTAACACACATCTGCCAAGATTCCCGCTCTACATGTGGAATACAAATGGAAAGAGTTCTTACCTGCAGGCAGCGTTCACACTGATATGGCTTCTCTCCACTGTGGACACGCTTGTGGCGCTCCAGATGGTACTTCTGGATGAAGCGCATGTCACACACGTCACATTCAAAAGGCTTCTCTCCTTTAACAGAGGGTAGGGAGGAAGTAATTATTTCCGGAGTTGTAACCCCTATACTTTTAGAGGGAAACAAGGTGGCAAGAATCCTTCTAAGCAAAGATCTAACCATACAAAGCAGAGATTCCTAGGGAAGTCATATAAGACACTGAAACAAGAGATGGTCTTGGTGGACTGTATGCTACAGGACACTCCAGGCCCAAATGAAAATGCGATGTCATTTCTCACTCTTCCCTTCCCTAACCTTACTTTTCACTTGGCAAGGCAGGCCCAGATTGTGAATTTGGAAACCCTGGTTTCTAGTTCTTCAAGAGCTGGAGATTATTTCTGCAAGTCTATTTCTACATGGACGAAGCTGCTCTTCATGCATCCAGTGTTTTAGAAAAGAAATAGGCGAACCCTTTTCTTACAGTCCCAGGCCTGAAGGAATTCTTCCATGATTTCACAAAGAGATATTTTTTTAAAAAATATCCCTTTATTTAATTCTAAAGATGAGCACACTCTGGAGCAGGGGTGTCAAACTGGCAGCCCATGGGCTGGATGGGTCACACATAGGCCATGCCCACCCTAGATCTGCAAAGGCAAAAAAATGTCACGATACATCATATGACACAATTGAATTTGACACCCGTGCTCTAGAGATTTGGTGAATAAATAGGCAGGAAGCTTTAGTACTTATTAAGAGTGATGCGTATTTCAAAAATAATCCAGGATTTGGAAGAAATGTTCCAGGCCTTATGCCAGGGGTCTTCAAACTTGGCTCTTTTATGACTTGTGGACTTCACCTCCCAGAATTCCTCAGCCAGGCACTGTGGCTGAAGAACTCTGGGAGTTGAAGTCCACAAGTCATAAAAGGGCCAAGCTTGAAGACCCCTGCCTTATGCAAACATAATATGTCCTTGCTGTTTATTTAAAAAGCCTGACTTTCTTCAGGCTTGCAAGTTGAAAGTGATTTTTTTTAAAAAACTGGCTACTTCAAGAATCACATTAACTTTAATGGATTAACTACTTAAAGCATCAGCGACTGCTGCAATAGTTTTTCAGGCCCATTGGGCAGCCTGGAAAAAGTCCAGTGACTTTCATGGATAACGGAGAAGAACTGTGCTCACCTAAAATCCAAAGTATTTCTTCTGAATCTTTTTTTTAAAAAAAAAAAATAGGCATATTACTGAAATTTACTAGCCAGTTAAAATACTGGTTAATAATTTGTTTGGTTCAGATTAAGAAACCCTCCCCCTTTCTGCCATATGAAAGACGGCAGAAGAAACCCAGAGTATCTCTTCCACAGTAACCAGAGCTACTTTGCCACTCCATCGGTTATACTATAGATTTCAGAATGCTTGGAAAAATGAAGTGCGGAATATTTACAGTAAAGTTCCATGGCTAATCTACACGAAAACATGTAAACATTTCTCTCTCCTTGATATAATTCATTAATCTCAAAGGCCAAATTACTTTTAACCCGGCATCCAGCCTGAGCCTTTGACTGATGCATTTCAAAGAGAAGAGCGCCATCTACCGGTAGCCCAAGGACAGGGCAACTGACTGGAATGATGTTTTAAAGCTAACAATTTTGTTCCCTGAACACATAAACTGCAGAACATTTAAGCCTGAAATTGAGAGAGGCATAGATATGTACGGATTCTGTGATAACCTGGATAGAAATTGTTTCAGCAAATGGAGAACAACATTTGATAGCCCTTTTGCAGGTTGTGGTTCTGCATCACAATCAGTACAAGTAGTCTTTGATTTACAACCATAATAAAGCCGGCTTATTACAGTTATAAGTCATGACAATCGTTAAAGCAAGTCGCCTGTGCGACTGATTTTACAATCTTTTCTGCGATGGTTGTTAAGTGAACCCACTGTTCACTATGGGCTGGTTTTGCTGGAAATTAGAAGTAAATGCTAGGTTTTTTTCAGTGAAACTATCATAAAATGTGACCATGGGACACTGCAAATGGTCATAAATGCAGGCCACTTGCCAAGCACCTAAAATGCAGCCGCAATGTGTGTGCGTTCGAATTTCATAACCAGGTCGTAAGTACCAATGGGGAGATCTGTCACCACTATTACCAGTCATTAAACAATTGGTCATAAGTTAGAGGTAGTGCTACTAAACTTCCTTTACTACACTTTCCAGTTACAAGACTTAGACTGCTGAAACTACTTCCAGGGTGAAGATAGGAGCTGGATTCTTGGTATGTTGAGCATCTGCACCCGCACATATATATACACACACACTGCCTATTTCCGAAAGCAAGATGTCTTAGTTAAGCTTATCAACTGGCAAATGACCCTAGGCTTACCAGTATGAATAAGGATATGTCTCTTGAGGTGATAACTGCTCCGGAATGCTCCAAAACAGTGCTCACAAATAAAATTCTTGGGAATCCGGACCTGGAAGGATCCATTCTGCTCTATCACCATTACCTGCAAGCAAGCATAAAACAACATCTCAGCAAACATGCAACATGCCTATCCAGGCTATCTTCCAACTGAGTGTTTGCACATCTGTCAGGAGGTTTAACTAAGAGATTTGTCAGTGCTTATACAGTACTTCTGCCTCCTCTATAGACCGGGGGGGGGGGCAACCCCAGGTCTGTGGACTGGCACTGATCTACAGCATGCCAGAAACCAGGTCATGCAAACAAGCGAAGCCTCATCCACAAGATGCAGGCAGCACACAAAACCACGCTCCCTCCGGTCTACGGAAAAACCTCTCTCCATGGAACCAGTCCCTGGTGCCCAAAAGGTTGCGGGGATGCTGCTACAGACTGTCCACTCTCCCTGTTTCAAGCCACAGCAGAATGAATTGCACAACACGGTGGAAGAAAACAAAGCATCTCTTACATAACTATTTTAAATTTTTACAATTGATATGTTATGGTTCTGACAGATAAAACTCTTCAAAGAACTTTGAGGCATTGTTTACCCAAATCTGGATTCCCTTCCCCTGAGCACATGGTATCTAAGCACAATCCCCTCCTCCAATTAACAGTCATAAATCACATTCTCCAATTAGTTTGAAATGCAGGCTTTCCCTCCAGTTCTCCAACCCACCAATTCTTATCATCTCTTATTTCAATAACCTTGGTTCACACACTAGGTTCAGTATTATTATGTCTAGCTAAACTCTCTTGCACATTCCTCCCCCCAGCATCATCTAACTCTAGCTCTAACTCTAAGAGTAAACCATAAGAAGAAAAGGGTTGCATCTCCATCTGTTGTCAAAGCAAAAACATCCAATGTTAGCAGCGTTGACATGATACAGGTTGCCTCTTTAGCTTTGTTTGGTATGGAACAGATTGCCTGGATTTTTTCTTTTAAATTACACAGATTTATTAGTATGTTCTTCTGTTAAAAATGCAAAAAATATCTGATATTTGACCCCTAATGGAAATAGGTTGATCTTCAACAGAAACATGGTGGATATTTGCCCACTTCCACTTAATCTCATTTAGCTTAATATATGATAGGCATGTGCCAAGCAATCTGTTTTTCCTCTGCATTTGAGAAGTGCGGAGTGGCTTGTGAGTTTCCAGGCCAGGAAGTGATTTTTCTTGGGAGCATTACAATCCACTTCCTGTTCGGGAAATACGCTTCCAGAAATGCACAAACTCCTCTGGGCTGTTTTGGATAAGATTGCAACATTCTGGAGAGGAACTGCTGTAATTAACATGGAGTTTCCAGCAAATATCTGCTCTGCCTCCAACAATTCACTTCACTGTCTTGGGTGTTATGGGGCAATTCCACAGAAAGAAACCCAGCCTTCCCTTGAGGGTTTGTCAGGGGGGTCTGAAAGTATTGAGCGTAGTCTGTTAAGAGCAGATGGGCAGTTTTAAAAGAGAATAGAAATCTTGGGAAGTTAAGTAATCTGACAGCATTAACCCTAACTAAATATATAAAATGCACTTTGGCCCAATTCTGTTAATCTCATTTACTCCAGCTGAATAGTATTTTCTTCAATTCTTATGGTTTACCGCCAGAGATTTATCCACTGAACTCAGAGTACCGTTCCAAAGACACTAAGAGAGGGTTTTTTATATTTCATAGAAAAAGAATATTTATTTTAAAAGGTCACATAATGATTGCTAAGCTCCTATTCTTCATCTGAATTATCCCAATGCAATAGATGCTGGATGCAGCAACAGTATCTATGTGCCTTGTAATTCGGCCACAAGAATTAAAGTAGATTCAAGGACACTAACTAACCATATTGCTACCACCACAAGCCACAGGATGATGTCTTATAACAGGGGTCTTCAAACTTGGCCCTTTTATGACTTGTGGACTTCAACTCCCAGAATTCCTCAGCCAGCATGCCTGGATAAGGATTTCTGGGAGTTGAAGTCCACAAGTCATAAAAGGGCTAAGTTTGAAGACCCCTGTCTTATAATATGCAGCAGACACTAAGGGGGGGGGGGAAGCCTCATGGTCAAGCATCTGACAGTTTGTCTGACTAATCCTAACTTTCTGCCTTTCAGATGTATTAGATGACAAATCTTATTGGCTACCATGGCTAGGGATAATGATCATTAACAGGCTGACCTATTTGGAAAGGAGCAGAATGAAATTTGGCACAGATGTTGCACAAGCCTAACAATAAAGTTCTCCTATTTCTTATTCTTCAGAAACACATGAAGAACTATTTAAAATAATCAAGCAGGTGAAGAAGTTAACTATTAAATTTATTTATTTATAAACAAACAAACAAACAAACAAACAAATTTATTGGCCACCCATCTTACCTCAGGGTAACTCTGGATGGCTTACAATCATAAAAAAAATTGTACAAAGATAAAAGCTTGTGCTAGACAGGGATGCATTCCCATGGAAGTTTCATGGGCTGTCATACACACTGTAGCAATGGTTGTGGCTTTGCTTATCTTCAGCTTGTGCAAACAGCTAGATTTTTCAGTTCCTGCTGATTTGGCCAGTCTAAATTACTCTCAGCCAGCATTTGGCTAAGTGTCCATCTAAGATTGTCCTGAAAAGTGTGCAGAAACCCCAGCAGTTTATTAAGGGGTAGTGGCCAAAGTGGTTTTAAATGGTCATCTTCTCACAACGTATTATACAAAATCCCACCCCCCAAAATCTGGTTTTTATTGGTTCCCAAAGCACAAGGCAAAGTACTGGTTATTAATTATTCAGTTCTCACCTGCCCACCTGCACGAAGCCGCTCAAACCCTGCTGTCAGCCCTTGAAGCCCTGCCCATGTTTTGCCAGCCTAGCCCCAAAGGCTTCTGTGTTGTGAACACGAGGACAGGCCTTGTTAGCGGTGACACTCCTGCCTGGGAATACCTTACAATAACAATCCCACTTACCCCCTTCTGTTGAATATTGGAAGGCTGGTACATGCTTTCATCATGCTTTTTAGCAGTTTTCATTTAGCTGTTTTGCTCCTGATTTTTAAAGTGAGGCGCTTGCTTTAAGCCTGTCTCTTGTAACTCTTTCTAAAACTGAACTATACAATCTGCACTTTCATTATTGTTGTTTCACATATTTAAAATGTAAACTACTTCAGGTTTAGAAACTAGGTAGAAATTTCCTGAAAATAAGTCACAGCCCTGCTCACCAACATGGGGGTGGGTGGTGGGAGAACACACTTCCACAGCTGATAGCCTGTTTTTTAGTTCCATCACCTGATGGCTTCTGAGGCATTCTTTGGAGGGCTGGATCTTTACTAGGCCATATAATGAAAGATTACCTGCCTTTTTAAGGGATTTTTTAGGAGGAGACCCTTCTGCTGTTTCTTCTTCCTTCCGACTACGCGATTTCTCGCTCTCCTTGCGATGACCCTGGCAGACAGAAAGGAGGATACTGGCTACAATGGCTCAAAATTTAAATCTGACAATTTGAAAGCCAAGCCTCCCTTGCCCCAATCCTGTTTTCTCTGCTCTGTCATCCAACATGTCTGGAACAGAGAACAACGAAGTGCGCGTGCAGCATCAGACAGCTGAAAATGGGCTGGCCCTTACCAGCATGTCCGGCGCACCCCCTCTCTCCCCGTTCTCCACCTGCTTAGAGCTTTGTTTCGGCATCATCTTCTTGCTGGCAACTGTTGGCACCAGGCAAACACCAGAGAGTCCCTCACATGCCAAGAGGCTCGCCTGCAAACAGGGGAAAAAAAAAAGCAGAACAACATCAATCGATGCAGCCAAGCTGATTCCAAACAAAGTAGTCATCCCTGTAAGACTGCAGCTGTGTCTTTTAAGAGGTGGGCTACAATCTGACAATACGGTCATACTGCTGCTGCAGGCTGTGGAAGTTTACCACTGAAGATTGGTGAATGTCATTAAGGTCTGATGAGAGAGAAGACTCTCATTAGGTCAATTCAGGAAGGTTAATTCAACAGTTTCCTTGAAAGAACAAGCTGAACCAACTTTGGATCCAAATCCCAAAAGGTGCATAAGAGATGGGGGCAGACTCAGGGCACCTGCTGGCACCTTCTTAAAAAATCTACATATTTCCTGGACCCGCACAAAAGCCATGTGATTTCAGGCATATATGTTTGTGAGTTAAGGAAGCACTGATAGAATGACACAAGTTTATCCTACCCTGTTCCCCGCTCCCCCCATTCTTAGCTTAAATGTGTATTTCCCTGGGGGAGCATGGCTACTGCGCACATCGAGAAACAGGCACGGCTTAAGAAAGTGCCAACATAAAACGACCATCATGATGCCAATGCCACTTCCAAAGCATGTTTCTGCTGTGGGTCTGAACAGCTGAATAACTCTACTTCTGTCTGTATCTTGGAAATCATTTCACATCTACCAGAATCTAAGTAATTCAGCTTTCTGTGTACATCTGTCTGTTAAAACAAGGAAAAAAAGGACCGGCTTTTCTGAACATCGTTTCTTTGTTATGTGGGGCAATTCTTATCCCCTGCGTACAAGAAGTTACTGTTTATTATCTGTGCTAGCAGGGTCATGAAGAAAAGACAGAAATATGTATATATTTCTTAAATCCACGGCTATTGGTCAGTTTCCATGAGGCAAACCATTTCCATCAATTCTTCGCCAAAGAATTAAGAGACTACACAGGTAGCCTTGGCTACTGCTTCTGATGTTTTGCTCATATAAAGATAGATGTTGAGAAACAGCCATAAAACAGCAGAAACTCTACAGTTTTGTAATGTCCGGAGACCTAGCTTAATCATCTTTCAGGGCCTCACTCCGAGGTCATTACACAAAGTTAGTCATGTTGATTGGCAAGAAAGTGGAAGATGTTCATTAAGTGAAAGAAGAAGGGAGATGGGAGAGAGAGAATGCAAAATGCAAAAGGCATGTCCCACTGTCCCCCAACATCTAAAATGAGGCATAAGTCAAAGTGACAACTTTCAACACCAAATGTCATAGCTGGATCTGCAACCCAGGGGCTGCACAGGCGTAGATGTACAGCATGGCAGCAATTTAAACATTTGTGCCAGATTCTGGCATTCAATATAGGCATCTAGTGACAGATGATCACAACTATTGAAAGAGAATTACAATACTTCAGAGAAGAGCTAAGTCAGCCAAGAAGAAAAAACAGAAGAACTGGGAGTTGGGTTTGGCTGGGGCCTCATCAGCCTCAGTGGTAGTGAAACGGACAACCCCACCTCACTCCCTCAAACAATGAAACAAATAGAAATGGGATTAGTAAAGCCCTAATTGCCACTAGACTCAGACCCTGCAGTCAGTGGGGATTCTGTTTGCATCTTTTCTTGCTGAAGAAAAAGAAGCATTGTTAACAGCGGCAAAACTCGGCCAGGTTCTGGGAAAGAAGCCCATCAGGAAGAGCCTATAAGTGCTACTACTGGAGCTGCCATTTTAATTTCCCCACAGTGTATCTGGCATCCTGATGGGGCAATGAGCTCTGGAATGACACTGTGATTTTTGAAAAGTAGCTTGAAAGGCTAATAATGCAGGAGCAGCAATAGCTGCTAATGGAAAACTAGGGCAGAAGAACATTTTCCCAAGACTGTAAGATCCCAAGACATATTGATAATTGTACTGAGGAAGTAAGGAGAACAGGAAATAAAATATATGTAAAAAGAAATATAGCAGTAAATGCCGGATTAGACTCAATGCTGTAAGATCAATCAAAGATGCAGTTTGATGTATTGGATGAAACAAAGAGTCAAATTTCCTATGGTTGGGGTGTACTTTTTCCTCCCACCCCCCCCCAGTGGGTTGCAAAAGATATGGCAAATGACACAATTTGGGTAGCAAAGCTGAATTTCTGGGATGGCTTGTTGGGGTAGTCTGAAGATGATAAAGAGACAAAAATATGTATAAAGTTGTATGTAGATTTTACACATTTACTTTGTCCCGTATTGTTTTTTTGCAAACCCCACTGTGAAAAAAATAGTACTACCTAAAAACTTTGATACTACAGTCAAATATTGCTGATGAAACGTGAAGCTGGAAAATGGGGTTGGGGCAGTAGAAGTGCCTTGACATTCTTCTTCCCTCACCCATCAGCCCCTTCTCCAACATACATATAAGCCCCTAGGCTTGAAGTGAAAGACAAGAAAAATACGACAACATTTCCAGCTTGAACTGGAACTGGCTGTAAGAGAAAGCAAACAACACATGCTCCAAACATGGCTGTGAGAAGAGGGACAGAACAGCTTGGTAACCCCCAGAACTTTGACCAGGAGGGTCCAAGCATTCCAAGCTTTACAGTGCTGATTCCTGCAGCAGACCATCAAGAGCTGAACAGTTTATGTTACACAGAATGGATTATCACAGATGGCTCTTTGCAGCCACTTCCTGAATGATGGATTCCTGTGGGACAGGATGGGAGAACCAGGGCCTGTTACCTGAGCCATCGCGTTAGTCTGACAGTCCTCAATACGGAGATTACGCCAAGTCCTTACGCTTTCTCTCTCTTGCCCAGGAAAGAATTTTACGACTACAAAGATTTTTCAGTAAATCGTTTCTGCGCCGGTCCCGTCCAATACCTTCCACTTTGTTGACATCTTTCTGGAGTCGGAGAGTCCAGAATGGCGTGCAGCAAGTTTTCCCAGCCTTGTTAAAAGCTGAGAAAAATTACAGACTGTGCTGCTCTTGCAGATGAGTCACCCCAAATCTAAATCCCCCTTCAGGATGGCCCTTGCTAGGGAAAGGATGTTGAGGTCTTCTTTGCAAAGAAGCACAATATTGCTGTACGTCCACCTCCAGCTTCCACCTGTGGGTTAAGGGAAAAATATATATCTTTAAAAAGAAAAAATGAGATCAGTATTTTTTTTAAATTATAATTACACACCAGACAGTTTTACTGCAATGGCAAAAGGTATTGGTATCGCTAAAGTCTACTAAAGTATTCTGCTTATTACTAAGTTCCCATCTCTACAGTAACTGTAAAATATATCATTTCTGCAAGCTCTTGTACTAAATTCTGAGCTGCTATTTGAGTACATCATCCAGGCAATCTGTATCCTTCTATATTAAATATCATAATGCAACATTAACATAAAAATTTTCTATCTGCTTATTTTCTTTAAAAAAAATCCCTCAGTAGGAAATATAAGGATCATGTAGAAAGTCACAATGTTTTGTAAAGTCCATCTAAGCAAGACAACAGATATACTGTACTGCAGTTAAACAACTGGTCATACTCATGCAATGAAGGTAATATGCAGTGTATATGTGAATCTGATTCTGACATTAACATACTCAAAGTAGCGCAGATAGAGAACAAAACTTTACGAAGTTAACCTAGTCTCCAAACGTAAGCATTCGGTTTAATTATTAATGTAATATTTATGGTATTTAATAGGAACATTCTAGTCTCTTCATTACTATAGTTCAGTAAAAAAAATGTTTAAAACTCAAAACCAATGTTTTTAACTCTACACAACCCAGCCTTAAATCTAACATTACTGACAGAATGAAATACATAATGCCTTTTAGCAAAACCAATGTGACTGTGTAAGTAAACATTACAATACCTATGCACCAATAACATCGTGTTCACCAATTATGAAAATTTCCCCAAATTTTCAGAAAAAAACATTTTGAGTTGGGAATTCTGGGAGCTGAGGTTTATTCATGTGAAAGGCACCAGAGTTAGGAAATACTACTTAATCTATAGCGCTGCATCAAAGAAACCAAATATGTTACAATGCACAAAAGAGTAAACTGGCACTGAGAAGAAAACCAAAAATGCGGAAAAATGAAGAAAATTAGTACAGGTAGTTCTCAACTTACAACAGTTTATTTAGTGACTATTCAAAGTTACAACAGCACTGAAAAAAGTGGCATGACTGTTTTCCACACTTATGACCATTGCCAAAATCCCCATGGGTCATGCGATCAAAATTCTGATGCTTGGCAACTCATTCATATTTCTGACAGCTGCAGTGTCCCAGAGTCGTGTGAACAGCTTTTGCGACCTTCTGACAAGCAAAGTCAATGGGGAAGCACAACCATGTTACTAGCTTAACTGCAATGATTCACTTAACAACTGCAGCAAGAAAGGTCATAAAATGGGGCAAACTTGCTTAACAAATGTCTCACGTAGCAACATAAATTTTGGGCTCAATTGTGGTCATTAGCTGAGGACTACCCGTAATAAAAGTTGAGGGTTGGGTATGAAAAAGCCCATATGACTTTCCATATCAATAACTGCAATACAGCATATTGCTCAAAAATACAACCGCAAGGACCTCTGGCTTAACTACATTAAACATATGACACAAAACAAATTCTTATTTCCTATTTAAAACCTTTCCTTCATTTTTCAATAGATTGAAATATTAAGAATCCTTGACCCTTTAGATATATACCGCGCAGCATGGACTTGAGTGTTCGCACAAACCTGAGATTTGGTATTTAGGAACAAAAGGATCCATGTCAACATTTTCCCCACACCAAAAATATTTTAATACGAAGTTATCTCCTCAGAGAGGATCCTACAGAACTGTGAAAATGACTAATGTTTATTTATCCTAACCAATTCTTTACTGTTATGTCCATGAACTATTTCACAGTTCAGAATCTCTTTTAAGGACATGGTCATCTTGAAGTAACATGATGAGTAACAGCTACTTCACAATTTACGAGCTTTTTGCTCCAGAAAGATCAACATGAAACCTTGCAGAAAGTTGCAATTCGCACTGCAAAGAAGCCCGGTGCTTGGCAGCAGAATTTAAACCGATACTCCTTAATTCAGCGTAGCCAGAAGAGGGTTAGAGGGAATCCGTGGGAAGAATCAGAGACCTGACTCATTGCTCCATCTCCGATCGTACACCTGTCTTGCAAGAGACAAGCCCTCGCGGTCCCTGGAAATAGGCAGCCGAGCAGGTGACGCGGACGATTTGCACGGCGTAAAGCCCGGGAGAGCGAGCGAAGAATGAGCCCGAAAAGCGCGTGGACGAGCATGCACCGCCTCGCGACGTCTCCCCCCTCCCTTCCCGGTCTCCTCGCCCGGGCTGGACAATCAGCGCGCGGCGGCCGAGCCCCGCCAGCACTAAGGCGTGCGCGCGCTCCTCTCCCAGGGGAGGGCCGCGAGTGCGCGCGTGCAGGCCAGCCCCGCACCTGAGTTCAAACTCCCGGCGTGCCGGCTCCCCCTCTCTCGGGGAGACCAAAGCAAAACGCCTCGGCTATCGCTGCTGCTGGTCCTGCCGCTATTCCCACCGCTACCGTCGTCACCGTCGCCCTGGAAGCGGAAATGTCGGAACCCGGTACAAACTCTTGCGGGGTTTCCGGTGGCTTTGCGCGCGCACGCCTGACGACTTCCTGGTAGGTCCCCCCTCCTGCTGTCGCCACCGGAGAAAGAGAGAGGAGGTTGGGGTGGCCTTCGTGTAGCTTGGATGATGGGAGTTGTAGTCCTACCCAATCAGGACAGCTGCCGTAAACTCTGCTTCTTTTCCAGGGATACATTACTATTACGGTACAACCTAGATCAGGGATTCCCAGACTTTTTGGTATTCCTTGTTTTTTAAAAATACTCTTCCTCGAACTTTCTATTCGCTCTTTCTGTATTTTCCTTTTACTTCCTGGGTTTAGTTTGTATTGTCTTTATTCGTGTTTTTTTTTAAAGTTCAACATTTTTGGAAAAAGAAAAAAATACATTATTCCTCCTAATTCTCATTCAAATCAATTCTCCCTTTTAACAAAATGCTCAAATTAAAAGACACAAAAGCACGTATGCATTTCCTGTAGCTCTTTTAATTTTTTATTAAGTATATAAAAATAACATGGAAGTTATTTCACGTACTCATAATATAGCTGAATCAATTTCAAGATCTTACTTATAAAATTTGTCTAATATAGATCACTAGCTACCAATTTTAGAATTTTATAAACAGCACACATCTTTAAATATCTGAACAAAAGAAGTATAGTAGTTTTGATTGATGAAAAGTTTTAAACGTTGCCATTTTTAAACAAGAACGTGGTTTGCATTATCCTTATTAAAAGAGCCAGTTTTTTAAATAAACATCTAGTCAAGGACCCTTAAATAAACATGCATATTCCAGACTCTACTAACATGCCAGCTCCAGTACCTGGAGAAAAAAAACAGGTCTTTAAAGTCTTCCAAAAGGTCAACAGAGTTATCCAAGTCCCAGAGGGTAGCTTTTCATAAGGTAGGCATCATGACAGAGAAGGGACACTTCCTAGATCTTATCAAGTCATACCCTTAACCAAGAGGGCACAGAGCATTTCAATCTTCTGGATCTGGTAGGGATGGAAATATATCACTGAGGAAAAATAGTCCCACAAGTAACCTGGCTCCCACTTTATAGGTGACAATCAGCATCTTGAATTGCACCTGAAAACCAAGCAGGATTCAGTGCAGCTCACATAGTTATATGGGCATGATGTGGTGCACTTAGAATTATATATGCTGCTGCTGTATTTTGGATCAGCTTCTGAATGTTCTTCAAGGATATTCTCAAATGGAGTACATTGTAATTGTGCAGGTGGGAAATCAGTAGGGTGTGAATGATTTTGAGCAGTGATTCCTAATCTAGGAATGGATGCAATTGGTATCAAGATGGATTTGGTCAAAGGCTGTCCTGGTCACAACTCCCATCTGCTCCTCAAGGAGGAGCTGTGAGTCCAAGAGGATCTCTGGATTGTGTTCTAACTCTGTGGTTGGGAGTGTTATCCCATCCAGAGTTAACAACAGAAAATGTCTAGATGTGAGAAGTCCTAAAACCCACAGGCATTTTGTAAGTTAAAGCCTGTTCTTCCCTTTCTAGACTTTCATACCTCCAGGTACTGAGGAAGAATCTCTGTGACATCACTTGGACAGCATAGGGCAGAGATGTGTAACTCAATATCCTCAGCTACTGATGACTCCAATCAGTGGTTTGATATGGATATTATGTAGCAGGGAGAGAGTTGAGACTTGTGGCACTCCTCAAAGCGAAGGACTGGACGCCACCCCATCCAACACTTACTGGATGTGGTCTGTCCTCTCTAGCTCTTCCTTGAATGGACCTGACTATTCACTCAATGGTTGTTCCATCTTTACCTTGCCGCTCTTCTTTGCAACCTAAATTTTTCCAAAGAAGTTCTGAGCGTAGATAACGGATAACTCTCTGATCCTGATCCTCAGTTTGATCTTCTTTGCTCCTTCCTCAAAATATACCTTGATTTTGAATAATCTTAAATACAAGATGCTATTCAACAACATGGGACATGGCGTTCTTCTTTGATTGTTCTTTTTTCCAACTCATGTGCTGTTTCTCCTGTGCAGTCAGTGGAAAATAGTACCCAGAGGGATTTAGTAAATTGACAATTACTCTTTACCAATAATCTTACCACGCTGTCATGAAACATTGCTGGTTGAGCTTCAAAGCAAGCAGATTTCCTGGGATTTTTGTTTCAATTTGATACAATTTTCTGGACATGGATCCTAAGGGAATTTTCAAGCCCTAAATATTTTTCTCTTTCAGGCTCTCAATCCCCAAATATTTTTTCTCTGCAAGGCTATCCTCAGAGATGGCAGGTCAAAAGGAAGATTTGGTATATTTATAGCTTCCAAAGTATGGTTGAAATTGTGAAATGGTCAGTTTGAGAATACCATATCTGCCTTGTTAATTTTTGACCAATTCTGCTGACTGTGCACCAGTTTTTAATCCTCTTCCCTCCCAAATCAACCAAACTTGAAAACTGCCTCAGTCTTTTCTTGCTCTTTGCCTGAATAAATTCCCTTGTTAATATATCTTAATTAATGGGGATTTTAATCCAAAAATTGGTTGCAATGTTGAAAATCTATATAATGCACTTTAATGCTTGTCCTCCTGAATAAATTATTGAACCATGATTTATATCCGGATCCTTCAAGGATACAAAATGGAATTTAGCTGGGTTAAAGCTGGTACATATTTTAAATAGATTTAACTTACAAATGCTAAATGATTCCATTACAAGTGATTTTCCTTGGCGGTGCACATTTTGGTCAGATCATAGATGATATATTGTGGAGCATTTAATAATTTCTAGAGATTGGCTCCATGCCTTAAGTATTTGGCATAGTTCCTAGGTCTGAAGATAATCACCTCCTTTTAACTTTCACTTATAAATTTATCCAGGGCCCAATCAGGAATCAAATTAAAGCTTGTTTAAACTGCCATGTGGTGGGTAGGTTTCTACATAGTCAGATGGAATGACTCTTTTGATTCTTGAAGGTGGGATATTCCAACAATTTCAGAGGAAGAAAAAGGATACAAGTAGTCCTCAATTTACAACTACAACTGAGCCCAAAGTTTCCATAACTAAGCAAGAGTTAAGTGAGTTTTGCTCCATTTTATCACCTTTCTTGCCATAACTATTAAGTGAATATTACAATTATTAAGTTAGTAACATGGTTGTTAAGTGAATCTGGCTTTCCCATTGACGCTGCTTATAGGAAGGTCCTAAAAGGGGATCATATGAGCCTAAGACACTGCAACCATCATCAATACATGCCAGTTTAAATTTTGATCATGTGGCCATGGGGCTGCTGCAACAGTCGTAAGTGTGGAAAAAATAAATCAGTTTTTCCAGTGCTGCTGTAAATTCGAATGGTTACCAAATGAAAGGGTGTAAGTCAAGGACTATATGTACTCTGATTCTTTATTTGTTTGGGTCCTATTTAGACCAATCTCAAGATAATAAAATATTTGATGTACATTGTGATCTTATAGGCAGGGGTCAAACTTTTGTAAGGAGGACTATGTGATGCATGTGTCTTTATCCTCATTGCCTCAGTGGCTCCAGTCATAGGCCAGGGGTTAAAAAGGATTATTAACCCACTTAAGTGAAATAAAGCCCCCCCCCAGTGACTGCATTCCAGCCAAGATAATCAAGTCCAAAACTCTTAACTGATAGGGTCCAGTGCTGGCCTCCATCTTCTCATATATTAATCCTATTAATCTTTCTGATTGTATTCAGGCCTCTGAGAAGGTAAAGCAAGAATTCATTGTACTCTTATTATTTTTTTTAGCTATCTAATTAACTTCCTAATTAAAACTCTTCAAAAGTTGGTATTAATAGGCTCAAATTAGCTGATGGACATCTTCCAATCTTATTTTATGCAAATGATGCCATTCTCCTCCCTTTGTTTTATATACTATAGGTATGAAGCAACCTGATGGATCCCTAATGTATCCTGAGGCTTGAAGCTGATGTTCCAAGTGTTAAAGTCAATGCCTGGATTAGGATTCTAATCTTATGGCTTAGAATTATGATTAATTCTACAGACAGAGTTATTACCATTGCTGTTGATGGACAGCTACCAGTCTCACTGATATCAAACTTATGTTCTGTAGCATTGGCTTTTCTCCTGACATTCAGTCACATATATTTGTGCAAATAAAATGAACAGTTAAGGAACAAATTGGCAATATCAAACATCAGAACACCAATGCTAATGAAGTTTATTGCCAAATAGTAGACTATCATAAACCATCTATTGCAAAATATTTGCACAATTGAATTCTGAGTAAATATAGATGGGCCTGCACCCTGTTTTAATGCTTTTTCCTTCTGCACTCATAGTGGAATAGATTTTAATTTTTTTTTTTTAATCTGCAGAGACCTTAGACGCCTTTGCAGCTTTAGGGAGATAGAGGAAGAAATATGTGTCTTTTTACACTATTATAATTACGACATTCCAAGAATTTTTTTTGCTATCTCCAATTATTCCCAAATTTGAGGGCCATTCAGATAAATATTATGTACCTTATCTTCTAAGGGATGTTATTCCTTCACATTTCAGATAGCAAAATATCTTTGTCATGCCACAAAGCTCTGATTTAGATATTGTTTATTGTATTATTATACTGTGATAATTCTCTTCATGAATTTCTTCTAACAATTTCTTCCTTTTTGTTTGAATGCTGGCCAAAGACCATTATAACATGTATGCATGTACATGTATGTATATACCATGATCAATTTTATCAAAGGCTTCCCATTTTAGAAGCTAGATGTTTATAAAATGCCATGGTTTCTCCACTGTCTGATTTTGCACACCTTCACATCTACTCTGCCTCTTCAAATTTCATCATGATCCCCTAAATTTCTTTATGACCTCTTGCAGCACATGCCTCCCAATTTGGGAACCCTTGGCCTGGAAAATAGGGCAAATGCACAAGCTTGATAGTCTCTTTTCTTTTATCACCATTTATTCATTGCTTATAATGTTCCCATGCCAAACATTTGATTATATTAACTGAGCAGCATTTAATACTGGATGTTTTCCTGAGACATCAGTATTTTTCCATAATTTTGCTTTTTTTGTTCAAAACTGCTAAAAGCCACAGTGGAGGGGAAGAACCTGACACAACTTGTTTTATGTCATGTGTCTGACTAATGAAACACTTCAAAGAATTTTCAGGCATGGTTCAACCTAAAAAAACCCTTTATTAGCAGAGACATGTCAGCACGGCATGAAGAGGATGACAAGATCTGAACTTCCCTTTGCACATAACATTTTATTTTGATGTGCAAGAGGAAGTTATCAAAATAAATATGGATTAAACTGCTGTTAAATCAGCTTAACTTTCTCTCTTCAACTGTTTCTGGGTTCAAGTGGTATTTTTTCTTTTCAATAGGCAAAAAGTGGCAGCAGTTTTACTGATGTGCTTCACCAGTCATTGGATCAGACCTACTTTGACACAGCTGGGATCCTTCAAACTATTTATTTATTGATATTTATTCACTTAGTGTGTATAGCTGCCCATCTCCCATGGGGGACTCTTGCCCAGTCGCTGAACCAATCTCCAGATCAGAAGCCTGCCTTAGAAAGAGGGATCAGCATCAGCCCAGCCAGCACCTGGCATATTATCAGCTAAGAACTAATGGGGAGGGAGCAGGTGGGACTCTTCTTCATAGTGCCAGCCCTCCATTTAGCAATTGTCAGTGAATGAGGGATGATTTCCTTTTTGAAGTTTTCTTGCCACTTGGTGATATTTGGAGGAAGGGGAGAGAAACAAAGCCAAGAGACTCCACCAATTTCTTTCCTCGGTATGCTCTCCATTTTGTTTGTTTGTGTCCTGCCTTTATTGTTTTTACAAATAACTCAAGGTGGCAAATATTCCTAATATTCCCTCATACTCCTATTTTCCCCACAACAACAACCCTGTGAAGTGGGTTGGGCTGAGAGAAAATGACTGGTTCAAAATCATCCAGCTGGTTTTCATGACTTAAGGCGAGATCTGAACTCATGATCTGCTTTCTGCTCCCGCTGGTGCCTTAACCACTAGACCAGGGGTAGGCAACCTTGGCTCTTCTATGATTCGTGGACTTCAATTCCCAGAATTCCTGAGTCAGCATACTCAGGAATTCTGGGAGTTGAAGTCCACGAGTTATAAAAGAGCCAAGGTTGCCTACCTCTGCACTAGACCAAACTGCAGATAAGGGCATCATCAGTTGGCCATACGGTCCTGTGGACAGGGATGGAGATCAGCAATGGAACATTATTTTTTTGCAGAGACACTAATATTATGCAGGTTTAAGGGCTGGCAGATAGCATTTTGAGTCAGACATGGAGAAAGTCTTCTGAGAGAAAAGATTTGCTATCAAGTTATTATGCTTGACCAGTTGGATGGTAACAGTAACCATGAAAAATACGTACTTTTATAGCTTTGAAGTCAATAAAGCTGAGGACAGGCTGTGCCTTGACTCGCAAAACTGGTTGTAAAGAAGGGTTTTGGAAAAAGAACAGTTTATTTCATAGAAAATAGTTGTTTGAAGGCTTTCTAAGGAGTCGGGAGGCTCTGAGTGTCAGATGGCGCACCTGAAGGACAGTCTCCCTCCTTATCTTCCCCTCTGCAGTTCAAGAAAATGCATTTGAGGACACTCTTATCTCAGTGTGCACTTATTTTGTTTTTTCCAACAGTGTTGAAAACATGTTAAGATGACAAAACAATATGCATACTAATATTTAACAGTGGTTTGTCCAAATCAAACCATTCAAACAGGTCAAACAAGGCAAAACAAGGATCTACAGTATTGCAGAGTGCAGTTACTGGAAATAAGGCTTGAACTGCATGGAGCAAGTGCACGTGGAAATATACAGCTTTACTTGGCTTGTTGCTAAATAATTAAAAAGAAAGCATCCATTTGGGGCTTTCTTCCTTGGAAAATAAAGGTTTGACACCTCACTAGTAAAGGAAAGCATCCAACTTACTTCTTCCACCCTTTTCTCCTATCCTCACTCATCCTGCGTTATATCTAGCTGACCACTCAAAATGTGAAAGTTTCTTTTGTCCACAAAGAAGCAACACTTGTCTGGATTGGGATCATGATCACTTCAGCTACTATAGAAATTACATCTTTTCATGACCAAGAATTGTTGGATTTTCTACTGAGTACCCTTCCTTTCTCTTAAGGTTAAAGGGGGGGGGGAATTGCGACTCTTCTGATAGCCTGAAAATTCTATGCAACAAGGCTGGAATTCATCCCTGAGCTATAAATATTCTCCTTTATCATTAGGACTGATTGCTTAGCAACAGTTTGAAGTTACAGTGGCCCTCGACTCAAAATTTTGACCCCCCCCCACAATTTGGACCTTCAGCAGCCATCCAACATTTACAACCATTTATAGCATCCACAATCTATGCCCGCAATTTATGCTGTTTTTGCTGGAAACCGGCATTTGCTCAGGTTTCTGATGAAAAATGCCCCATAGTGAATAATGGGATTACTTAATGACCACTCCGTTCCCTTAACCAACATGGTGTTTGCTAACAACTGCCATGTTAGCTTCACAACTGCTGCAGAAAAAGGTTGTAGAATCAGGTATGATGACCTGCTTACCAAACATCACAACATGACCACAACTGCAGTCAATTACAGTGATGCATTGGGGACTGCCTCTAAGCAATGAATAACCTTAAATAATCAAATTAATGCAAACAAATCAACAAATAAGCTGGTGGCCTGGTGATGCAGATTTCACATCACAAATATATCAAACCAGATGAGCAGAATCCCTAGGTTTGTAGTTCTCTTTGTTTACTATCACAAAATAGCACAGATATTTTCCAGAATCGGCAGAGAAATTTAGATTTGGAAAATGTTTTATTGCTGGGAGGTGAGAAAGGAGTTCTTTGGACAGGTTATCTGCACACAGATGTATATGTATATTTGCAATTATGGTAGTTCCCGTGTGCAAATTTAGGTCTCCAAATCACTTTTCAGGCATGTGTGCATGCACATATAAAATCAATATATTTAGTAGGAGCAGAAATGTAGAATCACTGGAATGTAATTGATACCACTTTTTAGCAGAAATAAATATAAAGGCACCTTTTGGCATCCCATGGTATCCTCACCCCACCCCTTTTTAAAACAACTATGTGGGCGAAAAAAACCTTGTAGCATGCGATCCAGAGGGCAGACTTTGAATGCAAATATTTTTACTCCCACAATATATAATGATACTTGCTGGTTATGTGGTCACTCCCTTTGTACTTTGTCCCTGAAAGCAGTGGAAATCTGTACAGAATTGGGCAGGTAACCATAGCAATTGGACGTTGTGTTCTTTCCTTCCTCTAATGTGGAGAGTAAAACTCCTACAGAACAGTGTTGGTACAGGCTTAGCAAAGTTTTCTTTGCTGAAAACAGAGTTAGCAGAAGTTGTGACCATATGAAGAAGTGGAAGCTCATCCTTCTGCCTTTTGAAATAATTCATCTGTAGTTCACAGTGGAAACTTCCTGGGACAGAGAAAGAAAAGCAGTGCACCTGACTCCCATTCAACAAGAGAAGGTAAAGTGGTATGGGCTGCTTGTTTGCAGTTGTGTTACATAGTTAATCACACTAGCAATTTTGAAATTTCTTTGAACTTCTTCAGTCTAACATTTTTCAGTCTTGCCATTTTTAAATTTTCAGAGCTGGAAAGATGGGCTTTCAAAGTTGAAAAATTGGAAATCTGCAGAAGTAGTTATTGAATTACAAAAATGTTAAAATATGGATGTGGTTTGCTGATGGAAAAATTATTATGCTTGTTTAAGACATCTGTGAAGATTTCATCGGTGTCTACTGATTACAAGAATGTTATTTCTCCCCTAAACTATGGGGTCTTAATGTTTAATGAATGCTTGTGGTGATGTCTGTTGGTTGAAAGTAAGTTTAGTTTAGTTTTTTTTTAATGCAGATAACGTTGTTTTACAGATTGAGAACCTAAGTGATTTGGAATGAATGTTTCACTGATTGTAAGATGCAATATGCAGTTATTACACAGAATCAAAATACCATGATTCCCCGCCGCCCCCAAGTCTTTATCCACCAGTCTCAGGAGGCAAATTCTTGGTCTCAATTATAATTATTATAATTATAATTCTAATTATATATTAATCTTTAAAATCCTCTGAATCAGTATATAACCTCCCCTTTTTTGCTTTTTTTATACATCCAGCAAGCATGATAAAATATCCCTTATTAATGTTCTCATTTCCACCACAATTTTTTTTTTAAAAAAAACAAGTTTTATTGTTTTTTTCATTTTATAGACAAGTGCTTATGAAACAACATGGTGGCAGGGCAATCAATTATCCACACAACAAAGTCATACTCATAAAACTCAGATTAAATCATTTTAAAAAAAATCCCTCTCTTTTTCCTCTAATAACATATTATATTCAAATTGATATATTTCAATACAACTAGATCAATCCTATCAATCCTCAATAACCTTTCATCTAAATAGATCCACAAATCCAGATCCTGTATGAAGTTTACTTATTTCAATTACTATATTCCATATTTCTAATCTAAGTACATAGTTAACACTTCAGGAGTCTCCCCATTACCTTTTTCCTTAACATATTCAATAAACATTTATTAATATCATTTCTTATTTTTCCCTATTCATCTTCCATTACAAAGTAACTATCAGTTCTAATGTACATATAAAAAAAGTATATTAGTTCATATCAGAAAAGAAAAAGCAAAGAAAAAAAACAAAGAACAAAACAGAAAAAAGTGAAAAAAATACCTTTCTATTTCTATTATACTTTATAATCTAACAATAAATCCCTCAATATCAATATCACATTTCTTTAACCTCCTCAAAGTTACTATATCCAAAACATATTAATACGTAGACAAACACATTTATTAAGTTCAGATCTTTAATTTGTATTGAATCTAACATCTTATTTAACTGTCATAAGCCATAAATCAATCCATATCTAATAAACCTTTTTAAATCATTACATAAAACCTTCAATCAGATTCTTAAATCTTATTCTAGTTTTCCTTTTATGCCAAACAGGTTTCCATAACAATGCCACTATATCAATAAGCAAGTCATGTTTTATGTCTTGTAGTGTCCTTTGAGTCAAACAGAGATGTTTTCTGTTTTAGAAACCTAGCTCCTTTGTAAATAATCCCTTGTTGTTTGACAAAGTCCAATCTCCACATTTGAAACTGTTGAGTGGCCGGCTCAATTACGTCCAATTTTGTAGCTAATAGTTGTTTATCCAAGCTAGCATCGTTCTCAGTTTGTTGGGCTTGTCTGTCCACTTCTGTTAATTTTAGGGTTGTAAGTGATTTAATTACAGTCCTTTTTAATTCCTCAGAGATCTCATCAGTCTGCGTATGAAGTAAAATGGAATCTTCTTTACTTTTAGTTAATCCCGCTTCTGTTGTTTCTTGGTCCATAGAGTCCTCAGACAAAGTCTGGGAGTCAGTTTGTAAGTTCAAAGCAGGATTTCTATTTTTTATTTCCATCATAAATTTTTTATTTGCAAACATATTTCATCAGTAGCTTCATAAAATTTTTCTAGTATAAGTTTATAGTCAAGTTGAACTAAGGGTTGCTCCATTTCAAAGATAATCAAAAACAGTCTGTATCATTTAGTAGAGGCTGTGTTCAGAGAACATTTAATCAGTGTCCACCCCCACCAGTACAGCTCTTAATTTTCTTTGTATTTTCCCTTTTTTTAATTGAAAATTTTTATAAACATTTTACAATAAAATACCCCCCTCCCACCCCATAACCCTCCCCCCTCCTTCCCAGAGCTGAATACAGGGTTAAAGAAAGAGAAAAAAAAAACATACAAATTAAATGAACATCAATCCACTATACATACATCCAAAAAAAATTTAAAGTACTTTAACTCCAATACATAAAAACTACAAATCCAACCATACCCAGTTTAAACTATAAATTATTCAAAAGCTAAATAATACTTCCTAATCCCATATTTAATCTGTACAAAATTTACCCATCTTTTCCACACCGAAATATATCTCTCTTGTGAATGGTCTTTCAGATAAGCCAAAATTTTTGCCATTTTTTGTATTTTCCCTTTTATGATCATCTGAAAGTCAAGGTCAGTCCAATCCTCAAAAGAGAAAGTTTTAACTTTTTCCACAGGGTGTCCTCAGTACAATGTAAAATCTTCTCCCAGAGACCAGGAATCTCATAAACAAGATCAGGAAATACAGAAAAAAGAAGCGTTCAAGTCCAATAACAGATTCAATATTCACAAAATTTTCCAAGGCCCCAAAGTGAAGGAAAAAAAATAAAAATAGGAAAAAAATCACTTTAAATTAATTCAGTCCATTTAAGCTTCTTTTCCCCACACTCACAAACACTGCCTTCTTAGACTAGGGAAATCATTTCAAAAGTGCTCTTTACAGGCACACAAAAAAAAGTCTCACCCAGCTCAAGCACGGTGGTTCCTGTGCTTAGATGTTCTTCTGACTTTTGGTTGCAGCGGCTAGATGAACGGCCATTTTACTGGCTGTTCTTTCCACCATCGGCCCAAAGGAGCAATCTCGGTCCCTGGAAGACGCTGCTGCTCTCCCAAGGATGACGAGGACCTCCTCACCGGTAGCCACCCCTCCAAGGCGGCTTTTTGACCCGATTAAGGGTCTACCAGCAGCCGAGAATCAGCTGGCAAGGAGAGCAGTCTCCTTGCACAGCTGCGAGCGCTGTGCAAGGAGCGCCGGAACTTTCCACCACAAATTTGAAGTTGTCCATTGGATCGCGATGGGTTGGACACGACCTTGCAATTAACAACAACAACAGCAACAACAATATAAAGGCACTTCAAATTTCTGACCCATCGCGATCCCATGGACAACGTTCCTCCAGGTCTTCCTGTCCTCTACCATCTTCTGGAGTCCATTTAATTCACGCTTATTGCTTCAGTGACTCCATACAGCCACCTCATTCTCTGTTGTCCCCTTCTTCTATTGCCCTCAATCTTTCCCAGCATTAGGCCCTTTTCCAGTGAGTCCTTCCTCATTAGGTGGCCAAAGTATTTGAATTTCAACTTCAGGATCTGGCCTTCTAAACAGCAGTCGGGGTTGATCTCTTCTAGGACTTTATATATTCTAGACAATTTCTCTGATGACATATAATATTATTTTATAAACATATTCTAGAAGACTAGCAAATAATGTACATAATGCTTTCCTCTTATGTTTTTTCCCCATTGGTCCATTTGTATATTAAAACCAATAGTTTATCCATTTTATCATACACTTTTTTATTCTGTCTTTTGTCTCATATTTCAGAAAAAGTTCATATATTTTAGCAATAACATTTCCTCATTAGTATATAATTCTGTTTCAAACTTGGTCTTACTTTATTCAAAATGATAAGATCTTTTAAAACCAGTTTAAAGCTCTCTGTTAATTGTACATAAGACATCCATTGACAAGAATAGTTTTCTGTTATCTTCTTTTTCTTGATTTCATTTTAGTCTCTTGAGACAATTCTAATACATCACAATTAGTTAACCAATTATTTTTACTTATCGTTTAAATAAAATGATACTTAAATGTATTCACGATATAAAAAAGATGTTGAGACTAGAAAAACTGCAAAGAAGAGCAACTAAGATAAATTAAAGGCCTGGAGACTAAAACATATGAAGAACAGTTGCTGGAACTGGATATGTCTAGTTTAATGAATCTCTCTATATAATATATCTTTGGTCACAAATGCATATTTATATGTAGAAACTGCCCCATTTATCATTGTTGTCATATGAGGACCTTGGTATTAAAAATTGACTTAATTGATTATGAGCCATCATTATGAAGTCGTTGACAATTCTTAGTGATCACATAAATACATTTCCTGCATAACGATTTGTCCCTAACCTGATCTTTTAGGTCTTCTCAGTCATTTTGTATTTTCTAATCACGTGGTTTTCTTTATAAAAATACAGGAGTTACCATTGCCTTCTCCTGTGCAGTATGAATTGGTGTCTTTGCCATTGTCCATAAAGTAAAAAGTTCATTGAAGGTTAGCTGCTATGAACTACAGTTGGAGCCTACATTCTATTAAATGTATGAATGCAACAGGGATGGCTACATCTCTATGTTAGTATAAACATTATAAAGGGTGCTGGAAAACAAAAACAAATACCTCTATTGACTCAGTGTCAAATTTAAAGAACTGAATGACTGTAGTTGGAAATTGATATGATCCTGGTTACAATGACTGTTTTGCATTTTGTAACATTCTTTTTCTGGAGATATATACCATGCCAGTATGGAAACATTTTAGTGGGTTTGCCTTCAGGGTCTTATTTGAATTCATGTTCTTGATGCCTGGCCTCCTCCTATAGGCCACCTCCTATAGGAGATCTGCTTGACAATGGCAGCAGAAGATTCTTTGTCATCTCCTGGCTTGGATCGAGTAGCTGGTGAGAAGTTCCTGCAGGAAGCCTTCCAGATCATGCTTGAAGAAGGAATTCGAAAAGGGATGGATGCCTCTGAAAAGGTAAGATATACTGTTTTTCATTCTAAGTTTTCTTGAGCTGGGATGTCCACTCTATATATTTCAAGCAATGGCTTGGGCCAGGTATCCAAACTGAATTTTACTTGCAAGCTAACAAAGTAGTCCCTCAGCAGAAAAATCACAATTTCCTAATCCCGAATGGTTTGCATTGAGCAAATTGGGTATAATCTATTCTTTTCTCAATTTTTCTAATCTTCCTCCAAACATCCAGTTTACTATTGTATTTAATATATAGTAGGGCAACATTTCCCCACCCAATCTCTCCAAGAAGCATTGAAACCATAGGTTCCAGACTCCTGGCCAGTCAGGAACGCTGGCTAAAATGTTAGGGATTAATGGTCAGAAGACATTGGGAGGGCTTCAGCTAGGGCAGGGGTAGACAACCTTGGCTCTTGTATGACTTGTGGACTTCAACTCCCAGAATTCCTCAGTCAGCATGGCTGGTTCAGGAATTCTGGGTACTAAAGCCCACAAGTCATAAAAGAGCCAAGGTTGTCTACCTCTGCCCTAGCTGAAGCCCTCCCAATGTCTTATGACCATTAATCCCTAACATTTTTAGCCAGCGTTCCTGACTGGCCAGGAGTCTGGAACCTACGGTTTCAATGCTTCTTGGAGAGATTGGGTGGGTAAATGTTGCCCTACTATATATTAAATAAAATAGTAAACTGGATGTTTGGAGGAAGATTAGAGCTAGGGAAATTTAACTTCAACTTCTGACAACATAACAGCATCCACAGGGAGCAGAATTTGGACTTATGCTGATAATATAGAATTTTATACCAACCCCTTGTCATCCTGAAAGCATAACCTGGATATAGGATTGCATTGTTAGATTTTCAGCTTGTATACAATATGGCTTTTCAGACATGAGCTGAACTATTTTGCTGATAGGTCTGCATTTGGAAGGAACCTGAGGAACTGCAACAAATTCTGGATCTCGATCTAAAAGACAGTGGGGAGCCACATGAAAAGTTGCTGGAACGCTGTCGGGATGTTATCAGATACAGTGTGAAAACATGTGAGTGTTCTGCACGGCAAGAGTTAAGAGAGTGTGGTTCCTTCTTCAGAACTTCTTAGGAGATAGGATTGTTCCAGTCCAGTTATTGAGATTGGTTTGCCTATCCTGGCATCCTGAGTTAGTTGATTCCCCAGTTTACAGTACTTTTGGATGGTCTTTTTTAAAAAAACAAGTGTGTGATTGATTATGTGCCATAAAATTAGTGCTAACTCTTAGCAACATAAATAGATTTTCTCCATATGATCTGTCCCTAATCTACAGTAGTCCTTCAGATCTTCCAATGATGTACTCATTGCTACTATAATTGAATCCATCCACCTTGCTTCTGGTTGTTTTCTTCTCTTTCCCAGTATTATAGACTTCTCTAAAGAGCTAGGTACAGTATTCACACAATGTATCCTAGTAGGATAGTTTGAACCTGATAATTTGTGTCTTGAGTGAAAATTCTGGATTGAACTGTAACGCGTACCAAGAGACTAAGTTTTCCAGTTGAAGGGAAAATACCTAAGTACTTAGGATTTGATATGATTCTGTTTCTTTTTGAACTATAATTATTTTCTTAAGGGTAAGGGCAAATGAATTTAAAATAGATCTTGTACAATTATTAGAAGGTGACTGAAACGTAAACAAAAAGGTGGGATTCAGGAAAACAGTAAGGAATATTATGAATAGTTCTGGTAATACAAATGAGCCTTTAGTTCATGTTGCAACAATAATCACATTAATACCTGTAATGGTGAAGAAAATATGACGTACTTCCATAGAGACTATTTCCTTTTGCACAATTTTCTTTCCTCTTGATATGCAGTCTTTTCCTATGAAAGAAGATTCTATTCAGTAAAAGTGATGGGAGTTGTGTGGCTGATCCAAGATCCAAAGGAACTCAGCAGGCGTCTCTTTTTTTTACTTCCAGGTCATCCACGCTTCTGCAATCAGCTATTTTCTGGGCTTGATCCCCATGCTCTGGCTGGACGGATGATTACAGAGATGCTCAATACTAGCCAGTATGTATATATGCATTTTTTAGAAAGTTATGCTATGAAAGAAAGAAAGAAAGAAAGAAAGAAAGAAAGAAAGAAAGAAAGAAAGAAAGAAAGAAAGAAAGAAAGAAAGAAAGAATGAATTTTTTTTTTTAAGAATCAGCTGTGGCTTAGATAAATTTCACTGCTGCTTTTTGGGACCAGAGACCGTAACTAGAAAGCAGTTTGAAGACAAGTCTTTGCTTTTTCTGATGTACTCTATCCACAAATTCTATTAATGTCCTCCACTGTTGCAGTATCAGATAAGTTTGACAAGGTTTTGAAACAATGCAAACTTGCAGAGGAAAAAATACGCAGAGGATCATATTCCTATGAGCAACACTGTAATGTATTGTGATATAAGAATAATACAATACAAATAATCTTCTTTGCCTCTGATTCAGGGAGACAAACAAAATAGATTCCGCTGATTGTGAAACATTTTCTCTGTGGCAACTGGCTAGCATTGCCCTAGTTAATGGATAGTGAGGGGGGAAGTAATTTGATATCGCTATATTAACATTTCTCCCCTCGTGGCAAACAGCAAAATTAAATGCTTTAGATAGTTTTTCCTATTTCTTTTATTCTCACAATCACTCTATGGGATAATTTAAGTGCAAATAAAATGATCTTTTCATACATAAATCAAAATGTGATTTCTTTTCTTGGAGTTTAGGGTGATATAGATGTGCTTGCTTAAAAATGGTTAAAACCAATCTTGGTTTAATGTGAATCAGGCCAGTGTCAGTGTCAGCCAAAGTCAGCCAGTTAATGTAGTGGCTGAATGTGAATTGGAGCCTGAATGCAACTTCTTCCATCTTGAGCAATCATTGCATTCTATCTCTGCAAGTGAGTAAATATTAATATGAAAATATCATGATACTCGGGAGATATGCATTGGAAGGATGACTCTGTTTAGAACCTTGATCCCTTTCTGGGCAGTTGATTTATCTGCACTCTACTCCCAGTAGTTGAATTCTCATAAGCTCCACAATGGCCAATTTTCTTCCTCCTAAGCTGCTCATCTGCTGTGGGTTCTGTTGTTGCTCAGTGTTTGAGCTACCATGGTGAAGGCTGAGGAAACCTGGATGACTACTAGTCATGGCAGCTACGAGATACTGAAAAATCTCCTTGCTGCCCTGTAGCAATTTTCCAAATTTTTGCAGGTCAGATATTGTTAGTCCTGCTCTATTCAGTCAGATGTGTTGACTGTGTGGAGCAAGAGATAGGTGACAAGGGGAAAAAAATGGGGATCTGCTTCCTTTGATTTTATCCCTCCAAAGGTTTATATTTATTTACAGATTTACTTCATTTGCAAACTGCCTACTATTGAAGGCTATAGGCAATTAACAATATCATTGTAAGATAAAAACTTCTACAAGAAAAAAAAAGAGTAAAGAAAAAGACAAATCAAAATAAACAAAAACAAAAACTACAAAAATCCTGCACTATCAAATTTGTCTAAGTATCTTTTCCTCCTGTGTTAGATGGAGCAGAATAAGTCTTGGCAGTTTTACTAAAGACCTGAGCAGCAAAGTATCCTAGCCACTTTCATTTCCTAATCTAAACCAACACCTTAGTTGCCTTCTGAGAATTTGCTGATTATTTTGGCTGTTTTTCAGATGAGACTCATAAAACCACTTGTGTTTTAGATACACGTATGAGATTGCACCTGTATTTGTCTTGATGGAGGAGGTGATGCTGAAGAAACTGCGAAAGTTGATTGGCTGGGAAAAAGGCGATGGAATCTTCTCCCCTGGTGTGTAAAACCGAGAACCTGCAAATTTTCAGGGGCTTGTTTTTGTTTTTAAATATTTTAGAGTTGACATGCAGCCAATAGTATTTATTTATTAAATAAATTGATGTAGCTACTCAACTCACACATAGTGACTTTGGGTGGCATGCAACATTAAATATCCACAGTTAAAAATTCAAAATTTAACCTCCACTCTATCTTCCACCCTCTTGTGGCAAAAACAGAATCAGACAAGCTACTGTACTTGAATGGCTTTGAATAGGGTCCCCAAGCCTGCTGACAAAACTATGTCATCAAGGCCTTTTGGAAAAGCAACAATGTGGGGGTGAATCTCTGAGGGAGAGGATCATCAATTCAGGATCATCCAAATGAAACCAATTTCTGCCATTCATTATGTCTACAGCGGATGCATGGGAGATGCCTGCTAACCTTAAAATTTGATTTTAAAATGGTAATGAGTGGGTCATTGAACAATTCTTTGGATTGTTTTCCTTGGTAGGAGGGTCCATCTCCAACATGTATGCCATGAATGTGGCACGGCATCACCGTTTCCCAGACTGCAAGCAGAAGGGGCATTGGGCAATACCAAAGCTAGCAGTGTTTACATCAGAAGAGGTACTGTTTTCTTGTGTACGCTCTAAAGAACCCACCTACTTGCTTTTGATTAACCCAGCCTAATTTGCTTTTAGTTTTGGTGGTGGTGGTAAGGGTTGCCTGCTGAGATTAGGCTATTGAAATTTGGTGGCAAAATGTTTTGTTTTGAGGTATGATTAAAACACACCCTCCACTTTAATACACTTAACATGTTTATTTTGAATAATTATGCCACAATGTTGCCCATGCCTTTGTGACTTTTGAAGATCGATAATGAAAGTAGGATCTGTTGCCCCCAAAACCGGCTTATCGTAGCCCCACTCCTAAGGTAGGGGGACAAGCAGTGCCTCAGACAGCAGATGTTGGTGTTGGGGATTTGAGAGATCCAGCAAGACACTAATGGTCTCTGGGACAGATGCCCACCCAATAGGGCTACCTTCAGAGAGAGGGTCATTGTCTTATCAGCAATGCTAAAACAAGATTTAGCTGGCTTCTATGTCTCAGGGGGGACATATTGGAGATTAGGGGACATGTAGTCCTGCACATTTAAAGGGCACTAGGTTGGGTACAACTAAGGGAGACTGAAGCTGGAATTTGTACACCAGGAGTTGGATCAGACTGGCCTGTTAACAGCAGACATTTTGGGAAGATCCAGATGGCACCCTCATCATTACTGTAACTGAGTCTTGCTACTGATTGTACCATTCTTCTGTTTCCTTATTTCTTTCCCAGCATTATAACCTTCTCTAGAAAGGCTAGATCTTTGCTTAATGTGTCCAAAGTAGGATAATTTGAACCTGGTCGTTTATGCTTTCAGTGAGAATTACGGGTTAATTTTTAAAAATGATCTTTGGTTTGTTTTCTTCACTGTCCATGGTATTTTCAGGAGCTTTCTCCAACACTAAAATTCAAAAGTATCAATATTCTTCCTATCTTGCTTCTTCAAACTCCAATTTTCACTTGCATAGAATGTTGCAGGAAATTCCAGAACGTGCTGCTATTCTCTACCTGCCTAAAGTAAATTAATCATTCCCATTTTGCAGATAACAGCTGTGAAACCACCAAATGACCTTTATTTTGAAGCCTGGTATTGCTGTATCTTCTGGTAGACCATGATCTTTGTCAGAATCTGTAATCTATTGCTCTAAGTTAGAGAAGATAAGGGGGATAATCTAGAGAATGCTCTCCCCAGAACAACAGTCAGGATTTTGTTGGTTAGGTAGAAATGCAACTGGATATTTCTGTGGGTAGCAATTTTCTAAATGGTTTAATTACTAAATGGCTTCCCAGGACTCAGAACAGATGAGGAGGCTTTTCTTAGGGGAAGTCTTAAATTGATTCTGCTGATCTTCTTTTTCTGCTTTCTAGTGCCATTACTCCATCCAAAAGGGAGCAGCTTTTTTGGGCATCGGCACAGACAATGTTTACCTTGTAGCAGTGGATGAAAAGTGAGTGTTAATAACTGGAAATCCTTATGAGGTTAGAGAAGACCAAAGGTTCTGTCTTGATGTCATGAATGGACCATTTAATCTGGATTAAACCATCTCCAACAATAGGTTTCAGAACCATTGTAGATTGCTTATCCCATTGTTCAATTGTCTCTGCTGCCCCCCCCCCCCAGGTTTTAGAAACCCTCTGCCCCTCCAATGATTAAAAATTACAATCTGAACTCTGGGTTATTAGCTTCATGTGTTCACACTGTGGAGATTTAGAACTTGGTAATGTCTGTGGAATTGAACCTGCTAAGAATATTTATTTTAAGTAAGTTTGGATTTCTAGCCCTTAAGATTGTAGAGGTTGTTTTCTCCATAAGCTGTCGTTTCTAACTGGTGGCATAATAAGAACTAGGATTGAAACATCACTTTGTATATGACCTTTTAAAATATGATAAAACAAAGGAATCTAAGTAAGAACCCTTTCCTCTGATCTGATTGGCAGTAGAGGTAGGTTCAAAGTTAAAGCTCCTTCTATATATAATCAAAGTGAAACACATAGCTTCATACTGGCTTGACATCAGAGTGGTTTAAGCAAGAAGGACCTGCTGAAAAGACTTTCATGGCTCAATCATTTCAACCTTTTCTTCCTCAGAGGGAAAATGATCCCTGCTGATCTAGAGAAAAAGATCAACCAGGCAAAATCAGAGGTATGTTGGTTGTGGAGGGTTTTGAAGGAGGTTACAGTTTTCTCTTTGCTCCCACTAAACTATGTAAAAGGATGCTTTTTCTCCCCATATCCAAGCCAGTGATCCTTTTAGCCAGAGCTAAAAGAAACATGAAATGGACATAGGGGCTTTGCAAACTCTGCCTCTTTGTCTGAGGTTGCAACAAATGAAGAAATGGCATCCTAATGCAATATCTTATGCTTCTTTTACCAGAGACCTACACACGAAGGAAGGAAAATTCAGGCAGAGGTGACCACATGTGTGTGGTTCTGTTGTAGAGAACCATATTTATGCCAATCAAAGTTCTGATCTTCTCTTCCAGAAAGCACTCCCTTTCTTTGTCAATGCCACCTGTGGCACCACTGTCCTGGGAGCTTTTGACCCCCTACCTGAGATTGCGGAGGTGTGCACAAGACACAAACTCTGGTTCCATGTGGATGTAAGTACAATCTGTGGAGGTAAGGACCTTCTAGAGATGTTTTGGAATGGAGACACGGGTCAACCACCCGAGGAGGAATGGGATGCCTTGTGATGTCTTGGTCAGGAGCCAAAGGATGATACACATTTGCATTAAGGTTTTTTTTTTAGATCTACTTAGTCTCCAATACCATTTTCCCAATCTTTCCTAAGGTAGGTTTCAGGAGTTGTTCCCAGTGTCCATATAACATAACAAAACTTTTGCATGCATGTTAGTATCTTTGTCTTTATCTTTATCTATTCAGTGTGAGATTACTTTCAGATGTCAGGCCAATTAAGTTGAAGGAAAGTTACTGATGTCAATATTTATTCCTCTGTACAATCTTTGGTCTTAGAAGGACCTCATGATTTCCTTCTTTTGGGATTGTGGTTTCAAATCTCTCGCCCTGAAAGAGTGTACCAGGTGCATCCCCTGCTGAGCAAATATGTGCTTTAATGTTGAGCAAATATGTGCTGCCTTACCAGCTTTTCCCCCAATGGAGATTGGTGAGAAAATATCTGAGGAGTGATTCAGTCACACAGAGGTGTAGCAGGCAGCAGTCTTGTTGAGTGGACTGTGATTTATTATTCGGGTATATTTGTAGAAAAGTGATTTTCTTCATGTTTGTGAACATTCGGCATAAGCTGAGATTCTTCCATTCTGTTTGAAAACTACTTTGCAATTCTTTTAGCCTTTAAAAGCTAGCCCTTTAGCTACTCCGTTACCACCTGAATTATTTTCTTGTATCTTTAATTTGCGATTTCCAATTGCAGCACCATCTCCATGGTTTTGACTGGACTCCTTTTTAGCAACTCATATGGTTCTTTTATTCTCCTATAGGCAGCCTGGGGTGGCAGTGCTCTCCTCTCCCAAAGACATCGGCATCTTCTGGATGGAATCGAAAGGTAGATACTATTTCTTACAGAAACGAGTTGTGAAAAGATATACAACCAAGACTTTGACTTTCGACTTGTTCATCCTCTGTCTCCGTTTTTAATAAAAGTGTGTACGTCTTAGAAATAATTTGATCATCATTTGTACAAGACTGTATATCAAATTCAGTTTTACCCTTTTATAATTCATAAGCCCTCTTATCCACCTTAAATCTTTCTATTACCATAGATTAGCGTAGGGAAACCAATAGCATGTAAGACCTTCCAGCTCCAAATTTTCTCATTTTTAAGTTACATTTCTCCTTGAGAAAAATTCAACAAATCAGCGACCATTGTTGTTTAATTATCATTTCCCTTCTGAAAAAGACTTCTTTGGGTGACAAGCATAAAGCAATATAAAAAGAGTCAATTTTTGCCTTACCCCTGTTCCAAATTCTCAGTATGGCAGGTCTAATAAAATGATTTTTAAAATCCACATTGACCTTGTTTTTATCATGCCACAAACAACCATGTCACCCAAATCTATAAAGAAATAGTTTACAGTGAGTGTCTTTATTGAGTTAGAGGGATCTTGATTGGGCTTTGGGCCATTCCATCCCCATTGAATTAGAACTTCAGGGCCATGTTCACTGGCTGGTTGCCCTGTCAGTAAAACAAACAGTAAGACAACAGTTCCCTCTCCTGGCAGAACTGCCCCAGTAGCACAAAGAACAACCCTGTTGCAGATGCCTAGTGTCCTGCTACCAGGATGGTGTGAAAATGCAGGTGCAGATCAATGTCTATGGAGATTCTCAGTCATCCAGGTCATAGTTGTCCCAAAGGTGCTTTTTCAAGAGGCAAGCAGACTTTCTTGTTTTTCTTTGTTGACGTTTCGCTTCTCATCCAAGAAGCTTCTTCAGCTTTGAAGAAAAACTTCTTGAGCTGAAGAAGCTTCTTGGATGAGAAGTGAAACATCTTCCAAGAAGAAGAAGAAAGTCCAGTTGCCTCTTGAAAAAAAGCACCTTTGGGACAGGTGCAGATCAAGTATTGCTAACTGCATGCTGTTGGTAAATTACATTGCTGGAAATCCTCTGTTATTGGCCCAACTCAGTTCCTTAGAAAGTCAGTGTCAGACCCAAAGTCTAGCTCTAGGCAAAGACAGTGGAAGGGAGGCAAACAAGGCAGCCATAGAGGTATACTGGAATGAAGCACTGGATCAGGCAAATGCATATTGAAAGACAAAGGTGGGCTGCTAATTAGATGTAGTGCTGGCTGGCTGGTGAATGAGGCCAGAGAGCTGATGATGTAAGGTTGGCAAGTTAGTCATTCTGAGGGATTGGCTTGAAAGAAGTCTTCTGCATCTCAATGTCCAGTCCAAAAACAAAACAAAAAAAACACACCAACTTAGATGTAAATTTTATCTAATTAGCTACTTATTAAATGTACATGCTGCCCATCTTTCTATCGAGCGACTGGGTGGTTTACAATGTCATAAATAACAGTATAAAGCAGTATAAAAGGTTAAAAACATCAAAACATTGGGTGTTGAAAGTTAAAACATTAAAAGATTGGTACTTCGGCCTTCAAGGTTTTTGCAATTGTTCAGAAAAAAAAATTGGAAACACATAGTTAAAGAAACACTTCTCCCTTCTTTCTTTGTCCTTAAGACCATGGGAATTATTGTTTTTAGCTGAACAATACAATGATTATAGTGGCATTTATGTGTTCCTTGACTGGCTGAGACTTGTCTGTGAGAGCTAAAGGGCAGTGATGCCACAGGAGATTCTGGTTCAAGGCCTTTTTCCCGAGTCTGACCCCTATGGTGCATGTTAAGAATCCCATTTAAATGCAAGGAGTCTGATTAGCAGGTTAACAAATTGTATCAAAAGCTGATCAACTTAACTATTCATTTGCATCTGATGTCCTGAGCTGCAGCTCAAAAAACGTATGTCTTTTTTTTTTTTATTGAAAATTTTTAAATTTTTACAAAAACAAATCCCCTTCCCGTACCCCCCCCAACCCTACCTCACCCCCCTCCTCCCCAACCTCCCAAGCCCTCCCCTGAACTTCCCAGAGCTAAGTACAGGCTTAATTAAGAAAAAAACTTAAAACACTTTTAAAACCTAAACAAATTTAAATACAATCATCATTCTATATAAACTCCCTCCAAAAACGCAAATTTAAACATTACTTTCTTTGAATATCTATGCCTATAATATAAAATCTAATTTCTCCCTCTTTCTTTATCCTAATACAAAAAAATAAACATATAAACCTTTGTTATACCATTAAAACTAAATACTCTTAGAAAACTTAAAATAAATACATATTTCCTTCAATCTTCATAATCTTCTCACTTATCCAAAAAAAAAAAACTTAAAAATCCTAAACAAATCTAAACAAATTTTCTCTTAAAAATATTAATAATAATATTTAAAAATTTGAAACACTTTTGAATCCTAAACAAGTCTAAATACAATCATCATTCTATATAGACTTCCTCCAAAAACACAGATTTAAACATTACTTTCTTTCCTAAACAAATCTAGACATTTAATTAAACAAATTATTTTCTCTTAGAAATATTAATAATAATATTTAAAAACCAAATTTAAGCATTACTTGAAACTTAAACAAGTTATACTCCCTTCGAAACACAAATTTATTAGAATCCCCTCACTGAAATAAACAAATTATAATCCCTTCAAAACACAAGTTTAAACAATATTATCATTAAAGGTTTAAAACTTAAAGCTGAAATATATTATTATCCCAAAACACATGTTTAGACATTACATAAAACATTTTCCAAAAACGATATAAGTTTTACTTCTCCCACAATCTCAATAGTAAACTTCTTGTCTAAAGTTCTCATTCAATGTCCATAATTTTCTGTCCAATAACCAGTTGCATCCACTATAAACACAAACTTCTTATCTAAAATTTTCATTCAATATCCATAATCTTCTGTCTAATAGCCAGTTGCATCTACTATAAGCACAATCCATATCAGTCTCTCTTGCCCGCAAGCATCGAAAAGAATGCGTGGAATTCTGCCCTTGAAGATCGCTCCAAAGAGTTTGTAAGTCCTGGTTGACCCCCAAGCTCAGGAATCAGTACCGGTGAGACTTCCTCAACCTCCTTCTTCTGTTGGTCTTTCTCTTTACATTTATATGTTACTTTTTCTTTACATTTATATGTTGCACCAGTCTCAAGGACCGATACCTGTAAAACTTCCTCAGTGAGTTCCTCCTTGTATTGATCTTCATAATTATAAGTTGTAGAAGTTATCCTCTGCCCGTTCCTCTCTTGTTGGTGCCCCTCAAGCTGAGATTTCCCAATTTCCATTTCTGAAGATTGCTCCAAAGACTTTGTAGGTCTAACTTCCGAAGCCAATACAGGTAAGGATTCCTTAAATTCCTCCTTGTGTTGATCTTTACAATTGTAAGTTATACAAGTTATCCTCTGCCCGTTCCTCTCTTGTTGATACCCCTCAAACTGAGATTTCCCAATTTCCATTTCAGGCAGCAATTCCACCCTTGAAGATTGCTCCAAAGACTTTGTAGGTCCAACATCTCCCAGAGATTCAGAGACCACTGAATATGAAACTTCCTTAACCTTCTTCTGTTGCTGCTTTTCTTTGGAATTATGTGCTACACAAGTTGTCTTCTGCTCCTCAATCTGGACTTGTTGAGACCTAATAGATGGCGATGCACATACCCCCAGGACCGAAGTATAAAAATCTTTTGCTTGAGAAACAGTATTAAGTCTATGACATGTCCCCAGGTAGTTCACCACCATTCCAGTCGGAACATCCCATCTGAATAGAATTTTTCTCTTTTTAAGTTCATTTGCTAGAAAAGCAAACTCCTTTCTTCTTCTTAAAATTTTAGATGGGATCTCCTTAAAAATTATGACATCTTGTGAAGCAATTTGAAATCTCTTCTTATAAAAGGCTTGCACAATTTCATTGCGTAAAGATCTTTTACCAAAGTAAATTACCACATCTCTTGGCAGATTCTTCTGTGCTGCCACCACAGAGTTAACCCTAAATAATTTTTCAATTTCACTAAGTATTCCCTCTTTTTCTTTATTCAAAATCAATGCAAAGTCCTTTGCAACCGTCTCTTTCAAATCTCGTTGCAAAGACTCTTCCAGGCCTCTGATTCTTAAGGCATATTCCATTTGTCCATATTGAAGCATAAGAATCTCATTTTCCATTTCTTTTTCCATACTTTCAATTTTCCCCTCCATTATGTCCACTTTTTCAGCTACCTCTTCCACATGGGAGTTCACCTTTTCAAGAACAGAAGCAACTCCTTCTAAAGCCAAAACAAAATCTTGTCTCAAGATCTTATTATTTTCCTCTAAAATCTTTTTCATTTCTGCCCTAATTTGAATTATAACATCTCCCATCATGTTTTGCAAATCCTTCATAGTTATTAGCTGACCCCCAGAAGAGGGTGAAACTGTTGATTTAGAAGCTGTAGAAATCCCTGGACGCTTTGGAGCCATCTTAAAGAAAAACCTTTAGCCCTTCTTAAAAAATTATAAAAATTCCTTCAAAAATCATAACTCCCTCCAAAGAAGGTCATTATAATAAAAAGAAAAAAGGGGGAAAAAAAAGGAAGAGAAAAAGAATTAAAAAAAAGCTTTACTCCTTCTTAAAAATTGCAAGAAATTAAACAGAAAAAAGTCCTTCAAAAAAGGGTCATTACAATAAAAAGAAGGGAGAAAAAATAATAATAATTAAATAGAAAAAGTCCGTTCCAAAAAAAATACTTAGAGATACCAAAAACAACCATTCCAATCATAAGAAAATAAAAAGGGAAAGGGAAAGGAAAGAAAAACACCAAAAAGCCTGCCGGTCAGCATTCTAACTTCAGAAAAAAAAACACCCAGAGATTTGCCGATCGCCATTTTACTTTCCCTTTCAACAAAGAAAAAAAAATAAAAAGAGAGAATAAAAATAGAAGCAAGTCTTAAAACTTAAAATCCAAATAAATCAAAGAAAGGAAAAACTAAATCCTCTACTCAGCTCTGTCCGTTTATAAAAAAACTCACCAGTTCTCTTTAAGCACGGAGGTGTTTGCAGCGGCTCGTTTTGTCCCTGAGGACAAAAACAGCTGGGAAGCGGAGACAAGTCTGAACTCCGTGGGAGCACTCCTTTCACCCCCCCCCAAAAAAACTTGGGGGGTGCAAAAGAGGCTCTACCACTATTCAGACACTCTCTACCCCCCCCCCCTTTGCCCGGGAGGGGGATTTTGAACCGCTGAACAGCTGATGTCTGCTGTTCATAGCGGTTCTTACACTTACCCAGGAGAGACGGCTACAAAGTAGCCGCCATCGCGCGCGCAAAATCCACCGGAAGTCCCAAAAAACGTATGTCTTTTAATACATTTTATTTGTTGAAAAGGTGCTACTGGATTCCTTCTGATTTTTGGATACTGTAGACTAATGTGTTTCTCTGATGATCCACATATACAAAAGATCCAAAATATAGAGGTGCACCACTGAATTTTTAGCAGTCTCCTAAGTATGGTTATTAGCATTTATTTGCATAGGAGGTATATCCAATTATGAAATGCTCATTTCTATTTTCCATCCAGGGCTGATTCGGTGGCTTGGAATCCCCACAAAATGCTTATGGCTGGACTTCAGTGTTCTGCCTTCTTGGTCCAGGATAACTCTGTAGGTATTCAGCGCTTCTCTCTCTTCCTGGACATGAAGCATGATATTGTATAAGTTATCTCTCCCTCCAGATAATATGGTTAGAGGAAACCCAAAGCTACTTAGTCCAACTCTCTGTCCAAAAGTCAAAGTGAGACCTTCTTGTACATTAACTCATTCTGGATTTATGTTTATTTCTTCTGCTTAATTTCTGCAGTACTTCTTCAACTAGCAGCTGAAGGTGTGGAATTCCATATTGCGTAGAATATGGAAGTTTGATATTCTTGGTCAAGGCTAATATTGTTCAACTGCTGTATATCTTTGAAGCTTTATCACCTCTTTGCTATGAAAATAATATTTAAATCTATTTTAAGTCATAATATTTAGAAACTTTAGAAATCAAAGGTTTCTAAAGGTGTTGAAATAAATGACCAATAGAAAGTTTTGTAGGATTATGGACTATACCCAGCCAGAGACTTACTGCTCCTTGCTTTATGCAGAATTGACCCTCTCAAACTAGCAAGATCTACAGGTAGTCCTCGACTTATGACCACAATTGAACCCAACATTTATGTTGCAAAGTGAAACATTTGTTAAGTGAGTTTTGCCCCATTTTGTGACTTTACTTGCCACTGTTGCTAAGTGAATCACTGCAGTTGTTAAGTTAATAACATAGTTGTTAAGGAATCTGGCTTCCCCATTGACTTTGCTTGTCAGACGGTCGCAAAAGAGGATCACATGGCCCCAACCATCATAAATATGAGTCAATTGCCAAGTGTCTGAATTTTGATCATGTGACCATGGAAATGCTGCAACAGTTGTAAGTGTGAAAAATGGTCATGCCACTTTTTTCAATGCTGTTGTAACTTCAAACGATCACTAAATTAGCTGTTGTAAGCTGCGGACTATCTGTATTTTCATATTAGGAGAAGGTGAACTACTCTAATATGAATCTGTCTGCCCATTAAGATATTTTGGAACTTGTAATTGTCCTTCATGAAGATTAGAAATGCTTTGGCCGGGATTCAAAAAAAAAGTGGCCTTTCCATTGGTATGTCTTTATCAAAGAAACTCACCTCTGGATAATCCCTGTTTCTGTTTGCCCTCTTTCCAATTTTGGCAAGTATTTTACCTGCCATGCTGTTCCTGCTTTGAACCAGAAAACTGCAATGAATAACGCACTCCAAATATGATTTAACTTCTTATCCCACACATTGATCATACTGCCTAGAACCAATTGTAGCTTAACCACCTCCCCAAGGTCTGGTGTTGCATGTCTCTCTTTTAAACTCTCTGGTTTCTGACTTTGAGTCTGTGGTCACCCTATTCTCATCACGTTTCCCAGTTCATTTTTGAAGTTCTTTGAAATGTTGGTGTTACCCACTTTGAGCATTTTGCACGGTCAAATAGAATAAATCATTATATGTGAAAAACAAGGGTTTTTTTAAAATTAAAGGTAACTATTTTGATACCTTTTTCTTCCCAGGGACTACTGCAGAGATGCCACTGTGCCCAAGCTACCTACCTCTTCCAGACGGACAAGTTCTACAACATAGCTTATGACAGGGGAGACCAAACCATCCAGTGTGGACGCAAAGTAGATTGCTTTAAGTTGTGGCTGATGTGGAAGGCCAATGGCAGCAAAGGCTTGGAGCAGAGAGTGGACAGGGCCTTTGCTTACACTAGGTATATGAAAAGTTTGGGGTCAGTTCTTCTGCCATTCCTGGTGACTGGCGGTGCGGTTCAAGCGTCTTCCCTGACATTTTCTTTTTTTTTATCCTAGGTATCTAGCTGGTGAAATTAAGAAGAGAGAAGGCTTTCAGCTAGTGATAGAGGTATGAGCTACCTGGCCTGCTGAGATGTATATTATATGACATTATTTATTTACTTGTACCCAGTCTTTATTATTTTTACAAATAACTCAAGGCAGTGATTGTATCCAACACACCTTCCTCCTCCTATTCTCCCCCTAGCAACGATCCTCTGAGGTAAGTTGGGCTGAGAGCGAGGGAGTGACTGGCCCAAGGTCATTCAATTGGCTCTGGCAGAACTGGAACTCACAATCTCCCACTTTCTAGTCTGGTGAAGCTGCTAGGAAAAGGGGGCACTTTATCACGTCCAAAGTAGTATTTCCACCACAATAAATAATGGGCTATTCTCACATATAGGACCACAGCTTGTGCTCAGATCACTGATTAACAAGGGAAGAGGTGGGTTCTGGATGCGCTGAAAAACAGAAGCTGGATATCCATTAGTCACAAATACTTTAATTTGAATTCCTGAAGTGAAGGAGATTTGGATTCAATGGTCCAAATCAGGGGTCCCGAATGATCCCCATTGGGAACCAGGCCATGCAAGCAGCAGGTGAGTGAGCAAAGCTCTATTTGTGCAAGCAACGGGCATGTCCGCGAAACCATCCCCTCTTTTGCCCCTCCCCTGCCCCCGCTGCTGCCGCTGCCAGTCTGCAGAGCCGGAAAAGTTGGAGACCGCTCATCTAATTTTTTCCTACCAATTCCTAATCTGACACTGCAGTTCTATCTATCCATTAAGTCAGCAGTTTTCTTTTTTGCTTTTTGAAACATAATGTCATGTTTTCACATACCGCTAACCCAAATTGTATATGTGCTTTCAACTCACGGTTGACTCCCGCTGACTGCCTGCAGTTTCTTGGGATGATTTTCAGAAATGGTTTTGCTTTTGCCTTCTTCTTAGGGGTGTGAGAGAGTAACTGGCGCAAGGATACCCAGCTGATTTCATGCCTAACTCACGGTTTACCAGTTTCTAGCCTGATGCCTTAAGCCAGGGGTGTCAAACTCAATTTCATTGAGGGCCGCCTCAGCATTGCGGTTGCCCTCAGGGGGGGTGTGTGTGTGTGGCCAGGATGGGTGTGGCCTACTGAGTGGATATGGATGGAGTGGGTATGGCCTACTGGGTGGGCGGGGCCAGCTCTACATCATTTGCGTCACTGGTGCCTGTGCGGGCCTGGGCAGGAGTGGGACAGATCTGAGGGTCTCTGGCAGAAGTGGGTGGGACTAGGGCAAGTGTCAAGGCATGGTCCACTGGAGGAGCTTCACATGGTCCACTAGAGGGCCAAGGCAGTGGGGGCCATTCCCTCACTGTTTCCAGGATGGCTTCGCGGGCCACATGAAACCACTTTGCGGGCCACATCCGGCCCGTGGGCCTTGTGTTTGACATGTCTGCCTTAAGCACTATACCAGGCTGTCTTTCAATCCAGAAATTGGGAGTTGCAACATTTTTAAAATATTAAAAGGGCAGTAATGTAGTAGCAACATCTGAAGGGGTGGAGGCAGGAATTTTGACTTCATTTTTGTGGGAGATTGATATTTTAAAAATGGGAATTAGTATTTCTAGCCTTTCAGATATATATCAATTTTCTTGCTTTTTCCAAAACAGTGTAGAAAGTTATGCCATGTAATTTTGACAGTTTGCCGCAGAATTGCAGTAATGCAATCTTGAGGAGCTTTGGGCCCCTTCAAATGGGGGAGGAGAGAGCTAGCATATTCACATGGAGATCATAAGTTGACATAGGTGACATAAACTATGAATTATAAACAATGGTTGGGTTCATACATCAGGCTAGATTAAAACTAAATAAACCATTTTATGGTTCTGTATTCCAGTTTCTTTGCTGATAGTATATCAGTGCCATAAGAAAATAGCTTTCTACTGCACAAAGGTTACAGAGAAGAAATATCATTTAACATGCTTGTCTTTTAGGGTTTCTTATTTCTTTTCTTTTCTTTTTTCTTTTTCAGCCAGAATTCATCAATCTCTGTTTTTGGTATGTACCTCCCAGTCTGCAAGGGCAGGAAGGCTGCACTGATTACTGGGTGAAACTGGAGAAGGTAAGTGTTAGCATCTTTGAAATAGGAAATAAGAGCAGGAAAATCCCTCTGGAGGCTCTTGGGTTGTAAAATAAGTAAAAAGCAGAGTTCATACATGTTTCTGGATCCAGCATTCATTAGAAATGAGAAAAGCTCTTCAGGATGAATGGACATCTGCACATTTGTTGCTTGCCTAATCATAAAGTGGCATTCGATATAGGAATGGCTAATTCCCGCCTTTGAGCCCCACGGAAAAGAAAGACAAGGAGAAAACATGGCCCATTTGTGTTATGATGCAGTGGTTCTCAGCTGTATGTTCATCGATGTTATGGGGCAAGAAGTCCAATAATCTCTAACAGCTGGCTGTTTGGCTATTCTGGCTTGTTATGATAGATTTATAGCTTAAACCCACATGAAATTCAAGATTAGGAACTGCTTCTGTAATGCTCAGTTTCCCAGTGTTGGAAGAGGATGTAGACTAAGGGGATCTGGATGGAGGCAACAGCACCCATTGGTCATTGGCCTTGTTTCCACAGCATGCTTAATTGGGGTAAGAGGACAAGAGTAGTGTGGAACATGAAGAAGGGGTTCGCATTCCAAATCCAATTTGGCTCCAGTCAGTTGAGGATATAGATAGTCCTTGACTTATAACCATTTGCTTAGTAGCCATTCAAAGTTACAAAGGCACTGGGAAAAAAGTGACTTAGGACCCTATTTCACAACCCTTGCAGCATACCCAAGATCATGTGATCAGAATTCGGATGCTTGGCAATGGACTCATATTTATGACCGTTGCATTGTCCCGCGGTCAATGTGATCCCCTTTTGCGATCCTTCTGACAAGAAAAGTCAATGGGGAAGCCGGATTCATTTAACAGCCGTGTGACTAACTTAACAGTTGCAGTGATTCACTTAACAACTCACAAGAAAGGTCTAAAATGGGGCAAAGCTCACTTAACAACCATCTCACTTAGCCACATAAATTTTGGGCACAATGGTGGTAGTAAGTGGAGGACTACGCTGTATTTCTAAAAGTACCCTATTGACCTGTTTTCACAATGCTCATGTGAAAAAGCTGAAGAGAGCAGCTGAAAGAGCCAACCTGTAACAGAGTTGTCAAAGTGTAGAAGTACCGAATACGCTTGCTAAGTGCTGACAAACTGTGGAGGACTCGTATCAAACCTGCCTGGTTCCTGGTGAAGAGGCCAATGATGTTGTGATGCCTTGCCAGGTTTTCTGATGCAAAACTTTATGAGATATCTTTTGCCATTAATTCCAAAGATGTTTTTTTTTTTTTTTGGATCAGGCTAGTGTGAGTGCATGTTGCCTGAGCCAAAAGTTTGACTTGGGTTAGGAGTCTATTAGCTCAAGGGTAATCTGGGGAAAAGTCATGAAGAATAAATGAACCTTTGAGATATGGTTTTGATGGATTTTCATATAAACATTTACCATGTACATCAAGAGGGAAGCCTAAGTAGGTAAAAATTGGTAAAAATTACACACAAGTACCTAGTTTGATTCCACACCTGAAAGCCATTTTTAGAACCTGTCTGTGAACAAAGTTTCATTAAGGGTTGGAGGGGGGAATATGAGCGACATGGTGGCCTAGAGGTGGAGCTCTCACCCCACAATCAGGAAGCTGTGAGTTCGATCATAGCTGATGGCTGATATTTCTTTCTGGGTGCAAAGAGAAAATATCTGCTGTGAACTCTGTGTAGGCATCAGGAAGGGCACCCAGCCAGTAAATGTTCAGCATCATTCAGTTGCCCCGACTCTACCCCGACACAAGGGATTACAGGGTCAATAAAAGAAAATAGTGGTAGTGGGGAATATCTTATACCATATATGCACAACCAGTTTCTGAGAGGTTTTGCTTGTTTTTCCTTGATTAGGTAGCTCCACTGATTAAAGAGCGGATGATGAAGAAAGGTTCCATGATGGTGAGCTATCAGCCACTTGGCAAAAAGGTGAACTTTTTCCGCCAGGTGGTCACCAATCCAGCAGTCACCAGAGATGATCTGGATTTCTTCCTTGATGAAATTGGGAGGCTTGGCAGAGATCTGTAGATCGTGCATGCATGTTGTGCTTAACTGTACAATACAGATTGGAACAGTTATGTATGTGTTTCAAAAGCAGACACCACCTTACTTCCAATCATCATACACCACTGTTGAAATGGCTTGGAAGCTACACTTCTCCAACCATGCACAGGGACTCATGAGTAAGTGCCACTAGCACGCTGTCTTTGCTGCTACTAAACCATTTTACAAACATGTTGTGAAGATGTAAAGTACCTTCCCTCCCCTACCCTATTGTTATCTATTTCTGTAATTGTGGGTGCGTTCTAAAATTAAAGCAAACACAATGCTTTCATTTCTTCACTGCCTTCTGCAAAAAACAAGGAAAGCCTAAGACTATCAGATGTGGACTCCAAAATCCAACGTTACTAAGTAGCAGCAAATAACTACAGACTACTCAATCTGTTTGCCACACAGCTAGTAGCTTGAAATTTTGCAATTCACAATTGGTAGCATTTGGGAAATGGTAACTTCCTAGTGATTATTCATTGTGGCTTCACCTCTTGTCTGAATCAACTCAGTGCTTTCTCACGGGTATCTGGTATATATTTCAGTAGCCATTCTCATCTTGAAGAAGAGCAGCTGGAGAAAGAAAAATGACTGATGCTATTCTTAGCAGAGCAAGAATATATCAAATCCTGCTATGATTATGTGTTGTTGAGTCTTAGTGACCAGAGTTTCCATGGTGATCTTCTCCTAACCTGGTCTTTTAGATTTCTCAGTAGTACATCCCCCAATTTCTACTGTGCTGCTTCATTGTGGTCCAGGGGCTGTTCCTGGGAGGAACAAGTGAAGAATATTGGAAATGTATGCCAAGAGTATATACTCCCAGCAGGCTCAGGCTCGCCCAAGATGTGAAGGTCACCCAGCTGTCAAGCTAAAGCAAGCAGGCACCTATATTTGGCAGCCAGCAACAGTATAGGATTATGTTGGAGGCAGATGATCACTTAGTGACAATGGCAAAGGCATTAATTCAGATTCATACTGTACAGAAGGTAATGGTAAATCACTCCTGTATTTTTACAAAGAAAATGACACGGACAAGCCCTGCTTTAGAAAATAAAAATGGACAGTTCTACTTTTTTTCTTTTTGCAATCTAACTTCTACTTTTCAATTAAGATGTAATTAAAATTTAATCAACATTCTTCTCTCTCTGTCCCTCTCTTTCTCTCCCTTTTGGTAAGTGCTGACTCCTTAACAAGTCCCTGCAGTTTTGGGGCAAAATTTTTGGAAGTGACTTGTTCTTGCCTTCTTCCTAGGACTGAGAGGGACTGACTGGCTTAAGGACATGCATCTGGCTTTGTCCCTGATTAGAACTCACAGACTCCTGGGTTCTAGTTCTACTAGTTTTACCTACTAAAGTTATTTGTATTTTTAATGGAGGAAAAGATGAAAATAATGCAAAGCTAAGTGTTACAGAGGTTGGATTTATATGTGTGCATTTTACTTACCTTCCTATGTATTTAAATGTACTGCTTTTATAAAACTTCACCATTTTATACATGGCAGCATTAGAAACAGTAGAGTCTCTGCCTCCAAACAGCATTAAATCATTTCTATTTTTTTAAAATGTTATTTTGATTGAGATATTAAATGATCCTTTTTATTTTTAAAAAGTGTAAAAACAAACACAGGATAAACATGGATCTAGAATTTACAGAAACAAAGACAATAAACAGGAAAGAAACCCTACAGCCAATATAATGTATGCAATGAACCATTAAAGTAAATTTTAAAATAATGATCAACAAGGCATGAACATTTATTTAAACTACAATCTAAACTAAAAGTTTAAGCCTTAAACTGAAAGAACTAGTTTACTTTTGTCCATGTTTGTCACATGCGCTGCAGTGAGTACAGCTTGATTGATGGTATCTCTCTCTCTCACACACATAAAGCACTATGAAGCGGTATATGAGTGTTACTGCTATTATTTTTTCTCTCTCTTTCTCTCTCTCATCTATCGTTTTAAAAGGTTTTTTTTTTAATAGGAGATGATCCAAGTGAAGACATCAGAACAAGACAAGACTAGCACATGACACAGATGCAGTGGAAAAGACAGAGAATTAGATTTGCTTTGTCATTTTATATAAAGCAAATAAAACTTCAGCACAGAATGGAGAAAATAAAAAGGGAAAAAAAAATAAAGAGAAAAGAAAATTTGCAGGCTTGTTCATCAGAAAAAGAGCTACTGCGACAGTGATGGAACAAGGGAAAGGAAACTTGGGAAAGAAATTAAAAATTTGTCCAATATGAAAAGTATTACCAACAACCCTCATCCCAACCTACTGTTATTACTAGTACTTTGCAGCACTTCAGATCCAAAGCTAAGAATATGCTTTTAAGCAGGTGGGGTCCTGCATTGTGCACCTTTGTCATTTCCTTAAAGAAGGGCTATCTTTTTCTGGGCTCACACAGTAGCCATACAGTTAGAGGAAAATGTATACCTTAATTAAGAAGGCACCCACACTTGTTCTGAAGCACCTTGTTTCTCCTGACAGTATAAAAAATTCCCTACGACGGCATCCCATTGAATAGAAACATTGGTATTTAATGACAACATTAAATACTATAGGTGGTGAGACAGAAACTGAACGCTGGTGTAGCTCATCTTCTGCACAGTTGGATGGACTTCTTCCTGTTGTATTTTATTCTAAAAGAAAAGCATAGGCACTGGAGTCAAGTTCTACCCCTTCCTGGTTGAGAATGTTATACAGGTGGTGTGTTGTGGCCTTGTCCTTTTCACGCTTCCTCCAGTGCCACAGCATGGAGAAAATTTGCATGACAATGTTTTTCGAATGTTCTCCTTCAAATTGCTCCAGACGTGAAATTTCCATACCCAGGAACAAAATCCCAATCTCCTTCCAGTTCTTGCCCATTTTCTTAGCTAGTTTCATCAGCTGTTCTTGTGAAACCAGCTTGGGTGGTGCTGAAAAATGAGAGAAGAGGGGAAGAGAAAAATTATAGATGTAAAAGAGATGAGCTGACACCTCTTTTTTTTAATTATCTCTGATAATGTCATAGAGGTACTCCTCGCTTAACAACAATAATTAGGACCAGAATTTCTGTTGCTAAGCAAAGTGATTGCTTAGCAACAGAATCACATGTCTTCAGTGTTTAGCAATGGCAAGTAGCAAGTAGCCAGGCTACTTGCAACCTTCCCTCCTAGCTTCCCTGCTGACTTTGTTTATGGGAAGGCAGCAGGAAAGGTTAGAAATGCAAGCACATGATTGGGATACTGCAAGTTTGCCAAGAAGCAGTTGTTAACTACCGCTTGTTCAGCACCACTGAATGAGGGGTCATTAACTGAAGAATATCTGTTCTTGCCTAACATCTATTAAACAAATTAACACTACAAGTGTTACTACTGTTAACACCCAGGTCATCATGCAAGATTATATGATGGTAGTTAAGGTCATAAAAAGTGCTGGATTATAATCTACTTTTTATGTGATACATAGAATAAAGATAAAAAATAAGCCATCTGCTTGCTGTATTCCTAGGCAACTGAGCAGGGATTTTATTGTTAAATTATTTTAATTTGGGCATATCATTATACAGTATGTGGACTCGGGATATCTAGATACGCTCCCCACAACAAGCTTTATAAAAAAATTAAATTGTAAAAACCACAAGAGAGTCAGTTTGGCATAGCAGTTAAATGCATCATGGTAGAAATTGGGAGACTGAATTTTAGTCCTTAGACATGAAATCACCTACATGAACTTTCGATCACCCATTCTATCTCCGGCTTAGGAAGAAGAAAATGAAAATCACTTCCATAAATGTTGCCAAAAAACCTGTATGAATTTGTTCATGCCGTCATCATGAGTACCAATTTGAAGGCACAAACACATATACCACAAGCTATATAATGACTACGTGTTGATTACAGTCGTGAGCCTTGTATCTGTATACTACTAAACCTTTGTGTCTGTAACTTTTAATTAGATGAAACGGTGCACCATAGGGTAAAACCTTTTGAAACAAGGAACCACAAATGGGTTTCCTTACAGAATGCATCCAAAATCTAGGATCTATGACTCCTGTGGAACTGAAATCTGACAAAATTTATAGAACAATTTATAATAAAAATTATCGTAACATAATACAATGTCACAAAACATTTCCTGTGATCAGTTCGTGATCAAGGGCAAGAATAATAATAATAATAATAATAATAATAATAATAATAGTGTTCAAGTGGTGCTCCAATAGTGTTCAACTAGAGCACCACTTGAACACCATTGGCATTGACAAATTCACTATTCGTCAATTGCAAAAGGCGGCCTTACTAGGAACTGCTTCCATCCTGCGACGATATCTGTAATACCATCAAACATCCACATCTGCCTATCCCAGGTCCTGGGTAAGGACTCGATAGGTAGACAAAATGCCAAATCCAATCTGAACATCTGGCTGACTGTGCGATGATCAATAATAATAATAATAAAGTTGGAAGGGATCTTGGAGGTCATCTAGTCCAACCCCATGCTCAGGTAGGAAACCCTATACCATTTCAGACAAATGGCTGTCCAGTCTCTTCTTAAAAACTTCCAGTGTTGGAGCATTCACCACTTCTGGAGGCAGGTTGTTCCGCTGGTTAATTGTTCTAACTGTCAGGAAGTTTCTCCTTAGTTCTAGGTTGCTTCTCTCCTTGATTAGTTTTCATCCATTGCTTCTTGTCCTGCCTTCAGGTGCCTTGGAAAATAGCTTGATTCCCTCTTCTTTGTGGCAACCCCTGAGATATTGGAACACTGCTATCATGTCCCCCCTAGTCCTTCTCTTCATTAAATTAGACATACCCAATTCCAGCAGCCTTTCCTTATATGCTTTAGTCTCCAGTCCCCTAATCATCTTTATTGCTCTTCTCTGTACTCTTTCTAGAGTCTCAACTTCTTTTTTACATCATGGTGACCAAAAGTGGATGCAGTATTCCAAGTGTGGCCTTACCAAAGCATTGTAAAGTGGTATTAATACTTCACATGATCTTGATTCTATCCCTCTGTTAATGCAGCCCAGCACTGTGTTGGCCTTTTTGGCAGCTGCAGCACACTGCTGGCTCATATTTAAGTGATTGTCCACTAGGACTCCGAGGTCCCTCTCACAGTTACTACTGTTGAGCAAGGTACTTCCTATATAATACCTGTACGTTTGGTTTATCTTGCCTAGATGTAGAACCTTACTTTTTTCACACTGAATTTCATTTTGTTAGAGTCTGTTCACGTCTGTCCAGATCCTCCTGTATTCTAAGCCTGTCTTCTGGAGTGTTGGTTCTGCCAGCTTGGTGTCATCTGCAAATTTGATGAGTTCCCTATCTATCCCCTCGTCCAAATCGTTGATGAAGATGTTAAAGAGCACTGGGCCCAGAACAGAGCCCTGGGGCACCCCACTACACACTTCCCTCCATGTAGATGCGGTTCTATTGAGGACCACACACTGAGTACAGCTGGTCAGCCAGCTACGAATCCATCTGGTGGTGATGCTGTCTAATCCACATTTTTCTATCTTATCAAGTAGTAGGTTGTGATCTACTTTATCAAATGCCTTACTGAAGTCCAAGTAAATTATATCCACAGCATTCCTCTGGTCCGCTAATTTTGTCACTTGGTCAAAGAATGCGATAAGATTTGTCTGGCATGATCTGTTCTTGAGAAACCCATGTTGGCTTTTAGTAATGACTTTATTTGCCTATAGGTATTCGCTGATTTGTTGTTTGATTATCTTTCCCAAGTACTGAGGTCAGGCTGATAAGTCTGTAATTTCCTGGGTCCATTTTTCCCCCCTTTTTTTGAAGATGGGAACTACATCAGCTCTTTTCCAATCCTCCGGTAGTTCCCCAGTGCTCTAGGATCTTTGAAAAATATAGTTCAATGGTTCTGAGATCACGTCTGCCAGTTCCTTGAGAACCTTGGGGTGTAATCCATCTCGTTCTGGCGATTTGAACTTGTCTAGGCTGTACAGGTGCTCACTTATCGTTTTCTTGCCTATCTTAACTTGCGTTTCTATTCTGTTTTTTATGGCATTATTTTTGGTAGGTTGGTCTGTTTTTTCCCTTTGTGTAAAGACAGATGCAAAAAACAAGTTAAATAGTTCTGCTTTCTCCCTGTTGCTTGTCACCTTGCCACTTTCCCCCACTAATGGACCAATCATTTCCTTCACTTTTTTCTTGTTTTTTACATGTTGAAAGAAGCTTTTTTTTTGTTATTTTTGACTTTAGTTGCAAGCCATAGTTCATCTTGAGCCTTGGCTTTCCTCACTTCATCTTTGGAAACTCGGGCTATTTCCCAAGATTGGGGGGGGGGTGTCAGTTCAACTCTGAGATATAAATATTAACTTCTATGGGTATCCTGATCTATGTTAACATAGATTTACTCTTTCCATCCTTTTAGTATCCGCTTTATTATTAAAAAGTGTATCCTCTCTTTTTCTTCGCAATTCCTCCTCAGTTATAAATAGAAAGGACACTTAGCAGTAATAATCCCAGTCCCAGTGACTAGGTTTAAATGCAGGTCTTGCGACCAACAATATTCAAACTAATTTCCATACTTTTCCCACTCTCTTCTGTCTCCCCATTTCCATCCCCAGCTGTCTTCTGCATATGTCTCAATTGTTCTGGATTATTTTAAAGAACTCGAGAATATTTGAAAGCCTTTCCTTCCCTGCACTCATTGTAAAACGCAATGAGTCTCCAGATTGTGACAGAAGGGGCACTCAAAGTAAAGACAGTACAATGGATGA